CGGGCGGCGAGAAGCTCACAGGCGGCGTATATCAAGAAAACTTACAAGAAGTTCCAGGCAGTAGATCAAGATGGCTCCGGCAGGATAGAATACCCAGAGTACATCAACGCGACCTATCGTCTGGAACATGTCACTAGAGGCAGCTTCTCTCCGCCGTAGATTCTTGACGGTGATGGAACGAGAGGATTCCTTCCTTATGAAGCGTATGTTCGACGTGTTTGACACCGACAAAAGTGGCACTCTCGAACTGAAAGAATTCATAGTGAGATAGCGTGATGGTAGTCTGTGGTCATTGGATATCAATGCCCTCCGAGGTGGGAATGTCCAATTACACTGGAACCAATCAAATGAGCAAGCTACGATTCGCCTTTCTAATGTTCGATACGGACCAGTCGGGTTTCATCGAGCTCAGCGAACTCAAAAACATCATCAGGTGACATCCAATGCAAGATAGCTCCATCTGGCACTGAGTGTTGCAAAATCAGGGCCAATTTCCCAGGTGTTGGCGAGAAAGAGGTCGCAGCCAAAACCAATACAATCATTGACTCCTTGGGTAGAGGACCCAGACAGTGTTCTCGACGCCGTACTCTTTCAGGAATCGACAAGAATGACATAGCCGGGGTGAAGATATCTTACGAGCAATTCATGTCGATGGCTAAACGCAATATGAGCCTCATCTTGCCAGCAATGAATGTGCTTTCACCGGCCATGTTCCCGGCTGAGTTTCACCATTTGTTTCACCTCTCCTGTGTTCCATCGCGCCGCTTCATCCTAGCAAGAACCCTCGAGGGTCACATAGCGTTCCTTACTTCAGATATCGGCGGGGCTCGATGACACATTGATGATGCGGAATGCTCCAACATAGAGAGTAGCTTGTTGACCAAGCATGCATCTCGCTAGGAGGTTTGCCGATAGGGTGTTGTGAGTTTTTTGAATTAGTCGTATCAATTGTACAATACTGCTACTGTTGCAGTAATATTGTATATCTCTGCTCCCGGAGCTCCACTCTCGATGCTAGGCTAGCATTGCGTGGAGGTCTCAACTCGAGCAAGTCGTGAGCTAATGCGAGCTTCGGGTACAATATATTCACCATGTTGACGTTTCTGAAGTGTTACTCATTCCCGCTTCCATTGAATGACTCGCTCCTTCGACTCTCATGAAAACGCAGAGAGTCCCTCTGAGGTTGATCGCCTCGGGTGAGACTCTCGATTGTAATGATCACACAACACCGCGAGTTTTATCAGCCTAGCACGCCGCCTCAGCCAAGTCGCTGTTTCGGAGCAAAGGTCAGCTCTGACGGTTATAGCCTTGACCGAGTGCGTCTTGGACGCTATGGTCGTGACTAACCTAGCCGGCGAAGTCGTGGCAGCCAACCAGGCTACGGTACAGCTGTTTGGATACGACCAAAACCAGTATGCCATCGGGGATGCTCCGAAGCGACTACATAGTCTTTAGATTGAAAGCAGCTAAGATGTCGGTGTTCATGACACCGGGGAGTCAAGAGCTTTATATGCCACAGTTGCAGAGGTTCATCACTCGTATGATCCGTTGCAAGGAGAAGCATGGATGTTGGCTCCCAGACTGCATCCACTTCTGTGAGGTATCGCGTCAAGGGTCATCGAGCATTATCAGGCGGCTCTAACCTCATTGAGAAGGTGTACATGACATGATGGATACTATAGCCTTATGCTGCTAGCTCTAGCGCAGCCCACGAACATTGCTCTCTCTAGGCATCTGGAATCGACCGGCAAGGACGCGTATTCCCGATAGAAGTGCAAGGACGTCTTTTTGCGCTATCACAACTCATCCGCCCACCAACAACGTCGACTTCCGAATCATCTCAGGAGAGAACATTTTCATGGTCTCATACCCTTGAAATGAAAGTGTTCAAACAAAAACGCGAAAGTAGGCCATGCTAGGTCCTAGACTAGAGTATCATCAGGAGCCTTCAAAGTAGTAGGTATTCCGATTTTCAGGTGAGAGTGACTATGCTGAACCAATTTTCTTAATATTCGTCCTTAAAGACATATCAGAACGCAAACAGATGGAAATTAGGAAGGAGACTCTATTGGCAAATATCTCGCATGAAATGAGGACACCAATCAGTGCCATCATAGGTTACCACAGACCTTTAGACATATCGAAATCGGACCGTGGCTGCTTCAGGTTTAGCTGGCGCGCTTGTTGAGAACGAATCCAATCCTGGACGCACGCGGCACTTAGAGCTCATCATAGGCAAGGACGGTGTCCTACCATGCGGCCGACTTGACCCCGCTAGGCTCAGCAAAAAGGCTCCTGGAAGTCTTCCACGACGTGACCGAGATGTCAAGGTTACTCTCGAATGATATTCGCCTGAGGTAGGCCGTCCTGGCCCGTATTTCAGCATCGCACATCGAGCTTCATTGCTAGAACGCGAGCGGTGGACCTATATAATGCCCTCGAGGATGCTGTCCATATACAGAAAAACGCCTGCGATAAGAATGGCCGGCCTCTGCTGAAAGAAGGCAACTGAGTATCGTTTCATGTTCCCATGTTTTTCTCGCGTGCCAGGTGTCACATTGATCCAAGATTATCCAATTGAAGTCGATCATCCGCCTGTGGTTTGGGTCGATTCGGAAAAGTTCAAGTTGATTATGAGTCATCTTCTTGGTAACGCTTGCAAGTTCACAGACAAAGGGACCATTCGCGTATGGAGGATCGAGTCAAGCTCACCTCGCAGCCGAATATGACAGGTACACATCCCCGACCTCGACGATCCGCATGATCCCGTACAGGATATGATCGACCCTGAATTTCCGGATCGATTCGCGGCTTTTAGGGTATGCTGTCAGAAATTTCTGCTAACATTTCTTATCACGAGATATCCGATACGGGATGCGGTATAGACGGAGAACACCTCTCCCGCATCCTACATCCCTTCGAACAAGGCGAAGAAGATCATGCATTGAGGCACTTCCAAGGCTTAGGTTAGATTGCTCTACAGTAGATGCCTTTGTGTATTGTGGCATTAGCCAGGCCTCGGTTTGGCCCTAGTAGAACGGATCGTCAACGCGCACGGTGGGAAGTTCCATATCGCGAGTGCCGGTAAGCTAATAGCAGCCACCAACACAAAGCACCAATTTTCGAGGACGAGGGCGAGGCACAAGCGTGACCATCACTTTGGCCACCAATAGACGGGATGCTGATGCAGCAGCGTCGATTCAAGCGAAGAAGGCACTCGGGAATAAGCGGATTCCGATGGTGAGCGATCAGTCTGATTGCGATGAGCCCGTATTCTAGCAGTCCGAGGGGGTGGACACTGTGTCGTACACTGTCCAGAATAGCTCCAACTTCGACTGACTCCTGAAGATGAATTATACGTATTAGACGGTACGACCTCGGAGGCAATCGATTCAGACCGCCCCGACTTCGCCAAGTACAATGTCGGCTACACCGTATCATATTGGAATTGCTCGACATATCTTACTCATTGACGAGGATCCAACTACTCTCATGATCCTCGAGAGTTTGCCCGAGCCTGCCGATGACAAATGGTTCGACCCTCGATACCGAGCACTTAGAAGTGTGCCCTGGACAGGTTCTTTCATCAAGCGTCGACGACCAACGCGGCCGACTTATGGCTGGAGACTCACAAAATTGTAGTCGCCTGGATCACAAGTGTTGGAAAAGGCCTATCAGACGATTCATCTGATGAACCTCTCCCAGCACAACTGTGGAGGCGGTATTAACGTTTGCCAGGTTCCGGATCTCGTCCTAGTCGATATGGATATACGTTGCAACGGGGCCGGCTGCGAGTAACAGAATGTATTGTCGTCACTCTTAGTTTCAACGGCACCAGGTATATCAAGAAACTCCGTGAGAAGTTCTCGAACAGACTGCTCATACTGTGTACGTCTATGAGGAGGAGTAACGAGGTACTCCGACAAGCCATCGATGCACAGTGAGCTGAGAGATATCAACCTCGATCCCGATGGAAATACAGGGCAAACGACTTCATTTACAAGCCGTTTAACAAGTACCAGCTGCTCTCCCGTTTCGAGTGTATGTTTGCTTCTCATCAACTATCCGCCTCCGCCACAGAGGTAGCTGCCCGCGACGCGGTGTGATAGTGGAAATACCACCATAGGCACAGATCAATACTGAGCTCATGCGCCGATCGTTGCCTACATCTGTTTGCTACCGCTTGGAACGCGGTGAGGAGTTCGTATACGAGTTACATCAAATGATATCTGTAAGACTTCGAGCTGTATTCTATGCTGCCGAGAATATCTGCGAGCAGTAGAGCACCTAAGGCGCGCGCACGTGCGCTAGTATACGTTATGGTTCCTGCTGAGGCCACTCGCCACTAGCGAGTCACCAGCTAGCACTCTGAATTAGTGTAGGCTACACTGTCTAGCCCAAATGCGTGATCCAAGATTTGTCATGAAGCATAACCCGTCAGTATCCGATCAGATCATGCTAATCACGGTCACGAGCACTGCATCTTCTTCGTCCGAAGAGGGAGCGTCGGCCATGGCTAATGCCGTCGACGAATTCTACAGCTTCGTCCAACAAGAGGTCGGCAGATATATCATTGCGATAGCGAGAACTTTTGATCTATGAAACAGTTCAATCTAGGCTCGAGGACATGAGCTTCATACGATGCCACTAGCAGCGGGACTCGTTTTCGTCGTTGTTGGCGGGATCAACGATTCCACCATTAAGTTTTTATCGAATGGATCTCAGCGAATGTATGACCACGTTGAAGAAATGGTCAGGTGAGTTTATCAAAGTGGACTCTCGACATGCAGTTGAGGTCTGACAGATTCGGCCAGAGTGTGATGAACGAGGGCAACACTTCATTTAAGGAAACCATCAGTATATCTATCAGCATGCACTGTGGTCCAGCACGTGGTTTCGTCGTCTCCTCTTCTGGCATTCCAAGGTGGAGACCATTCCCCGTCATCGGTGGTAGAATTATATGGCAGATATATGCTCACGGGGGCCACCATGGATCATGTTGTGGCAGTAGCTCACAGCATTAAAGAGGGTTCCTTCGTTATAACGCGAGAGGTGCTTCTCACGATGCTTACCATCCGATGAACAGTATCCACTACGGGCCGAGGTTTCAGGTTAGAACTCAACTGACGAAGCTTGGATACTCTGATAAATCTGGGATTTTCCGATTCACACCAGTCTCGGTACCTTTTGTGGTGATACCCTGCACCCTGACCTGTCTAAGTGTATTTAGCTGCTCATATCTTCCATCGTAGGTCTCAGATCAAGATTCGGAAGGTGAATCCCAAACGAGCAGCACGCTGTTTTATGTTGGACCCGAGAGTTCAAATGCGACAAGACAGGCGCACACGAATGTAGGCTGTCCTCGAGCTCGGCCTGCTCATGAACTCTTGTTTGTTAGATCATCGAGCGGCTACCTGTGAACGATCTATCCGCAAGTAGCATTCCTGCAGACCTTCGAGGGAGTCACAAATGCCTGACCCACAGCGAGCTCGTGAAGGCGTATCAATGATCGAAAGCCACGAGGCTCAGTATCCCCCGCCGTGGCAGATACAAAGAGCTCGAAGAGGAACACGAGCGAGCCCTCGTTGAAATGCGCGAGCTTCGTGAAGAAGTCAGACAGTATCGGAAAGGGCGTCAGCTTGCTAGAGATCCGGTCCACTATCAGCGTAGATGGCCAGATGATGCTCCCGCCTTTGGCGAAGTGACGGTCGATCATGAGTGCGACCGACGACTGTTGCGATTGAATAAAGAGGTGGAGAGTTTGATGGTACATGTGAGATGAGGTTAACGGTGATGCCATATTGGACGATCAGGATCGCATACGATATCTTAATACTACAGGTCGACCACTAGACTAAGGCTTTCGTGCTTGGCAATTTCGCACCGTGCACATGTAGTTCGATCATGTCTCACGAGCTCATAGATGCTTACCGAGTTGAGTTCTTTCGGTCGATATCATCGATTCGTCGAATCGACATCGAATCGGATTCGATGCCGAGACGCGGCGAGATGACGCTAACGGAACAGATCTTTTATTCGGATAGAGCTCGGCCGAGCTAACCGAATACTCAGCCTAAGCCATCCCGTCCGCCGGTTATCTCGCCCTATGGGCAAAACTCATCGGCATGATGAAAGTAGACAATTTAAAAGGCTAAAACCGATCGCTCGGCAGCTAATGCACATCGATGCGAGTCTAACTAAGCCGTGTTGTCGGCGTTGGACTTTGAACTCACAGTTGGACTGAGTAGCCATATACCAGTTGGACTTTGTCGGTTATGCTTCATTGTCGGACATTCTCCTGCGCAGAGGATAGAAAAATATAACTCTTTCCCAGGGGAAGTCCCCCTGGAAAGATGATTATAATGCGCCTACGCTCGAAATGATGGGCCGTGTTTTTCGATGTTACAATGTTTCGATCGTTCCGTTACAGTGCATATGAAATGATATCGATGAACGAGGTACAAAATGAATTGGGCGCAAACCTTCCCTACATGCAAAATCCCATCGTTGCTCTCGAAAAATTAATCATGGAGAGTTCTCCCACATGTAATCTCTGATTCCCGTTCTGAGTATTTGCTGTATTTAGCACGCGTTATTTTGGTGGTTTTTGTATTCATACGAATGTGTGCCATTCCGCATAATATCGTCTCCACTTAATTCTTACTAATACAACACAATACGACTATGGTATTCCGTGCAAATTGAAACCATGCGGCGGCGATTCTATCGCAGCTCAGGCTGAATCTCCCTGAAGCAACGCCAATACACTATTTACGAGGGGCATCGCCCTTACCTCGGCGGGAGCAACATCTGAAGCCATCATTTGACTGACGTGCTCACCCACGACGAAGTTAGGATGCTTCGTCAAAGTCCTGAGTGTAGCAGAACATAACCACTGAGCCGATCTCACTCGTACTCACCTCTGCTCTGGCTTGTCCTTATCGGGGCTCTCCCGAATTACACACAGAATTTTATCGACATCCACGAGCCTTTTGATGACCATCGTAACGATCGCAGTGAAGCGGTCCATTTCTTCCTGCAAATAAGGGAGGGAGGCAAATCTGTCGGAATCCTCAGCGTATCCGCCCTCACCTCCGAGTGGAGCTGGCTCTCCAACTGCTCGAGATACCAATTGCTCAGCTCCTCCTCAGTGGTGGTTTGTCCCAGCTGCTCACGGTGGTCCAAATACCAGGCGAGCGAACGAGCTATCTGTTCATACTCAGCGAAACTGATACGCTGAAACAGAAGCAGATGACAGAAAATTGGACAAGACTTGTCACTTCGCGTCGAGCCCTTGGCCTTGGGGCTGCCTCCTGCATATCCACATCCCCTGAATAACAGCATGCCAAACTCAGTGAGGTGATTCAATATGCACTTACCATCTTGATCGGGCAACTCTTCATCGTCTGCTTCCCCATCATCACCAATCTCAACCTAGAGCAGCATCAGAGCGTCAAACACTTCAAGGAGCACAGCTGGATCTCACATCAGTCTGATCGATTTTCCTGATACTTCCTCTAACGAGTTGGTACGCCAACTCCACGTGAGTTCCCTTTACCTATTGCATGCAAGGTAAGTGTAATCATATCACTAGCATGGCCCACTAACCTCCTTAGACCAGAACACTCGCGCCACAGCTTCCGAAAGTCGAACCAGCGATTCCAACTGGCGGACTGTGACTCGGTACGCTCTCTTGAACATACCCTGACCAAACGTAGATTCAAACTCCGACTCAACATACAGGTGATATGGCTACCTTCTCAGCTTCTCGCAACTTGACATAGTACTTCACGATGAGCACTCGAGCACGCTCTGTGATTCTAGGCTGGATCTTGCGGGCTTCGTTTATGTAGAGCCTCAAATCGGTCGCCGTAACGTCAGCATTTTCGCCAGACCCTTCAAGAGGATGATATATTAGTACACCAGTAGTGACGAGTCTACCTCTGGAACCTCTAACATGTGTCTTGAGCAGATGCTGTGCTATCTGCCGATCGTCCTCCAAGTCGGGCGCGTCAATAAGAACATAGAAAAGGTCGAATCGGGACCTGTATATGAGGGACAGAGTACAGCAGCTTCGAGGGAGACGGTGGGTACATCAACGGCTGAGAAATATCCACATTTTGCTGCAGACCAGCGGCCAGATTGTATCGACCCCACTTCTAACAAGCACGTGCTCTTTCCTCAGCAGCACTCTATTCACTCACTGGATTGGCGGCGGCCAGAATGGAGGCTCGAGCGTTCATCGTAGCCTGTATGCCCGCCTTCGATATGGATATAGTCTGCTGCTCCATAGCCTCATGAATAGCCACCTACACGCAGTAAGGCTACAGTGACGGCTACCTCCCACCTGGTCCTTTGCATCCATCTTGTCAAACTCATCTATACAGCAGACACCTGAGGCACGGCTTCGTCGATAGGCACGTTCTGTCACTAGTCTCATATTACCGTTATCCGAGAGCATGAGGGCACCAGGCTCGATGATCACATCGTTCGACTCGGGATCGCGAGCAACTCCTGCAGTCAAACCAGCGGCAGTGGAAGCCTTGCCGCTAGCGTAGACCGCACGGGGAAGAAAATCGGATACCCACCTAAAGATAAGGTACTTGCTGTACATGACCGAGGGCCATTTTCACTACTGTGCGTGCGCTCTTCTCAAGCAAAAACTATTTCTCGACGCACGCGGTGAATACCAAATGATTATTCAACACAATGAGTGTATGAATATGATGAATATACACTAAGAGTTTGGGTAGCTGCATCGAAATCCCGATCGACTTATCGAGGCGCGTACTACTTGAGGAATTGGCTCTTGGCTGTACTGGGATCACCAACGATGCAGACGTTGATGTCACCTCGGAGTTTCATGCCCTCCTTCCTCGTCACCTTCGGCACCCCACCTGAGAATGCCCACATTACAACAGAAGTCTGCAGAACAGCAGTACTACCAATGAGCTGGAGCAAGATGCCCTTCTTGACGTCCTCTTGCCCACATACACCAGGGGCGATGGCCTTGGCAAGCCGAGTAAACGGGTCGGCATGCTCCGAGATCTCCTTCAGTCTGTCTCGATGCTCAGCCTGCTCCATAAGGATCTCCAAATCACTCAAACGGTGATGGACGATACCGTCATAGCCTCCTGAATTTCCGGATACTCCCCTCCATCGCCGCCCCTCATCATAACCTACACCAAGACCCCGTCAACACTCGAGGAGGCCCAACTAGCTACCTCTGGGGTCCGCAAGTCCCCTCCTTTCCACTGACTGTCAGATTCGACGTACCTGACGTAGCAGGGCTCAGGGCGGGGCTATAGGCAGATTTTACGTGGCCAAGAATGATATCTTATGAGTGAGCTCTCTGACACCAAGCTGCTTGAGCCCAGAGATTCCCTCATTGCCTGCCGACATCTCAGTCGCGAACCTTGACAGTGCATAAGGAGCCTTCACCAGGGATGGCAGTAGTACCGCTTCGTCTGTTCACGCTTCACTGCAGTAGCCATCTCTCCAGGCTTCATCATCGCAGGTACGTCAGGCACACAGATCATGCTTCCCACAGCTTGGATCTTATCACCGGGCTTAACCCTGCCCAGCAACAATACTGTATCACCCAGCAGGTCTATCTACCTCTCGCAGATATCGCCCCTCACAATCACATCAACGCTCCTAGGCATGCTGCCAGCAGGAATCCTATTGGCATGTTCCTGTACCTGCTCATAGAGAACGATGAGCATCCACCGATTCGTGTGTGGCAGTCTGTGTGTCACCCTAATCTTCTGCCAGTCAGTGAAGGTGGATTGATGAGGCTTAAGGATGAAGCCCTGCTTGTTACGACACCTGAGCTTAGTGACCCACACGCCTTACGACGGGACTACTACCTAGGGTTCGGACATATTATGGGCTCGGTGAATCTGAAGTTCTGATGGACATTGCTGATCTCTCGCGTACCTGTACATGGGGAATAGGGCGACTACCATACCCTCGACCGACATTCGGAGCACTCGAACGTTCCAATGAGCAGCTCGGGCTGGACCACTGACGTCCTGAATGAGTTGATGGACACCACATCCATGTTTATGACTCCCACCTGGTCACAGTGCCGGTAATAGTGACAAGCTGCCCGAGATTCCCCATGCGGAGATCGCGCAAAGAGTGTCTCTGTTCCACGTTGTAGAAGGACACACTGAAGCGGTTGGTCTGAGAGCTCAATAAGCGCTCAATAAGCACTAACGAGGCGTTCCATCGAGGCCACCTGGAGGGCCCATTGAGCGATCTCTGCCGAGATGCTGACGATGAAAGTCTGCAGAGCATTGACTAGGTTGGGCTCCAACTTGAGGTAGTGCTTGGCGATCACATTACGCAGGTCCAAGGGGTCGAAGTCCAAGTTGTCCCCTTCCATTCTGAGCCGATTACCCGTCGCAACATATTCAGACTCATACTTTAGTTACAGAGCTTACTCAGAGAACTTCTCAAAGTGGGTATAGTCGATGAAGAGAGTATGCATTTCCTCAGCACGCATGCGACGAACCTGACCACGATTAGCGTTGAAGCTAGAGGTTACGACGAAAGCCCACTTGAGTAACATAGGCCGGCTCAGCATCGTCAGCATTGTTTTTGAATTTCATGAGGAACTCGACAAAGTACCTGAACGGACCGAAGCTGATCGAAGCTCAAGCCGGGCGGGTGGAGGACCTCTCTATGGTAGCTCCCAAGGCTTGGTCGATATCGGCCATGTTGTTCAATGCGACAAAGTGTAAGTGCTGGATAGAGACTCCCAGTAAACAGTATTAACAACATGATGAACACGAGGCAATAGGGAGGAGATAGCTCAGTAACAGGCATGAAGCATTGATGAGGCCGTTCAGTTAAGGTAACAGGTGAATCGAGATACATGCTGCAGGAAAGACAATAAGATGGCAATTACTGATCGACAGGAGCTGCTCCTGCGCTCAAGCAATCGATACTTCGTGCCGTTTAACTGAGGGATACCATAACATCTCCAACTATGTTGCTGATGCCAAAGAGAGGCGCGCTGGAGAGTGGTAGCCCTTGAGGTATAGAGAGATGTCAACTCATAATGTAAGGAGGCAAGTACTGGTCGACACGGACTTCTCGCACGTGCTGCTTGATTCAACGGCCGATGCTGCATTTCCAGGCGACAGTGGTGCACAGATTGATACTTTATTCGACCACAGCATCGTCGACTGTACGACTAACGAGATGGACCACCTGATCGTTTAAATGGAAGCCAGCATCCTCCAGAGCCGTGCGAACGAGGCTAACATCGAGACAAACTCAGTGAGAGCATCAGCCAGCGTCGGTCGAATGAGCTCTGACAAACATCTATACCTTTTTCACCACAAGTTTAAATTATGGAACTTCGATATCAACCCCCCATGTCAACCTTTGAAATCCATCCAAATTCAATTTGGAATGCACCTTGGTCCGAAGTTACAATCGCAGTTTAGAAACGGGAGGAACTATTTCGAAACCTGCATTTTGAAAACATCGAGTCTATAAGTCGTGGCGAACCGACTGAACGAGCCGTTTTCAACAGTAGTTATCACCAAACTGATCTTTACGACTATGCAACGCTTAGAACGGGCTTGAACAGCAACTGGCACGGAAAGAGGTACGAAAGACCTCTTATTTGCCAAAGCCTTACAACCCACAAAGACGATCTGGAGTAAACTAGCTTTTTCACCACCAAGTAAATAATACGAATAATACGCCACTGATGCTCAGTTTGAGAATTTCTCGCCACAGAATATAACAGAGTCAACCCAGTAGAATGGGATGAAATCGGCAACAACACAACTGAGTATTAACAGAAGCTTCCAACACAACATGACGACCAAATTGTGAGATAATGATGCATGTACGGTCTCTAGTGACACCATACACGTTAGATGATAGCTAACGATGATGCTTCATGTAGGATCGCAGAAGCAGTAGTGCTAGTTTTACATAACTCTCTACTATAAACAAACAGATGCCCAGCCACTAGAAGAATGATCAATGCTATGTAAGCGCTCAACAATACTAGAGGCAGCAACGGTAACTCTCAAAGGGACGGACTGAGTGCAGGAGGCAGGTAACTCAACCATCGCCTTTAAAGATAGGGCAAACATCCGATGACGACGATGATCATAGTGCTACCGTATATAGATAAATTATACGAGTACAGTATAGCATACACCCGTTCAAGAGTGGTCGTCAATAACACTGATCAGGGTAATGTAAACCATCGTCATAGTTGCAACTGATCAATACTGATAACCACTCCTTAACGGTACAATAACCGACTACTCGTAAGAACAACTTAACGAGAGACGGCAGCGGCTACAAGAGCAGCACCGACACCAGAGCCATCACTGCTGTGGACTGTATGCACTAACGAAGCGGCCGACTTGCCGATGATCATAGCAAAAGCATCGTCCAAACGCTGAGGATAGCGATAACCCTTCTGATATAGGGAACCATCAACACCAATAGTCAAAGACCTAGGCATTCCATGAACAATGCAAACCTCACGCATGTGACGCTTCTCATTGTCCATGATATCGCACTTCTGAGCAACAGCCGAAAGAGCAGAGGCACAGAGACGAGCGCTGCGCTCAAGAACAGCTTCACCAATACCACGGAAGACCGTCATAACAACCTCATCATCGCAACCGAGGTTCTCCCCTTCCAATGCGGCGCACACATACTTCGTATCAAGGCCAAACTCGTTGAGGAAGTCAGGTAAGTGAGCTGAGTAGCCCTTGAGGACATCACGGGTGACCAAACGAGTCAACTCGCCCAAGTACATACCGGAGATAGTCTTCTCAAAGTACTGCTTACCCCTGTTGGGGGAAGCCTTGTCTACAGCCTCATCGTAGCAGTTAAGAACAGAGGGAACCTCCTTGAAGTTGTATCCACCCCACTCAGTGTTGACGACCAAGTTACCGAGAGTAGGGTCAGAGTAAGCAGCATTGGTACCGGTACCAATGATCATACCAACACGGCAAGTACCACAACCCTCGAACTCGTAAGAGCAAGTCATGAGAGTTCCCACAGTATCATTACACAGAGCAGCGACGTAGATCGGGACACCCTGCTCCTCGAAAGCCTTGTTGAGCAACGTAGCAGGGTCCTCTCCAACAACACCAGTAGCGGAGAAACCCTTAGTCCACTCGATCAACTTGCCATGGTTGATAGCAGACTGGCTCATGGGGAAAGAGAATGTGAAACCAGCAGGCATAAGATCGTCATCATGGAATTTGTCAGTGAGCTCCTTAGCAGTGGCGGCGATAAAACCAAAGAGATCCTCAGCAGTGCCACCCATAACATCATGAGGTATGGGCTTCCTGTTCTCGGCAATCTCAGGTTGCTTCTCGGTGCTAAGCACAACACGTAGAACTCTCAAATTGGTTCCACCAAGATCAAGGGCGTAGTAGATGCCAGCCTCATGACCACGAGGGAGCACATTAATGTGAGAGGTAAGCATCTTAACGCTAGATGCCTCAGAAGGGGCACCAGCACCCTGACCGGCCTCCCAACCGAGCTTCATCTCCTCCAGGAAGTCGTCCTTCACCTTAATCATCACCTCCTTGGGAGTTTCGAACTTGGCGACCGCTTCCGCCAGACGATCGGAGATGTCGCTAGGAAGCGTGGTAGAAACCATTGTTTCGAGGGGTTCGTAAAAACTGCGACCCAGTTTTGTATTGGAAACTTCACAGCTAAAACGCTTGTCCATGGCGGAGCGAAGCACAAGAAATAAATTACGTGAAAAACATCACCACCTCGAATCGTACCCGGGTCAAATAACGTCGAACTTACACCGATTCCTACAGCTCCTACAGCGTCACTTAGCCAAGCAGTCTGGCAAGGAGAATCCGGCTAGCCTAGACTTTCATATTTTGGCGCAGCACATACATTTCGTGGAAACAGAGTCCTAATCCACGTTCAACGAAGGCATCGTTCTTCGACAACAACGGAATCGTGAGAACATGATTCGACATCAATTTTATCCTAGGGGATGAGGAGGTGAACGAGTATTCGAGGGAATACCCGTGATGTAGCTAGCGAGTACTATGACAACGCTACACACATCGGTTCGAAAAGTACAGTTATAATATTATAGTCGATTGGGCTGCATCATTAGAACGCTCACGAACTGTGTAGAAAGTCACGTTCTCAGTGCCTCTTACTAATCGCTGTTGGTGTATAAGGAAGATTTGACTTCAGCTTCCGTCTATGACTGTCTCTTGTGTTACAGTGGGATTATGTGACAAGCTGCGCTAAAGACAGCCTCTTCATCACGTCATTATATAAGGTCGTTTGTCTGTGTGTAGTATCGTTCGCATACTTATTCTGTTGTATCAGGTAGCACTCGTCTAGTCTGCTACTATCACTCAAAATGCATTCGGGAATACTCATCCGGTATAAGCCTTACAACCACCTAGAGCACAGTATGCGACTGTTGAGAAAGCACCTACAACTAGATTGGATTCTCATATGTCGTCGACATAATGTCGATCAAAGGAGGAGGAAGAGGAGGAGGCAGGACTTCTAAGTCGCCTCGAACAGCCTTGCCAGCGTTTCAGCGCCCCCCCCCCCAGAAACGAACCTAGGCCACAAACTGGCCTGCGATCATGCATCTAGTCTCCGCATTCAACTTTTCATTACCGCTTAACAGTTCAACTTAACTTACCGCATTTCAACCGCTGAATTCCACACCGGCAGAGTCCGCGAGCTATGCATATACGAAATAGTCATTAAAATGCAATCCTAGGGGCCCATCATCATCTTGAATGGAAATATCGACAACCTCATAGCATAGTGCAAATAGTATTACCTGTCCTCAAAAGAGCCACTCTTGTCAAGAGCCCTGAAGTGCCTCAATAATGACTTTTTTCGACACGTCTGGGATTTACTCTCCCACACATCACGAGGATAACGACTCCCTATGACCCTCTCACTTTCCCCCACGTACATATCTCGATCAATTCATCCCAAAAAATAACCATTGCCAGACCAGGCTTCCGAGCAGTCTTATTAACCCCCATATGATCGAGACCGACTCGGCAACTCCTTGCATGTCTTTTTCGTCGGCATCAACAACAACAATAATACTCCAAGCCTCGTCCAGTAGCCCAACTCAAGAGCCTCTTAGAAACCAATAGAAACCCTACAGTTGTAATATGACGTTAAGGTTGTTGTATAGTAAGTTATGACGTATCCACACGGTTTGTGGCAGGTCCCTTCACTATCTAGTCCGAATCGGAACCACCATCGGCATCCATCCTGTGGACCTTCTCGGTTTGGCTGGGCAAAGCTCCCTCCTTGCGCTTGAGCTCCTCCCGACGCTTCATCTGGTCCAGCTTGGTGATCGGCTTCTTGAGCAGCTCGCCTGAGCACAGGCGTGCCTTCATAAGCCCTGCCCCCACCAACACTACTACCCTGCTTGGCGATCTCCTTCTCAGCGAGGTGGATGCGGACCTTCCTCTGTGCGGCCAGCCTGTTCCTCTGGAACCTCTCCTTGCGTACCTGATACCGGCCTCAACTCGAGAATCAACCTGCGGAAGCTACCGTTCTAATGCGATCGACTATCTTCATGGCTCGGACCGTCTTCACCCACAAGTCACGGTCGTATTTGACCTAAACAAGTAACCACATTCATACCACACCACGGCCACATCTCCTACAGGAGTATTCCTCTTCTTCTCGAAGTCGAATGTCGAGTCGGTAGTCATCTCCTTACCATGAGCGGCCCTAAGAAAGATATATTCCCTACTTAGGAGACTGGTGCCCTTGAGCGATGTATTCTCATTTTTTTCTAGTCTGTCCCTATGTTATTCCCATAGTAGTGAGACACGCTCCATCGTGACGTGACGTAGTTTCACGCAGGAGCGCTATGCACATGCGTGCTGCGCGCTGAAGCTCATTGCTCATTAGTCGATTAACTTTCGTCTTCTTCGTCCCGACTTCCCTATGCCTCCTGCGCGTCGTGTTCCCGGGAAGTCCTCTAACTCGAACTCTAGGTCACAGGGCTCTAACAGCGCCAACAGCTCAGCTTTTGGTGGAGAACCCGGGCAAGGCAACGATGACGGTATCGCCAACACCTCCGCGGCCGCCCCTAGCGAGCAGGTTCCCCAAGAACCTCCCCTCGGTGCTGGTTTTGGAGCCCTTCAAGCTTTCCTCCAAGACCACGAGTTGGAGGAGGCCGATCTGTGGTTTCTTGAAGACAACGACCTTCCCGATCTCATACTTAGAGTTCAACTACGTCGGTACCGTACGACGAGGGTACCCCCGCCAATCGCGATGTTCGGTCAACCCGACGACACTGGCAATGCCCCAGAGAAGGTATGGCATACCCCGCCATCTGTGATGCAGCAGCACTCACTGCTGGGAACTCATTTCTCAAGCGGTACCCCGGCTCCCACTTTTGCTGGCCACGAAAATGGACCGCCGAACGCTCCCAACCTAGCAGTAGCGGCTGATCCCCGTTCGCACTCATCCGATGATGTTGTCCCCCACGGCTACCGTTCTTCGCTCGGTGATCATCTTAATGGATCTTCGTCCCCTTCTGCCACTGGCGTCGGTTCTTTGTATCGAGGTTTGAGCGCCCTATCGAAGGTGCCCTTACCCGATGGAGGAAAGTATCGTGGTCAACAAGATGCTCGTCCCATAGTTTGCCTACTTTCGGATATCTCCTCAACTGCTGCCGATTTCCACCTCAACGCTGCCGACACCTATCTGTACCTAACTCAGTGTCTCGACTCGTCTGTCTACAAGCAGCTTGGCAAGCATATCCGCCGCATCGGACTCTCGACGGGTGACTCGTTACAGAAACTCCAGGAAGCCGATCGTTTCCTACGAGCCCGATACAAGATGACCAACAACAACGGCAAGTTTGTTGCCCGTATCGATGCTTTGAAGATGGAGAAATTGGAAACTCCCACTAGCTTTGTTGACCGACTCCGTGCACTCCTCGACGAGGGACTTGACATCGGTATTCAACACACTCCTTACCAGGAGAAACAGTTGTTTATCAAAGGACTGTCACCTCATTACCGAGAACAAGCTTGTTCGGTATGGCCAAACATCAGCAATATCAACGAGCTGGCTGAACTTCTCACCGACTGGGATATTCAGAGGAAGAAGTATTCCCACTCTGTATTGGGAAACACTCTGAATACGACAGAACAAGCGATGGTGTCGTCTACTGCTGAATCTCTACCTGGGATTGCTCAGGCTGTCCACACCGATAACAACAAGATGGCCACTGTAGCGAGTAGCATACGAAAGGGTTCCTGCTATCGGTGCAATAAACCGGGTCATCGTGCAGGTGTATGTCGTTCTCAAAATGTCTACCAAATCAACAAAAGATGCAGCAAGTGTGGCGACTTCAGCCATTCGATTGCAGAATGTATGCGTACCCTTCTCACTCCGTGCCCAAGGTGTCGCAAACCTGGTCATATGGCTGGCGTATGTATCGAGTCTTTAGCCACTGGTCCGGCTCTTTCTGCAACGGCGACTACCAATGCAGAGTCAGCGGTTGAGAAACCAGCTTGTACGGAATCAGCTCTAATGGCGACGCAAGTTGATGCACCTTTTGCCTACCTGAATACCGCTGACAACTTCAACTCCGAATGTGGTACCGTTGGAGAGCCATTGGACGTTCCTATTTTTCCCCCGCTGCACCGTTACTGTCGGATTTTACCTTCTACAGATGATAATCACCGAGGTGTGCTCTGTCGTGCCCAAATCGATAACGGAGCTGGCGCGTGTTACATCGACTCTACTCTCCTTGACGATCTACGACAACGTGGTGTACCGTACGTCGAACGTCCAACCAAAAATACCTATCGTACCGTCTTCGGAAACAACGAGGCCCAGCATCACGATACCGCAGTTCTGCTGAGATTCCGTCTCTGTCCCGAGAGCGGCTCCTCTGATGTTGACACGAGCTCTCAGATCATTGAGCTTCCTTTTCTGGTGGCACGGCCGTGTACCCCGCGGTTACTCTTCGGGAGACCGGCTCTACCGTTGCTCGAGAGTACGACTCCACGTAACCGATCCCTATTCGACGAGGTCCCCAACGGTGATGGTACCACCAGATTGAAGGCCAATATTCCTATGCTCGAGAATGCGTCCGTTATGCCCCGCAGCGAGAGTTCCCGTAATCGCAGTACCACTGACCGGTATATACTCGCCGATGTCTGCGATCGGATGGTAGCGGATGGGAAACTCGCAAGAATATCTCCTGAAGAGGAACACAAGGTCATGTGCATCAACGAGCCCGTTCTGGTGGATAAACAAGAAGGCATTCGTGTTCGCCAATATCCTATACCACAATCTGATGTTAACCGGTATCGTCTGACCATCGACCTCAGGAGCGTTAACGAGCTGCAACTTCGTAATGGAGTGTGGGTTGCACCTCGCACCGTCCACTCCAAAAATACCGCTGCTCCTCAACGGCCTTACCAATTCCAAGACACAGCTGCTACGCTACTCCGTGATTTCCCCCCGTCAAGCCGTGGGTGGTTTGCTAAGATCGACTTCTCGGATGCTTTCAATAGCATAGCTATCGACTCGGTTCTCGGTGATAAGCTTTTTGGTATAAGAATCTCCGTCCCCGGCGAAAGCCATCCCCGCATCTATGCCGGGCGTTGCCTTATCCAAGGCTGGCGATGGAGCAGTTTGATATTTGCGAGAGCCGTACGTTGGGTCCTTAATAAGCTGACGATTCCTCCGGGGTGCCACATTTGTCATGTCCAAGACGATGTGATCATCGGATCCCACTCTAAGGAATTATGCCTTACCCTGCAAAGGCGCGTCATCGACCTCTTTAAACACTACGGTTTTATTGTTCGTGAGGATAAGTGTGGCGACGGACCGACTATCACCTTCTGCGGCTTGAAGGCGGATTCTCACACTATACTCCCGGCTCCGAAGCATCCGATCGACGAGAAAGCCATCGATCACTGCCTGAAAGAGCTAGACGACGTCAATCACATCAAGGACCTTCTGAGCCTACTCCGGCGTTGGGCAGGTATCTTCCAATATTGCAAACAATGGCTCCCTCCAGATGGTCAGCAAGCTCTCTCCCAGTTATATTCGATTATCAGTAAGGCCTCTCAAACGGATGCTAGTCTCGACCCACTCAGCAGCGATGCGAGGACCCCATTGAGGTCTCTAGGTCATCTCTACGTCCGAGGACTCCCAAGCCTCTATCTGTTTCGACCATGGGCAATCGCGACCCTTCTAGTCACGGATGCAAATGTCGATAATTGGGCTGGTGTTGCTATACATGTCATACAAGTACCAATCGACTTTCTCCAAAGAGCGAATCTGTCGGAATTCGGATCCAGCTTCGATGATCTGACCAAGCTCTGCCGACAAGAAAACATTGTCTTGGAACGAGATGGCTACAAGATACTGTGCCTTCCAGCTGTTTTCGACGGTGGCTCCTTTCATAGCAACTCCTTCCCTGGCTCCTCATTGGCTATGACACGGTCGTCTACTTTCCGCGAAAGGGCGGCCCAAATCCTCTTCGCTAATCGTAACTCGGGTATCTTGGCCGGTCTGGTATATGGGGTCACGGACAACGTTAATACTACTCGTGAATGGCAATCGGCCATCACTGACTTCTGTGGAGCATGGCACTCTGTCTACTCCAATTACATCTCCAACGTTGAGAAAATCTTGTGGTTGCCAAGAACTTCTTCTACGGTGGCTCTTATAGATCACTTGGCTCGTGAATGTGGCAGTCAGGTCAGCAAGGACAGTGTCACGGAGACTAAGCATGTTGATTTGCGAATCGCCACCCCCGAAGACGTTGGGGATGACGACTCTACTAGCAGCGATACCGACTCTGAAGATCACCCTCAAGCCTGGTCCAACGACGTTAAGGCCTACTTAGACTTATCTACACTCCGTACAGTCTCGTCTACCGACCCCGAGGCTCTAAACCTATGCAAGAAGCCTGGGTATTTTTGGTCCAATGGCACGCCAGGTTTACTCCTCCGACGTATACGGCATGATCTAGGGGGGCGAGTGGTCCTGCAGGTTTTCATCCCGAAGGAGTTTCGAGAGGCTCTGGTGAAAGAAGTTCACCTCGAGAGTAGCCATGGTAAATCGCCGAATGTCGCTTCACGTCTATCAAGCTTCTGTTGGTTCCCCGCTATGAAGCGTTTCGCTGCACAAGTGATCCGCCGCTGTGATTCCTGCCAACTCGTCGACCCTGACGGTCAACAGTTACCACCGCCTGGTTCTCGTAAGGTCGATGCCAAGAGTTGGTTCGAAGTTGGTATAGATTTGATAGGACCCGTAAGGGCGTCCAGCGGATCCGACTCATCCTCTATAACAGCCAGTCTTCTCACGGCAACATGCGCCTACACAAGCTTCACGGCTGTATTCCCTCTGGCTGGGTCTTTCAAGGCTCAAAACATATGCGATGGTCTATCGGTCATCTTCAACCGCTTCGGCTATCCTGTAAGACTACGATGCGATCGAGCCCAAGCTCATCTCAGTAAGTATATGACGGAGTATTGCCGCTTACATGGACTACAAATAAAATATTCTGCTTCGAGGGCCCCTTGGACACTCGGTTGGGTCGAGACTCGCCATAGGGTTATAAACTCCACGCTAGCTAGAATGCTTGAAGGATCGGGCCGTTCATGGGACGACCCTGTCGTTATCGCCATGCTGGAGAACTGCATCAACTCGTACGGCTTGGATTACGAGGGCGCTGAGAACGTTAGCCCTTACGAGCTCATGTTCGGCTTCACACCGTGCTCTGCCCTACAGGCACGGCTCCGTATCGAGCAACTCGACTCTGACTTCGATGATATCGAGACCGATGATCCGACCGAGTTGACATCTATGGCCCGCAATAGAGCCCTCCGTCTAGACAGGCTTCAACAACGATTTATCTCGATATGGCAAGACCGTCGTGAGCGTGCCTTCGAGACTGCTTTGAACAAGAGCTCCAAGCACCGCAGTGATCGTCCCATCAGCATTGGCGACAGAGTCCTAGCTTTGGGCCGTCGCGAGCATAAATGGAGTCGTCGTTTCCGTGGTCCTTTTAAGGTGACTCGTATCATTGGTAAACGTATTGCTGTACTGGTACATGAAAGTACTAACGTTGTGGAGGAACACCATATTAAAAACTTGAAGCTCTTCCGAGAAGACGACGATATTCCGGACGAGGGTGTCCTCGATGTCGATGATGATAGTCGTATGGACGGATTGGTCTCCGATGACCCTGAGGACCTGATTCACGATAAGACCGTGCCCGACGATGATTCTCGAGTTGCTCAAGATGGGAGCAACAATTTTCCACCTCAGCCGAGGCCACAGAGAGCTGCTAAGGAACGTGCTTTGCAAGCTCTGCGAGCGCATGATTGGAATGGTGATGATGACGATACGTAATTTTTCGCTTATGGGTTTTGACCATCACTCGATCAGTGTACACGCTTTTATGGGGGGCGAGGCTGAGCGATGTATTCTCATTTTTTTCTAGTCTGTCCCTATGTTATTCCCATAGTAGTGAGACACGCTCCATCGTGACGTGACGTAGTTTCACGCAGGAGCGCTATGCACATGCGTGCTGCGCGCTGAAGCTCATTGCTCATTAGTCGATTAACTTTCGTCTTCTTCGTCCCGACTTCCCTATGCCTCCTGCGCGTCGTGTTCCCGGGAAGTCCTCTAACTCGAACTCTAGGTCACAGGGCTCTAACAGCGCCAACAGCTCACCCTCACCTATACGCCTTCGTCCAGGCTGCCTTACGAGGGTTGTGCTTCCGCTTGAAGTGACGATGACACTTCGATCGACAGAAACGGAAGATCTACACAGAAGCCGTAACGCCTCGTATGACCCTTCTACTACTACTACTATTACTACTACCTTGCCGTCATTCCGTACAAACATTACCCCATGGCCAGGGTAGATGTTGCTACTGCAGTACCAACATTTCTCGATACGCATACTACTGGAATAAACAACACGCCAACTGACGATGAGCAAAGCCAATACTAGCACAGCAGTCGAGAGCGTGAAGCATTGTAAGCGACTACAGAGCGTCTGGAGCATATGACATCTACCCGGTTACATTCCACGAGGACTCGGGCGAGCGCTAGTTGTTCTAGCGGAGCGAAACGTTGAGGATTGCATCTTTTCGCCTTTTATCCTTTTTTGGTATTAGTGGACTTGTACATGCCCTTTAATCGAAACTCTATGTAATGCCTTACATTACAGCTAACGCCACGAGGAACTTCTAACGATGTGTTATTTTACGCCACCGTACACTCGAACCACTCTCGTTTCTCGCCGTTTGGGAACGATACTGCTTCTTTCCTATTGTCTACTTAGAGGAGGGTACCTGTCGAGCCTACTCCCCTTTACAGGAGTAAGCTACTCTTACTGTTCAACAAGAGCTATAGTCAGCTAGTTTCATAATTCCTGGCAACATGGACACATTTAATGGGTCTTTACCCTGGCCAGCATCCTGAGTTGGTAGTAATACACAAGTTCGTTCGGGAGTATGTCAACCGTCGCTCGTCGACGACTAATACGGGACCTGAAGAAGCTCCAACAGGACCCTCCTAGTGGGGTGAGTGCAGCACCGACTACGGATGATATCATGAGGTGGACTGCAGTCATGTTCGGGCCGGAAGATACCCCTTGGGAAGGAGGTAGGAGGGAAGGACCAGTGTTGGAGGAATATATGTTCCCTTTCCTCCTCAACCGAGCTCAGGAATTTTCTCACTAACTATAGTACGATTTACAGTTGGAGTGTTCAGAAACCAATAAGAATTTCCGAAAATTTTCTCAGAATTTCCGTATTGTCACCGACACGTGTAGTTGACCATGTGCACATTTTCTCACACTGCATAGGGCACAGTAGTTTGAGCCATTCGGTGACGTTTGAAGGTACCTTCCAACTGGAAGTCACATTCAGTGAGGAGTTCCCGACCAAACCGCCTCGGGTACGGTTCCTGAATCCAATGTTTCATCCCAACATCTACACCAACGGCGAGATATGTCTAGACATCCTGCAGAACCAGGTGATAATCTTCCGGCTGCGGTACATGCAGGCTACTGTCTTCCTCCTCAGTGGTCTCCTATATACGACATAGCAGCCATCCTAACGTCGGTTCAGTCATTGCTGTGTGATCCTAACCCCAACAGTCCAGCGAACAGCGAGGCGGCCCGACTGTGGAGCGAGAATCGGCGAGAGTAGTACTATGAGAAAACCACTACTGGAAACGACGGTTTTTCCACCTTAGTAGTGCTCAGGTATAATCTCAAGGTAGTGCAGTGTGTCGAGGATTCCTGGGCGGTCGCAGATGAGCTGACTAAGGATATGAGCGATATTGATGACGACTAATGGTTATACTATAAATGTCACAATAGCTGTATTTTTGCTTCCAAGTTCACTTGATGTGGTTGCTGATAGTTTTTCGTTGGCCTCTGGTGAAGCAGCAGTGTTCATTGCCAGTGAATTGTTCATGCCTTTGTTTATGGATGTTCATGGCCTCTCGTCGCCTGTGAGTGCTCAGCAATGCAGAGCTGAGCTCAGATGCTGAGTCAGCATCCCAGCTAACGATCGTGCGGGATTCCGAAAAGCATCCATATTCACCAGTTGTTCATTTGGAACGCCTAGTGGGTTACTTCTTTAGTCGCATTTGGACCAGTTTTTTCGTTGGCCTCATCGGGAAGGGATGGCTCCGTTGACCACAAATCGCCTCGAAAGCGACAAGATGGAATTTATTTGATGAAGACGACCCAGGTTCGAACCCCGGCTCAGGTATATATCGACCCTCAGAGCTGATTTTCAGTGAAGGTCTTCTGATAAAACCGCGAATATTTCAAAATCTGTCAACGGAGCCACCTTCCATCGATGAGGCCTACACAATACAGGTTGCTCTTTCCCATGATCACTTCAGCATTTTCCTGTTCCTGCAAGATACGTCTAGCCCGGTGACACTCCGTCGTACCAAAATTCACCCGAAAAACTGTACATATTCATCTACATGAACTAGTTTTAAGGAAATTCGCTTATATTTTCGCGCGATAGTGTCTTGTGGATAACAGCACAAGTCGATCGGAGGCTCCGTGCTGATCTCGCAGTTGGTGGTAGTCTTTGGCCATAGGCGTTGCAACTCGCAGTTGGTTTTGTCTTTGATGGTGTTTCTCTCGATTTCTTCTATTTCTGTGTTTTGTCAATACCTGGTTGAGAGTTATCGGATCGAAGGCGTTGATGATAAGTGGATCGCAACACACGAGGGATGCCCCGCAGTCATATAAATGTGATGATGCTCTTCAAACTCCCTGTAGTCCGACTTCGTCTGGCTCTCGGTGAGGTTCAATGGAGAGAGAGGTGTTGGTTGTTGATCAAGATGAGACTCGACCGTTTTCCAGGCACTGGCAGGTAGCCTGCTATGGCTGAGGTGAATTTTCTCTAGGGTGCATACTTTGTAGGAACAATGGTTCGTGTTTTGGTTCATAGTGGATTGCCGATCAGCTTGCTCTGGGGTCAGCCTATTCGAGAGGGAATGGGAGCAGTCACTACCGATGTAAAGATGATGAACCTTGAAGGTGCTATATCCATGACCATCGGTGTGTTACTGGCATCCATACGTTGGTGTCTGCTTATGAGCAACGAGTCGAGTTTGAGAGTATTCAGGAAGCGTCGTTCCCGATACGTGCTATCTCTCTATCAATTCGACGATGCCATCCACGGGAAGTTTTGGGGCATTTTCGACTATCTACTGTGTCACAGTGTATCGATCTTGGCCGGAGCGCAGGATGAGTCGAATCATACGACTGATCATGCACTCGAGCCATGGTCGTTGACGTTAGACTCGAATGGTATAGATCGTCCTGCAATAATTGATAACCACCAACGTAGAGTTTCCTCCTCGTGCTTGTTGTTTCATCGCCGTTGATGTCTGCCCTCATCGGAAACACTCTACTCACCCAAGACGGCACCGAAGTGAAGGCTGACGATGTGCTCGCTGGGAACGAGAAGATTGCCTTGTACACCGTGCGTTGTTGTTGTGGGATTCTCAGCGGTCTGAGGTTCAGGTACTTCTCGGCTCACTGGTGCCCTCCTTGTCGGAAGTTCACTCCTGTACTAAAGGAGTTCTACGAGGTTTGTGGCCCTTGTAGTTCGCCAGCTCCAAAGGGCATTGTGTTAGGAAGTGAAGGAAGAGGAGGGCGAGGACAAGTTGGAGATCATATTCATATCTAGTGACAACTCCGAGGAGGAACAGGTAGGTGGCCAACACTATGCTGGTATCTTCTTTATAGTGCGCAGGTGGAGTACCACAAGGAGGACCATGGGGGCTGGCTCAGAGTGCCATACAGTGACGTTGAGACCAGAGATGCTCTTAAGAAGGAATTTGGTGTGTGTGCGGGGATCGAGAAGGAGAATCTGGGCATCATCAATGACGACCATAAATCGGGCATACCTTGCCTTCTTGTGGGACGACACGCCATCTGAGTTGCTGTTGTTGACGGTGATTGGGCGCAGATATTGGACGAGGACAAGCGGAGTGTGAAGGTCTTCGATGGCGTGAATGACGTCAAGACGATGGGCCCAGTAGCCGTCGATATGAAGTGGTGATAACACCTCCTTTGCAGTTGCATGTAGCCGGTTTAATACCACCAGACTAGTCACTATGTGTTCTTGTTGTTGTTGTCATAGGGGGAGTAGCATGAGTAGTAGTTGCCACACATGGTCCTCATGTATAATGTCATTTGAGTTATCGGTCTCCACCTCCTCGTTCACGGTCTCATCATCAACAGCAGCAGGTGGAGCTCTGCCGCGTGTGGTAGCTGCCGTACCAAAGGAGTGTGAGGGCATACGAGTCGATGGAGATAAGATCCATTATAGAGGCCTGAGGTACATGAGGCACAGTCGGCTCTCTCAATAGACTCGCGTCTCGGGGTATGAATGAGCTCCGCTCGGCGGCTTGTCTCGCTGTTGTCGTTTGCCGTACCACGTCTGTGGCAGTTACCCCTTCCATGCAGTTATCGAGGATCCCGAGACGTCCTCTCCTGGAGACCTCTATGAGCGGACATTCGCAGACCTGGTCACAGCAGCAGCTGGGGCTAGACGAGGGGCCCTACTCCTTGTCATCGGCTCTACCACGCTGGGAAGGAGACTATTGGACCAACTTGGGGCTCAGGCCCTCGAACAGAGCAGGTCAAAGCAGGTCTCCGTGGAAGTATACGAGACGGCTCGAGACGGAACCACCGCGGGCCAGCTCGTGGAGAAGACCATCTGTGAGAGCCCCGAGGACGTCCTCACTTGCATGTCTCTGGGACGGAGCTTGATCTCGTCGCCGTACAGCGACCTCTGTAGCGTCATCACATTCCACGGCGGTTCGGCTACGGTCATCAACTCATCGTGTCAATCTCTCGGCTCGTTTATATTCCCTTCCTTGATCCGTACCATACCTTCCATAACTCACACATGCTTGCTCCTCTGCTTGCCCACCATCGTGTCACACCCCGAAGGGCTCGAGAGAGATCTCAGAAGAGCACTGGCTCTGGTCGGGAGACGGCCGTTGGATGCCGATCAGGAGCTGGAGGCTCTTATAGTCGCCTGGGAAACCAAATATGGTCTGGACCGGGGAGAGGAGGCTGGCAGAGTTGGAAGGCTGCGAGCTGTTGAAGAGAAGCTCAGTGATGAAATTGATGAGATAACGGAGCAGTGTGAGAGGCACCGTAGGAGGGCCAGCGTCCTTAGCGACCGACTCAGCGAAGTAGCACAGTTCGGTGTGCTCTCTGGTGGGAGGGACAAGGATGAAGGTGAGCACTGCCTGAGTCCTGCTGGAGATTCGGTAGGCTTCCAACTGCAGTCACAAGACAGGAGTTGGCCGAGAGCCGACAGGCCCGCAAGGAGTTGGCGGCCAAGTTGGACGAGCTGGAGGGGATCAAGACCGAGATAGAGGCTGACAGGGACCGTCTGGTATCGGCCAGGGTTTCTGGTCCCTCAGTGGGAGTTAGTTATGTCAGGCGGTTGAGGCAGGGGCACAGAGACGTGCCAGTGACAAGCTGAGGGAGGAAGTCACCAAGTGGCGGCGTTCGTTGGAAGCCATGCAGCAGCAAGTCGGTGGTCCAAGCCGTGCCCTCCCATAAAGAGTGCTTTCAGATGGCCATGGACACAGGGGCTCGAGCAGCTGAGGAGACCAAGCTCATAGAGGAGCTCGAGAAGGCGAGGGGACAGGTAGGTCAATGCTTCCTCACCTTCCCGACGGTCAGAGTATCAGACTGCCAAGGCCGAGTCAGCCCTAGAGGAGGCCAAAAAAGCGCATCGCTCCGCCGTAGACCAAGCCGAGGCCCTCAAAGTAGATCTGAGCACCAGTAGAGGGCGCGTGATGGACCTCGAGAGCCAGGTGAGAGCTTTCACGAACGGTACGCTAGTTTCTACTCTCTGCCATTACTTCGTCGTCAAGCTATGAGGCTTTTCCTCCTCAGCTATCGAAACAGTCCTGTAGCTTCCAGAAGACCATCGAGGGTATTCGCCGAGAGCACGAGCTGGTCAGGACTGAACTAGAGGCTGAGATCCAGTTGTTGAGGCGTGAGGTAAGTCGCTGCGTCCCGGCACAAGGGACAACATGCTCATACAGGTAGATGAACACAACAGGAGCTTAGTAGCAGCTGCGGACAAGGCAAGTCAGTTGGAGGGCACGGTCCGACGGCTACGAGAGGAGGTGTTGGGATGATCAGTTGCTCCTTCGGGCAGGTGGTGGTGTCAGGGCTCCAATATAGTTGAGGAAAACAACCAGTATCGCCTCCGAGTGGACGGGCTTGTCCAGCGAGTTGCCGAGCTCACCCAGCTTTGGCAGGAATCAGAGGCCTTGAGGGAGGATGAGGGCCAGCGGCTGAGGGTGAGGGGAGGGGGGCAGGGGAGTAGCAAAGGGGCATGCGGATCGGTCAGGCCGCGCTGAGGTTAGCGGATGAGAAGTCCCACGACCTTGACGTGGTCACTGCTGAGGTCATAGCCCTTCGTAGTGAGAAGAACTCTCTTGTGGAGGTAGTGGGCATCAGTGACACTCTGTCTTGGCCCTCTGCTTGCATACTCTAGGAGCTCTCACGCTTGCATACTGCGGAGGAGGCCTCAGCGGATGCTGACTTGTCGTCTAAGGGGGCCCTGGCTCTAGCAAGGACGGAGGGAATACCAATGACGAGTTTATCGTGGGCTAGTCGAGATATCACTATGGAGGTGGGGGTAGTGCCCACCAACAGTTGAGGACCATCACGCTCAGCTCGAAGAGGCTCACCATAGGATGAAGGCGGAGATCGTCGAGTTGACTGAGGCCCTAGCAGTCGCTGAAAGGGCCGCTCTCGAGGCACAAGAACAACAGGCCTTGTCTTGTCGACTGCCCTTGGTGCAGCGAGAGTTGCTAGATAGAAGGACCAATTGGTGCCAGACGGACATTGCTGGCTGCAAGCTGAGGCTGCCGGAGCCCTCCAAGAGCTTCGATGATTTCATCAGCCAACAGGTCTGGGTTCTGCACTCAGCCTTCCTAATCTATCTGATGCAGGTTGTCGCTGCAGCGAGTTTCGTAGAGAAAGAGCTCCTGGGTAGAATCCACTCCCTCGAGACTGCTTCTGAACGGGCCCACATGAGTGGCGAGGACTATAAGGAGAGGTGGTTGCATGTATTGGGAGGGGCATGAGTAGAAGCGCTAAGTCTCAGGGCTCGTCGTGCTGAAGCATCTCGAGTGGAGCTCCTAGGGAACCTAGCGCAGGCAGATGAGAAGGCAGGGCAGCTGCAACGAGAGAAGGAGGAGTAAGGCGTCATCACAGGTCCTCATTATCTATCTAGTGCACCATGCATTATTCGTTTGATCTAGCGTTCCTGTTGATCGCTGTTCGAATTCGCTCCATTTGAAAGTGGACATGATTGTCGAACATTTACTGGGTGAGTGCTCAGGAGTGTATATAAGTTGGCTCTCGTCGAGGAGGATAACAAGAAACTCCGCGATGAAGTGTTCGCTGTGATCGAACGTCTGAAGACTACTGAGGAGCTCCACAAGGAGGAACTGGCGTATGGCGGGCAGATGGTGCGTCCTCCTCCTACTGGATAGAAGTCGCCCAGGTACTTGACTGAACACGACTCCAAGGCGTTGAGGGGCATCATTGCATCGAGAGAAGGCCGACTATTGGAAATGGAAACCACCCGGCTAGAGGCAGCAGCGTGGGGATACTATCTGTCGGCTTTGAAGTCGAACTAGGGCTTTTATTACTCAGTAACGCTGCTGCTGTCCGTGAACGGGACTCAGTGGTGGGAGTACTACGAGAGGAATGCGACAGGCTGAAGGGCGAAGTACAGGACTTACGCTCTGATAATATGTAGCTACTCTCGAGTGCTCCCCCGAGATCACCTTCGGCAGATCCCTGACCGCTCAGCTCGAGAAAGTCTCCAGCAGTTTGCATCGTTCGGAGCACGAGAGCAGACAAAACTTGTAAGGGCTCGTCGCTGATATTCATCTATTAATCTGTCGTTGTGACAACCATTCACTGTGACCTACTGACAATAGCCTACTGTGAGTATTATTCGGACCTCCGGAAGTAGGATGAGGTATTGAGCGGAATTCGGTTGCTCAGGACTCAGCAAATAAGTGGCTACGAAGAGGTTATCGCCTCGTTGAGAGCTCGCTGCGAAGAGTTGCAGAAGTGAGCGGATTGTCGACCTCCGTCAACGTAACGGTCTTCTACGTAGAGGCTCTGATGAGCGTATACGAGGAGAAGTGAGTAGCATGCAAGATGAGCTGACTTCGATGCGACAAGAGTTGTTGGAGTCCTCAAGGCTGTTGGCGGAGCAAATCTCCCGGAGGTGGGCGTTGAGCTGATGCACTGTGATGGTGACACTGTCGTCTCTAGTGCTCTGCTAACGGGTGGCTATGAAGTCGTCATTGCTGAACTGAGGGCCCGCTGTGGGGAGCTGGAGGCTCTAGTGGAGAGGTGAGCAACAGGGAAGGGGTATTCACTAGGAATAGCCCCATCATGCTGCCCATGTTTGTTCCCAGAAGTTTCACTTCGTTTGATTTGACATTGGAGTGGTATGAAGATCGAATAATTATCCCGTTTCAACGCTAATATGTTTCCCATAAGGTTGACTGACAGCAGTATAGTCGATTGATCTTCCACGTTTTCTCTACAGAGGGCAAGCGGCGCGTTTCGAGGAACTTCGAGGAGCTGTCAACGATAGTAGCAATGTGGTGATCGCTGACTCCAGCAAGGCAGAGATGACTAAAACGTCAGGGATGCTCCCTGAGGGAACGACGAACATGTGGGTGTTCACATCTCTAGAAAGACGACGAATCTCTCTGTGCGGAAGCACGCCCCCGTAGCGCACGTTTTAGAGCTACTGTAACACGTGTTGTGGAGAACGGCCTCGCGACGTCGCAAGTTCAATCCCCGGTCGGGTCGTCGATCCTGGGAAGCGTCATCGAAGAGATCCCACCATGCGGGTGGTATACCTCATCTGGCGATCCCTACGGCTTCTCTCTGACTAAGCCCTCTTCGACGCTCTCCGTATCTTCAATGTTTGTTTGATTCCTGGACTGTATTCAGGCCCATTTCATCAGCTAAGGAATCGTTGGCTTTCGTTGAGTTGCAGACCCACCGAGCCGAAGGGCTGTCTATGGCGTTGGAGGATATCAAGTGGTCTTGCTAACCTCTGACGGTTATTATAGTTACTATCAGGTCACGTGAGCAACCACCTCCTCTTGAATATTCTCACCGTGGAGGAGACCTCGAACTTGCTATTCAAAAGTCAACAAAGTGGGTATGCTGTTGTTACTATCAAGTTGAATGTTCCCTGTGAGTTTTATCGTCTTGGGTACCGACACGTTTCATAGTGACGAACTCTGCATGTCAGGTTGGAGGCCGAATTGCAGTGCGCTAGAAACGACTTGAATGCGGCGCGTATGCTCGCTGAGCAACAGGCTGACGAGATCTCTGAGATTGGAAAAATGCGAGACCAAGGGGATCGAGAATCGTTCGAACGACTTAGCACGTTACGTGAGGACTTCAGCGGTCTGGAGATGCAAATGAGGACTAAAGTGCAGCTTCTCCTCGCGGACCTCGGCAGTTCTCTTGGGGTTCCAATCGATGACAAGAGGCCGTTCTACTCCCTGTCAAATGCAGCTGAGCTGGGTCATGCTTTGAAGGGAGCTGCTGAGGGTTTGCAACGCGATCAGAAGCTCTCCCAACAGCGTTGTGAAGATTTGCAACGACAGTTGGAGCGTGCCAATTCGGCGCTTGAACAAGCACGGGAATCTGCAGGAGGGTTGTTGGAAGAATTTAGATCCATTTTGAAGGCGATGAGCTTCCCTGTGGGAGATAGTTGGGGTGCTGACTCCCCGGGGCCTGTCGTTGACAAGGTGCGCAGACTGAGGGATGCGGCAAACGAATCTCGATCACGTGTGGAGGAATTAGAAAGAGATTGTAAACGTCTTCGGGGAGAAGTTGAAAACTCTAGTGCTGAGCTGCGTTCGCGAGAGGAAGAGATCAGCGTGTTACGTCATAAACTGGAGGCGACTGAGGAAGCTAGAGCGGAGCTGGAAGGGAGGTTGACGGTCATGTGTGATGAAGTTGCCACGAGCAGCGATATAGCGCAGTCGGCTCGGATGGAGGTCGCCTCGAGAGTAGCTGAGGTAGAGCTGCTCACAAGGGAGAACAAGGAGTTGCTGGAGGAGATGTGCCAAGTTCGGGAGAGGTCGTCGATGATGGTTAAGGAGTTGGAGGGACGATTTCGAGAGGCGGCATCCATGACCTTAAACGATGCGCTTGGCAATCTCAAGGCGCTTGAGGATGAGCACTCATCAGGTGTCATAGGAACGCAACAGTGTTGGCGAGAAAGGTGTGGTATGCTGATAGAAGACGCTCGAGCTGTCTGTCACTCCCTGGAGCTGCGAGGGCGGACTGCGGAGGAATCAGCTGAATGGGCCGGCGTCCTTCTTGAGGCAGCACGTGAGCATTCTGATGCTGTGTCGAGTGAACTACACGATGTGAAGGAGGGGGTGGAGGATCTCCGGGAGGAGCTGGAGAGAGCTCAAGATTTGATGGTGGTCGAACAAGGCAGACATCGACAGGAGCTGATGTCGCTCCGGACTCGGCTGGTGGACTCGGGAGGAGATTACACCACACGAGAGAGGTGCGCTATTGTTGGATTGTACGTGTTGGCTTCTCTCAGCTGAGCTCAGGAGTTTCCCCACTTACTACAGAACTTTGCATAGAATTCGGATGCACAGAAACCAATAAGCGTTTCCTAAAATTAGCCCGGAATTTTCACGTTGTGATCAGCACATCAGGTTAATTCAGTGAGAATCGATGATGTTGACTGTCGAGTCCCTTGCTTCCCTCAGGTTGAGCATGCGCCTAGCTGATGCCCAGTCTTCACTCGGAGCGGCAGAAGAGTGCCGTATAGGGTTTAGGCGTCTCTTGGCAGATCTCGAGCATGTGACACCAAGGTGGGATGGCGGGATGATGCATCTCCACAAGGAAGAGGAGTGTTAGGTGGCTAAAGTCCCTCGAGGAGTTCGAACGAGCATCGATGCGCGCCGCTGATTATGAGTCTCGCCAAGAACCGAACTCCTTTGCTTTTGCGACGAGTGGTAGTCTGAGGAGGAGCATCGTCGAACCACGAGAAATGGGTGCGATATCGGAGCTCATCACTTCATCGAGGAGAGAAGTCAGCAAGTTCTGTGAGGTCACTAAAGAGGGTCTCGGCAGGTAAGGAGGCTCTCGAACTGTCTCGTAGGTTTTTTGTCAGGTTTAATGAGCGGAGACAAGAGACCCTGCGGTCCCTCGAGCGTGCCAGTATGGCCAACGAGGATCTTATATCGAGAGGTTGGATGGCTCTTGTTGACGTGAATGCTGTGAAGGTGGGATGCGTCTTCTTTGGAGGCTCTCGAATTGCCGCTTGAGGTTCGCGCCGAGCATCAGCGGAGTGCCTTGCGGAAATACGCGAAGAACATTTGCGACAAAGTGGTGGAGGTGTGGTATAAACACGATAGAGTGACTGAGCGTCTACGAATCGCAGAGGCCTCACGAGACGAGCTGCAACAGAAGTATCATCAAGCGAAACAACAGGTGATGGCGTTCAGCAACATATTCAGGAACTGTCACGTTTTCCCCTCAGCTCCTACGTCTAAGGGCATAACGCTGTACTCAAACCTATATTATTGTCAATGCATGAACGTAGCACCGTTTTCCCATGTCCGCGTAGTCGGCAAAGTTTCATTCACTTGAGGATTTTTTCGTTCACCATGAGATCACCGAAAACGTATTCCCTAGTTCACTGGGCATGGACGTATGCGTATACTCAGTCGGGATATTCGGGTGGTTGAAACAAGCTCTTCTGCGTGAGAGACACTTCTTTTGAAGAGGAGCTCTACGACGAGCTGATCCGGGGGCCCCCGAATTCCCAGACTCGTGAAATTCGAAACCGATGTCCGTCGACAAAGCGTGAGCCATTTTAAGGAATGCTATGTACACCAACATTACGTCAGAGATCTTATCGGTATTTTGGGAGTATCTGGTACGAACATGAGGTTTCGATGAGGAGATATCTCATAGGACGTTGCCGTCCAAGGCAAAAAACCTCTCACTATAATCACAGAAACGAGGAAACGCCACTGGGAATCTTCCCGTGCATTTAATAACGGATAATTAGGGACACTGATCACGCAGTAAGGGATACAACCCGTTGTCTCACCACGCACCGAGGTTGTCGACACCCATCAATGCATGGCCGAATTTCGCATAGTTCCCTTTCGCCACTCTACGTCTCGGCATCAGCTACACTGCGTCATTAATAATGACCTACTTTTCTCGGGTGATACTCTCTCTAGGGTGATCTCTCTAGCTATTGCACTAGCCGGGACCTATCCTATATGGCTTTCTGACGAATTGTGGGGTATTTTGCAGTGTTCGGTATATTTTTTGTCACTCACCTACACGCTCGAACCGTACCCATTTTCCATTGGCACTGGAGCATGAAATACTTCCACAGCCTCACAACACGAGTGTTGTCGCGAACTACGTGAACAGCTCACGCTGTGTACGACTGACCTAACCAGCGATGCTTGGTGATGACACCCACCCACTGTACATAACAAAACACACATGGATATCACAGAAACATCGATGGCATCTACCATGAGCCCCCAAGGGCAGTCATCTTGGTAGCTCAGACGTGATGTCTCGACCCTTCTCCAGCGCTTGCTCCCACTCGACCAGCCTGGCGCAACCTTCTATAACGGTATCAGCTATTTGGACTTCACTACGTCCCAAGACGTCGAGATTCTCGACAAACAAAGTGTGATGAAACTTATCGCCTTGCGTGTTCCCGGCGGCTTTGAGTCCAATTCTACGAATGATTCGCTCGAAATCAGGTCTGCCGATCATATTGGGGATCCTCATCTCTACTGAGATGTGCAGTCCAGTGCCGAGGTTGTCGAGGTGTGACGAGAGGTACCCGAGACGATCGTTGTGCATGAACTCCCGATTCTGGGACGCAAGTGAAGCCTCGAAGGTGCGGAGGGCTTCCGAAAGCTCGGCGAAGCATGCTCTGACACCATCCCCTTTCCGGGTCGAAATGAACTCCAAGTGCTCCACATCGTTAACCAGAACTCTGAGATCATCTGTATCATTGTGGAATACACCTCGAGCATCAGGCCAGTGTCGGCCGATCCCGGAAGAGAGCAAAGGCCCCGACTCAGGGTGGACGATATCCTCCTCCTTTTTGTGAGTTTCATCAGAGCCATTATTCTCCGTGGAGAAACTCCGACTCCCGAGCAGAGGTTTGTAGTAACCATGGAGATGTATGGGGAAGGTCTTCAAGGCCTGCACGGCCAACCTCTCTACGTCTCGGCGTTCTTGGAAGGATATGCTCGGCGGTAGTCTGTACCCTCGGATCGATCGCACGATGCTCACACGGGAAGAAAGAACGTATCTTGCAACGCGGTGTCCGACGCTTCTCTCATCGAAGGCGAATTGTGAGGAGGCGAGTAAATAGAGTAAATTACTCGCCTTGGCAATTCCGGCGGTCCCAAAACGACGAAAGAGGGTCCGAGTTGGCGACACCTACTTTCCTGTAGGATCGATTTGCGTCTTGGTTATTTTATAAGGGTCGAGATCGTTGGTGTGCTTAGCATGCCGTGGGAAGCCACAGTGCCAGCGATCAATGATGGTGTCAAATCTGATAGAAAAAACGGAAACCAAAAAGTGTGAGGTGGAGTGTTACAGCCCTTTGAAGACTTCGTAGCTTTCTTCATCTCCAGCTATGATGCCGACCTTCCCTCCATCTGCCTGACTGGGATTATCCATACCACTCTTTATACACTTCGCAATGGTAACACCTGATGAACGATGGGACCCACATAGAAAGTAACGCACCATTGCTTGTGACTCGATTCCGCAAGTATTTATACAAAGAGGGCTTCTCCATCAACACCTTGGCAAGAAGGCTCTCATGACCCGACAGATCAGGGAGCTCCTCCGGGGCCTGAGCAACGCCTCTACCAAGAGATCAACGCCCATGAGGCGAACCTCATCTGCTGGAAAGGTAGCGCCAACCTCCTCGCAGTAGTACTCGTCGTCGCCCAGACCCCTCCTTATGCGCTCAGGTAGATGCTTCACTTGGGGAGCCAGGCCTCTGGGAGGATAGTCAGGAGATCGATTCTGCATCCATAAGGTTCCGACACCTGATCGAGCAAACCTCTCCTGCCCCACCCATCACAGGAGGCTCACCGGCAACAGCCAAGCTGAGGCCGCCCATCAACGGAGTGACAACGTCCGCTTTGAGAAATGCACGGCGGAGATACCCAGACGTTGCCATACACCCTTTCTACTACAGACATATACCCCTTCAACAACAACAACAATCTGTTGACCATAAACAGAAACATTCAAGCTAAGCATTCGCTAACATGGTTTTCATTTCATCCTCCACATTAGAGCCTTTTTCAAGGCAGCTCTCTAACGTCACCAATTTTCTACACGACTCTATGAAGGCATTCGTGAGCTCCACCTCGGTTGGACCAGCTCTCTGAGTATTTTCAATGCAGCACACAGTACTGTCGGCCTCAGTGACGAACATTCGCAACCCGAGTACTCTGAGGATATCTCGGAACTCAGATCGATTCATCAGATTGGGTAAGCGCATCTCCAGTAGGATCCCGAGACCCGTACCAAGATTGCTAGGGCAGGTTGACAGGTACCCAAAATGCTCATCGTGGGCAAAGCCGCGGCTACCTTGACGCCGTAGTGTTTTCTCTACATCACCAACTATACCCATGAGTTTTCCGAAGGTCTCCTTCACGGCATCTCCTTGAGCTTTCGCAGAGATCTCCATGTGATCGCTGTTATTAACCCACACGTAGACGTCCCTCGTGTCGTTATAGAACATCCCGCGACCATCAGGCCAATGTCGGCCTATCCCCGAGGACAGGACAATCGTAGAGGCAGGCTCAGGCAGTAGGATGCCTTCCTCCTTCAGCCGAGCCTCCTCGTCTCGACCGAGCTCGGTACCACTATAGCTTTCGCTGCCAGGTAGGCCGTAGTAGTTCCCCTTGTACACACCACCCAGATCGGCAAGCGCTGCTGAGATCACTTGCTCAACTGCTCTGCGATCTTCAAATGACAGACTTGGTGTTAAGTTGTACCCCTCCAATGAACGCACCACGCGCATAGTGCTAGACAGGACGTATCTAACAAGGCAGAATGGTGTATGGGTGATACATAGTATCACACCTTCCCTGCGGATCTATTCGGGTGTCCGTCAACTTTGTGGAGTCGAAGTCGTGTGACTGTATGTCGTCCTTCGAGTAGCCATGGAGCTTGCATATGACCTCATCGAATCTGATCCATTCATCATAACCACCGCAAGGGGAGGAAGGAGGCGCTACAGCTCGGCGAAGGTCCAGTAGCTTTCGACGTCAGCCGCCACAATGCCGACCTGCTTGCCAATTTGAGCAGAAATGTTGTCTATGCCAGTTTTGATGCACTTTCCTAAACCGACGCCTGCAAGAACAACATGACGCTTTGGCGCGAAGAGATGATTTCATCACCATTTTCTGTGACACGACGCTTGAGCTGATCGTACAACTCCGGATAGCGTCGTAGGATTTCCGCGGTATACGTGTTGTGATCTCGGAGGTCAGGTAGGCGACCAAGCCACTAGCAACAGTAGCAGATACGCAGATGCTGGAATCAGCTGAGCTCACCTTGTACGGAGGGAATGTCGCGCCCTTCTCGGGGCAATAGTATTCGTAGTTGCCAACGCCCTGTTGGATCCATTCATCAGCAGTTATGAATTGCTTGTGGAAATAGTGAGGAGGGTACCGCCTCGGACTGGACACTACATAGATCAACAACCCAGTGCCTGATCACGTATCAATGAGATGAGGAGGCATGCCTCTGAGCTACTGGAGCACGCTAGGGCCAAGGCGAGTCGATTAATGCCCGGTGCAGCGGCGGGGCCTGGTCGTAATACGGAAGGGTACTGAGGAGCTGCTGCTGCTGCTGCTGAGGACATTTGCTGTATGATCACAGAGCTATACGGAAGCCAGGCGGGTGTCTATGATCGATGACGGCGTCTCGAGGACTAGATCAGTGATTGCCATGAGGCTATATCGCCATCACCGAACTATTCAAAAACACAAATAGAGGTGTAACATAGATATGCTGCATGGGATAAGATTAGCTCCCTCCCTCCCACCCGTAGTAGGTCCCATTCATCGGCCTATTTACAATAAGAGTGAGTAAAACTTTTATAACTGACCTCCTCCAGTACACAGCAATAACATCATCTCCCTGAAACTCTCAACTGCCGAAAGGCGCCACCCCCTTGTTGGTTAGTAGGCCGTATGCGGCATAGCGACGGTTTAATCTTCCTTTCTGAATCTACGTGGAAAAAGAAGAGTACAACTGCGTACTGAACACGACGACAACATCGTGGTATTGACAGCCTCACATGACATGCTATTTGTTTCTAACACACATCGATACGTAAATAAAAAACACATGTGCCTCCACTAGATGAAATTCACCAGGGAATATAATTTCGATTTAGCATTAAATGGGTATATACTATGAAAACACGAATGATTTCCGACACGTCTGCCCGCTATGATGGAGCTCCCACGATTTGATAAACATATGATATTGAAGTAGGTGATAAAGTTGAAAACTCCTTCATGGGTGATGATAGTACCCACGTGAAGAACTCGTCCAATCGTCTTCGTATAACCCACCTCTGTGAGCATGATGAATCTACTAAAGGTGTGGTCTATAAGTGAGGATCACATACCCCCTTGGAGCCTCTGGTTCATCATGGTAAATGGACAAACGTGGGAAACCATCATCTCCTTTAGTCACGTAATGCCGTGCCTTGACGAATATATCATCACCGATGTGTTTCTTTATGTGTTCGGTCTCAGCCTGGGTCTTCCCTTCGAATGTAATATACATTCCTCCCGCAGACCGCTGGGCAAAGCGAGAGTATGTGAGGCTCATCTGTCCATATGGGGTGAGCAAGAGTGCAGTCCCGTCGAAGTTCATCTTGATCTGTGGTACCTTAACATTATCCCCGACGACGAAGCGACAGTCAACCATGCGGTGCTCATTGAAACCGGCACAGTCGCGTGGACGGTTTATCGCCTTCATGGACGGCTTATAGGTGGAGTCGTATATTAGATGTGTCAAGAATTTCGTACGATCTTGGTTGGGTACCAAAACCTCGAGAGTAGCTGTCCCATCCGCATCTAGCTGACAGGGGTGATAGTCGAGTACTGGTCCCCCGTTGATATTCAGTACTGCATTCGTCATCAAAGGGCGGCAATTCGGCATCGCTCTGATCCTGTCGAAGGCATTTGCGGCCCAACTAAGATGGACTAAGGAGACTCCCTATCTTCCAGTGTTTCCCTTGACGAGGTGGTAAAGGTACCTTTTCACTGCCGAATTTACCGCTGAGAGTAGCCGTGCCTGCGCTCCTGACCAGGCTGTCCGATGATCCTCGGCAATCGGACAAGAAGTACCAACCTTTATTGCAGTATTAGAAACCATTTAACGAAATAAGAGATAGAATGTACACTCCTGGAAATAGTCGTGATACATTTTCAAGTTTGGACCGTAAAAAAGCGGGAACGCGTCGATGGGCGCGCGCTGATTTTGCTAGCGGAGCGAAGCACGCACATGAACTCCAGTGTAAATTTGACGTAGTGAGACGCCCCATTCGATCATCTAACCAGAGTTTCAGCATGCCCTTGGAGAGCAGCCTTCTCGCTCATTCGTTAATCGCCATCGAAATCTTAGTACTGGTATGTATGTATTTCGTTAGATGGACTGCCTCTCCCCCTCACCACTGGTACCGTAAATTCGACATCTCTCAGGCATCAACACCGGAAGCGCTTTGAGTCACATGCATGCAGTCGTATCGATGAAGTGAGTGCTCTTTTGCAGTTTCTGTTTCTGTATTGTCTATTGTGGCAACCCTTGATTGGGTTCTATTATATATGTCGTCACCGTCATCTACGAAACCTAAAGCGGAGATGTCCATCTCTAAACTCGAGACGAGCTCCTGTTCCTGTTCCGAGACCTATTCAAGTGCAAGGGGCTCCAAGGGCTCTTCAGAGGAGGAGGAGACGGAGGCCCTCCTGAAGGTCTCACAGTTTCAGGAAGGTGTAAAGGGAATCGAGAGCCACGACTACTTCTGGGACCATCCTACGATACACGACGGGTCCATTCCGGTGGGCCCGAGTGGGCCCTTGGACCCCCGAAAGCCCTCCTGCTATAGCCCGTTCATCGCTCAGTGGGTTAAATGGATTCTAACTATCGTCGAGGGGGCCGTCATAGGAATATGTCGTGGCGTAATTCTAATTGGTTCTCATTGGTTACTAGTTGGCAAAACTGATGCTATGATCCACTGGCTCAAGTCTGACAACCCTGGCTGTGCTATGCTCATCTGGATAGCCATCGGCGTACCACTCATCTGCTTCATCGGCTGGGGTGTCTCCTACATGTCCCCTCTTGCGGGTGGTAGCGGCATCCCAGATGTGAAGGCTTATCTCAATGGCGTCATGGTGCCCAAGCTGATGAGGTTCTGGGGGATAGTCTGGCGTATTCTTGGTCAGATCGTAGTGGTCGGCACTGGACACTATGCAGGTACTACCCAACATTTCTCGATTAACTTCGTCCGATACCTTTTTTTCAGGTAGTGAGGGCCCTATGGCTCACCTCGGTGCTATCGTCGGTGCAGCAGTCGCACAAATGCATGCTAGGAACAAGTTCTACTTGAAAGCACTGTTACCGTTCTCAACACAGAAAGTGAAGGATGAGTTTGTGTCGATGGGCGCCGGCATGGGTGTAGCTACAGCCTTTGAAGCTCCTATTGGAGGTATGCTGTTTACAATAGAAGAAGCATCAACATACTGGCCACGCGAGCTGTACTGGAGATGCTTCTTGGGCTGCATCATCGCTAGTTACATGACTCGGTTGACAGCGCAGTACTTCCAGTGTAAAGTGGAAGGCTCATGCGTTAACCTCGCTGGTGGTATGCAGTTCCCTAATGCAGATGAGAGTTACTTCCACGTTTGGGAGTTTGCTTGCTTCATCCTTCTAGGTATATTCTTTGGCCTCATGGGTGCTATCTTTTGTCAGGGCGTGCGCTACTTTCAATACTACAGACGGGTGTTCTTTCATCTCTACTCCAATGGGAAGGATCGTCGGAGATTCGGTCAGGTGGTCGAAGCTGGGTTGGTGATGCTCATCACCATCTTGTTGGCTTATGGGGTATCTTGGTCTGAGATGGGCGCGTGCAAACCACTGGATGGACAGAGCTATATTCCTAACGATGGTATACAAGCGGCTATGTGCGATGAAGGGGTCGATATGGGCTACTACAACCCACTGGCGGCTATGCTCCTCACTGATAGGGACACTTCAGTGAAGTGGCTATTCTCACCTCGATTAGGCGAAGCGGAGTTCCCACAGGGACAGTTGGCAGCTGCTGGCTTCATCATATTCTTCCTCACTCTACTGACGTATGGTGTTGCCATCCCTGCTGGCCTGTTCGTCCCCAACATCATGTTGGGTGCCTGCTTTGGCCGACTCTTCGGGCTGTGGGTCGGCGAATGGGCCTCCAACCCTGGTGTGTACGCTGTTATGGGCGCTGCTGGTATGATGGCTGGCTTTACTCGTATGACCATCAGTCTTACAGTCATCGTCATTGAGCTAGTCGGAGACCTGCGGCTCCTCCCTGCAGTGATGGTTACTGTGGTGGTGTCGAAGCAAGTGGCTGACATGTTCAACAAAGGGGCATACGATATAGTGTCTGAGCTACGTGGATATCCCTACATTGAGGAGCTCAGCATCTACGATGAGCGTAACATGGCTGGCAAGTATGTGACATACCGGATGTCGGCGGCACCACTGTCTGGCTTCGGCGAGGTCGAGACCTTGGGTAGAATCCAGGAGGTCCTCTCGACCTGCACTCACAATGCATTTACTATTGAGGATAGCAGCCATAGACTGCTCGGTATAGTGATGCGGGCTAATATCGTTGATTTGGTGAAAGCTCATGGTGGCGCCGTCTCCGCTTCTTCCCGGCTGAACTTGCTCAACATGACTAATCGTACTCCAACGATAGTTTCCGAGTTGACACCCCTAGCACAGGCCTATACTATATTCCGTAACTTGGCTCTGCGGCATATGATTGTTGTAGATAAGGATGATGCCAATCATGTAGTGGGTATAGTTACTCGGAAGGACATCGTTGATAGTATGGAAGATGCTGCTGATGAGTTTGGGAAACCTGGGAAGAGCGATGACACTGTGTCGCATTCTTCCACTGCCGCGGCCTCCCGAACAAGTATTATTGATGATGTTTTGTGATCTGGCTTGCAAAACCATAAGAATTTATGCTTGCATTGACGTCTATTTTGGTGGTGGCACATACGTGATGTAATGGTGTACTACATTTCACTCTGTGTTTGCACTATACTTCCACTCTCCATCATTGTCTATATTCTCCTTAGAAGTGGGGAAGGCATTTCTCTGTGAGAGCAGCGGCTACTCCGATTCATATTTCCTTGTCTTGTTGCTATCGGTACTCTGCGGGGTAGGAGGACAACACTGTAGACGACAACTGTTTCGATGCGGTTAGTTGCTCTATTTCCCACGTATGAGTTTGTTCGTGATGGAGTTCTATAACACTTATAGTATCCAACAGAGAAAACTATCTCGTGTTCACACGATCGTATCGGGTGTCAACATAGTTTTTTTCGACTCTATTTTATGCACTCTGCAACAGCAAATGTCGCATCGCCGACATCAACACCTGCACATACTGCTGGAAATGGTGAGGGTGGTGACAGTGACACTGAGGCGGAAGAGGCTCTATTGACAGCCACAGACTTTCGCTGTCCGAAGCCACCTCCGTTCGAAAGCTTTGATTACTTTGTGGATCAGCCATCGAAGCATCGTGACACTCTTCTAGTGGGTCCGACCTGGAGTCTGGACAAGTCCGATCCAGCTCACTATCGTCCCCGCACCACCGTGTTGATAGGGTGGCTCTTGGTCATTCTGGCAGGGCTCCTCGTTGGCGTACTCAGAGCGGTCATTCTGATAGGGTCTTACTGGCTCTATCGAGGCCGCCTTATCGCTATGATAGCGGCTATCGCCAGTGAAGGCCTTGGCTTAGCATTGATCGTCTGGCTTGTTATCGGCGTGAGTCTGGCGACGCTCATTGGAGCCCTTGTTGCCTATGTTGAGCCGCTAGCTGGTGGAAGTGGCATTCCTGATGTGAAGACGTATTTGAATGGCATCATCCTCCCCAGACTACTCAAGTTCAGAGCGTGTGCGCTGAGGGTTGTTGGTCAGATTGTGGTCGTTGGTGTCGGTTTTTACGCTGGTAAGACGTGGGCTTTTGCGGCTCTTGTTTGATCTTGCTGTCTTGTGTCAGGTAGCGAGGGTCCGATGGCTCACCTGGGAGCGATCGTTGGAGCCGCGGTGGCGCAGATGCACGTTCGTAACGTGTTCCAACTTAGAGCGTTGTTGCCATTCTCGAGTCACAGGATTAAATACGAGTTCATATCTATTGGAACTGCGATGGGAGTTGCCGCAGCATTCCAAGCACCACTCGGTGGTATTCTCTTTTCCCTCGAGGAAGCGTCTACGTATTGGCGAGCCGAGACGACTTGGCGGGCGTTTTTCGGCTGCATTATCGCCAGTTTCACGGCTAAACATTTGTCGGCTCTGGTGAACTGCTCTAACCCATTCGACTGCTATACAGTGCATGCATACTTGGAAGCTTCAGGAGCTGATAGAACATTCAGAGTGTGGGAGTTGTTTGTTTGTGCCCTTATCGGTGTACTCTTTGGATTATTGGGAGCCCTCTTCTGTGCCGGAGTTAAACTTATACAGTCAAGGCGGCGTGCCTGGTTCCACCTCTTCTCGATGGGTCGCGACCGCAGAAGAGCCTGGCGAGTGATAGAGGTCATTGTCGTTATACTCATGACCATTCTGCTCTCTTTTGGCCTCTCCTGGGCATTCTTCTACGAATGCAACCCTGTGGTACCTGACGCTATCGTAACTGATGACGACATTGCAGGAGCTATGTGTGACGAAGGACTCAGTGGCGGGAGCGTGAATCCCCTCGCTGCTTTACTCGTATCGTCTCGTGATGAGGCTATACGTTTGCTCTTTTCCCCATATATGGGTGATAGTGAGTATACGCCTGGTGTGCTGATACTTGCCGCTGTTGTTATTTTCGTCCTCACATCACTGACGTATGGTCTTGCGATCCCTATGGGCCTCTTTATTCCCAATATAATGATGGGTGCGTGTGTTGGTCGGCTGATAGGTATCTGGATGCACCCCCTGGGAGGATCAGTGGGCTCCTATGCTGTTATCGGTGCTGCTGGTATGCTCGCTGGTTTCTCTAGAATGACTATAAGCCTGACTGCCATCGTTGTTGAGATCACTGGAGATCTACAACAGCTCCCCTATATTATGATCACTGTCATTGTGGCGAAGCAAGTAGCTGATCTGTTCCTCAAAGGTGCTTATGATCTTGTACTGGAAGTTCGACAGGTTCCTTACTTAGAGGAGCTCGATTCTTACCATGAGTACGCAATGAGGGGTAAGAGCATATCATCAGCAATGTCGCCCGCGCCTCTCACGAGCTTCAGCACAGTAGAGACATTCGAGAGAATTCATACAGTCCTCACAAAGTCTGAGCATTGCGCGTTTATCGTCGAAAGTAGGGGTAAGCTCCGTGGCTTAGTTTCACGTCGAGCGATAGAAGACTACTTATGGCGACATGGCCCAGTATCACGAAATGAGGTCTTGGATTTGGTGGACCTCGCCAATCGTTGCCCTCTAACAGTTCCGGCATCCTTCCCCCTCGACAAAGCATATAACTTGTTCAGACAGTTGGGTCTGAGACATCTCCTTGTGGTTGCAGTAGAGGAGTCGGACCGAGTTGTCGGAATTGTGTCTAGAAAGGACCTTTTCCTCGCACTGATGTACTGTGAAGAGGAGCCTCCCGTCGAGCTCCAACAGTGTACTGCTTCGGCGGGCTCGACTGTGTCGCCGAGCTCGTAGGAGGTTCAGCTCGTTGTCGATCAAGATTCTCACGAGAGTGTCATGATCATGATGATCATCTATTCTCTATATAGTATTACCTCGCATAGTGAAGGCTTCATGCCAACTTTTTTTGCGCTTTGATGCGCTCCTCACACCCGCATCAGCGGGAATGTCATAATACATCGTTGAATTGACGAACATTCGTTCAGAGTATTCTCCTATCCCTATCAGTGTCTTTGCGTTGTCAGATGAAAGCGGAGAAACGATCGAGTGTAGAAGTGAGTCGGCCGTGGGCTTAATCGAAATGTCCAGCGATCTGCAGCGAGTGAAACTGTGTTTAAGTCTAGTGTGTGGCGCTCTGAGGCGAACAGCACTGGCAGTTGATGTTGCTGATAAACTCGGTAAGTACTTGAACCAGATCGATACTCAGACTCATCATATCAACGGAGACTTCCTTAATACACTTTCGAGTCGAATCGATGCAATGGAAGCTCTGTTCGATGGTGGTGCTCTTGAGGAGTTCGCCGTAGAGAGTCGGCAATGTGTGGAGCACGAAGAGATGCAAAAAGTGAAGCTGTCACTGGGTCTGATATGTGGAACACTCAGACGCTTGGCCTCAGCTCAAGGGGTTCTAGGGAAAGTAGAAAAGTATATCGCACAAATTGATAAACATACCAGTAGCATACACGGTGATGTACTCACGGTGCTTCATCACCGAGTATTGGCTCAAGAAGGGAGAATCATTCACAAGCTGAAAAAGGACCAAGGCGAGGTGGTGACTGAAAGCGGGCTAACATCTTCCCGCAGGGACGATCTAGAGGACCTCCAGAAAGCGAAGCTGTGCCTTGGTCTCGTCTGCGCTACTCTGAGGAGAGTCGCAAGCTCATCAGAGGTGCTCCCGAAAGTCGAGAAATTTATAAAAGAAATCGACTCGCAGACCAGTGGCATCAATGGTGATTATCTTAACACCTTGTGGGCTCGGCTTGATCGTATTGATGAACACATTCAAGTCATGGATGCTCCAGAGAGAGAGCGGAGCCGTCAAGCTGTCTTGAAGGCTAGAAAAGCACCCATCCCTAAGACAGGTGGAAGTGCAGACGATCTCCAGAAAGTGAAGCTTTGCCTTGGCCTCCTCTGCGCGGTGAATCGTAAGACCTCTCTAGCGGCAGGAATCGGCGAGAATTTGAAAAAACACTTAATACAGATCGATCAACAGACCAGCGGCATAAACGGAGACGTCTTGAATGCATTACTTGGACGAATACAGGCATTAGAGCATAGGATGGATGTTCGAGATGAGGAGCTCGGGACCAGAGACGAGTCCGGCTCTGCCTCTCCTGAACATGATGTCATTTCCCGGATGGAGCAAATCGAGGATGCTGTGGCTGGTCTAGAGAATAGACTCAACGCTATCGGCTCGTCAATGAGAGGGTTCCACCGTAAATGGTCCTCTGCACAGCTTGGCGGGCAGGGCCCGGAGGGACTGGTCGATCAGAAGACTCTGCAACGGCGTCTCATCATCGTTGAAGCGAAGCTTGAGGGAGTTGAAAGTGCCAGAGCCAGAGCTGGTGACATTCAAGCCAGGATGCTCCAACTTGAAACTAAAAATGACGAGTTAACTCGCCTAGTTGAGTCGATGAATATTCGTGGCGGGAAGAAGCCTAGCTCGAACAGAGAGAGGAATGACGACCTGCTCGCAAATATAATTAATGACGTACGGTTAGCTCCATCGGTGAGAACCACCCAGGGAAACATGGGAGTTTCTGACTTTTCTCAATAGGTTGACAGGCCAGGGCTAGATCAAGGGGACTACTCTGGGCAGATTACCGCACTTTGCTTGGAAAATATGGACGATTTGGCAGCTACTATGGATGGATTCAATGCCGAGCTGGACGAGCTGAGGAGTAAAACTGATGCGATGCAGACCGTGTTGACGAGTCGCTCTCGCATCGATGTAACATCTCTTTCTCACTTTCATCGCTCCAGACTGTCATGCTCAGGAGGCAATGACCCTCGAGCCCAACCACCGTCACATCAAAGCGTCTGTCATGAGTGGTCGTCGGCATCGCACTGAGTCCGGGCACAGTAACGCGGCTGGTATGGACGCAGATTGGAGTCCAGACGTGGACTCATTAATCAATACGCTCCCAGCTGGAGGCGACCTCGCCCGCACCGATGTAGCGAGCTCTAGAAGAGATCAACAACGGCCGTGGTTGAACCCGGGGCCCCTCGGTGGCGACTTGACCGACGTCAAGAAGGAAGTCTCGAGACTGTCTGAGCGAATGATCGCCTACCGTCGGGAGGTGAGCTCCTCACTCTGGCAGAGATTTTGTTGACAGCCTTTCTCCATCAATACTCACAGATGAGCGAAATAAAGAAGAGCGCTGAACGGCTGACTGAGGAGCTAGGTCGGAGTCGACGGACCAGCGCCGAGATCGAAAGGACTCTACGCAGTGACTTGAGTGAACGAATTGCCCTGTTCATTGAAACACTGCTGCAGCGCTAAGCGACGAAAATACTTCTTCGAATCAGGAATCACGGACGCCCGAGTCGCCACCCTACAGCGCCGTTTGATGAGATACAGGATGAATAGTCCTGGGAATACTGCTCACGAGGGAGATTCGAGACAGGCAGTTGAGTGATCTGATGTGTAACCGCATACTGAACTTATTCCTGTTAGCCACAGTCAAAACTAGGTGGAGCACACAACGTAAGACATACTGCGAGGCGATCTGCTCTAATACTGACAATCTCGAAGCATACTATCTCTCCCCAGGAACCGTTAGGAAACATCCAAGACCTGCGACTCGCGGTTGCTGCACTCACTCGAGCAGTTGTACGTTTCGCGCAGATCGTTGGTATTTTCCCAGCTCCAAGGTGATGTGGTGTAGCAGTGATTTGTAAATCGAACTAGCTATTATAAGGTTCCAGGAGCTGCTTCAACACGTAGAGGAAGGTCTTGTACGGATAAATACTACAGATCTCGATAGATGGGAAAGCCTCGCTAAAACACTGACTATTCGGTGAGCGTTGGTATTCGGCAAAAGGTTCGACTCCATAATGAGTGTTGTTGCCAGGATTGACCGATCATGGCAGCAGAGGTCCCGTGGTCGTTTCCGGAACATACTAGATCTGCTTTCGAGGAAGGCTGATATTTCGGCTCTGGATCTCTTGCAGATGAGTCAACGACAGATAGAGAGTCAGTTGAGTCAGATCGATCAAGGCCAAGTGACCGTATGAACGAAACACTTTCTAAGCACGCAAGTCGACCTCTGGTGTAGGTGCTGAGCTTCTCCCCAAGGCAGAAGACGATGCCATTCGAAGCTTCGAAGATGGTTCCTGTTCTATCACAGAGTCCGTTGGCTCGCCGAATACTCCGACCTTAGCTCCAATGCAGCATTGGTAATGCTGTGCTGTGTGCCAATACCAATACTGGTACATTTCCCCGTCGTTCACAAACGAAATGTATGTCCCTCATATCATTCAAATGACTCCTGCAGTGTTAGTTACTCTGCTGAATTGTGGTGTTGTATGTGGGACAAGTTTTTGGGTTGAAATCTTCTCGCAAGACATGGTCGCAAGGCGGAAGGGGTTCCGTCGTCGAGTTAGCTATCTCGAGATGAGAATGTGAAAGATGGAGAGAAAGCGAACGTATTGTTATACTAGTCACACCTCCTTGATGACGGAGGTTCTATTCGCATCTCCATCTCGCTAGCATTTGTGAACACAACTGTCCCGCGACAAAGTCCCTGTGAACGGCTCCACCGACTAAGCCGGCCAGCTCGCGACTGTCCTGGACCTGCATTATGCCGTTCAATTTGAGCGAATTCGATTCGTCAGCCACCCTGGCAAGTACAAACGCTTCTAATTGGCTTCAGGACGAAGGGGAAAGAAGGGGAAAGAAGGGGAAAGAAGGGAATCTTTTGCGAGCAACAGTGGGACCAGAGGTCGAGTTGGGGTGCTTCCCAATCCATGATTCGAACGATTCACGGCTCTTCCCGACCGAAATGATGCTAGGATCGTCGAGCCTCAGCAGCCTGCCATTTATGATGATTCATGCATCCCGAGATTTGAGAGCCGGCGAGCAATCAAACAGTTACCAGGGCTCCGACGAAACTCGCTTGAAAGCCATGTGTCACAGCAGTCAAGGTTTGAGGATATGTTTCGCGCTCAGCTGTTGGTCTCCACTGAATTTGCTCCCTCGGCTCCATATAATGAGGAGGTCATCGATGGCACGAGTAATGTCCATGATCCGGAACTCATTCTTGACGTCGAAAGAGTTACAGCCCACGAAGGATTTTCTGGACCGAACTGCGTCCGCAATAAAAATCCAGAGGATTTGGCGCAGAAAGTTCTATAGGTGGGAAGTTATTCAGAGACTGAACTTCAAAAGAAGCTCTTCTTCCCCAGATTCGACAGACGAACACTCATCAATCGCCTCGAACTTGAGATAAGTCTGCATGTAAGATCCACTCAACGCAGAGAGAGCAGAGAGGGCAGCAGCATTCTTTATGCTTGATCTTCTTTTGGTATTTTCGTAAGGTTCTTGGGACGAGGCTCGTTATCCTCCTGGTTTTCTTTGGACTTGTTTTCCTGGGTATCTACCTCACAGACCCAAGTTCCTATCGAACTGGTGTAAGGAGGCGATAGAATATCCCCGCAGAGAAAGTGACCTAGGTCCTCACGCGGCCTTTCATAGAGGCGGGAGGTTTCTCGCTAGGACTGGGGGATTGGAAGTCCTCCACGAGCTGGGAGCCTATCCTGAACTCTTTACGAGGAGTACACCGCACGCTCTATGCGAACCAGCTGTAACGGTTCATCAGGTATCGGAGGTAACCAATACTTACAGTCTGCATGCTCCTCGAGGATCCGATCTAATCATGAGCGATTACCAGTACAAGCAGTTCACGTTGTTCCCTCCTATTATGTTTGAGGAGACTATAGCTGCGTGGGCAGGAGGCTTACGCCAGCAGAGAGAAGGATAGTCTCCTGTCTTAGAGAAAGAGAATGCTCATCGGAGATGAAGAAGGTCTATACCCGGCTTGCTGGACAAGCAAGGCTGCCGATTCCTGGAGGGTATGAGCTCAGCGGGAACTCAGATTCTCATCTTGAGATGTGCTCTTGCTCTTTGCAGATTATTCCAAGGAGGCGGTCTCGGGCCTCTCAGTAAGTTACACGTACTTGAACGCCTCTCTAGAACTTTCAGAATGCATTTCGCATAACGAACATGGGTTGCATATAGACCAATGAACTTGTGAGCGCCTCCAAAAGCGTAGTGGAGCGCGAAGAAACTGCTTGAGAGGGAGAATTCGAGAATCATTGCAGCGTTCCCTCTCTAGTCCAGAAAGCCTGGTTCAGCGGCAGCTCACACTATCAACGAGGTATTCCGCTCAGCTCCTTCAAACCAATCGACCAGAGTTTACATCCTCTCTGAGGCTTTCGAGGACTCTAATTTCAATACCCGTCTTGGAGAAGGTCAAGTCGACCGCATAGAGGTGGCCCAGTTATTGCATGGCGCCGACCCGCCACCGCTCGGAGAAGAGCCTTCCAAGAGAGCCCAATCATTTCGAGGGATCTCGACCGCAGACATTACATAGTCTTGCACTTCTAGGTCCTCGTGGGTCTTCTCAGCACAGGGCACGATTCTGGAGCAAGTATAGTCTCCATCCTGCGTTTTCAATGGAAACGGACAAGCAAGCGATTGGGTATTGATAAACAGACCGAGCAGGTCCATTGCAGGTCGCACCGATCCGACCATACTAAGCGAGATTTCTTCCGAACACGGGTGGTAGAAGTCGAAATCCATCGTGACACTTGAAAGCCTTCCTGATGATACATTATCGCTGCTTGCCTCGCCAGATATGTCTTTGCGCCATCGTCTCACGCATGGATAGCTGTGAACTGTCTAGCGTTGGTCTTGTGCGTCTTTGGGATCTCGAGAGACAGGTGAACTCATTTACAGTCACCACAACCGCTCCACACGAAAAGCCTCTCAGTCATAGAATCGTACGGTCAGTTCGGATTATGCGTGGTCATGATATCAAATCTGTGTCACGAGAAGCTCGGATGGTCGAAGGTCCTCTTCGTTGGTTCAAGAAGCGACACGTTTAGCGGAGCTTCTTGTATTAGGAGCAAGCTCCTTGCAGAAGAGTCGGCCACAACTACATCGTGGGCTCAAGGAGGTCATCAGGAGGAAGATCTCTTGGTGAGGAAAGATAATACCACCTGCTTCTGATGCAGATCAACCCTCCTCGTGTGCATGCAGGTTCTCAGGGAGTTTGATAGTTAACTGTCTCATCCTCATCTTTGTCGTTTGGAGAAGTATTGTGTGAGTATCAGACCCGGCAGAAGCTTCGACCTTCAAATGATTGTGCAATCCTGGCAGTGTCTTTTCAAGTGCCGAACGTCACGCTCAAGTGGTCACCAATATGATCGATGCTCACCTCTCACCTACCGAGGTACCGCTGCCTATGTATGTCACACTTCTACGTTATAATTACGGTAATTACTCAATTTGTGTCGTCTCTTTCCCTCAGATGCACGCAAGACTCCTCGATCTCCAAAATTCACTGCACTGCGAAACTTACTCGGCCAAGTTCGGAATGTTGCTTATGTGAGCTTCTTGGTTGTACAGCTCTTTATGGCTTTAAGCGAAGGTACCTCCTTATATGGAGGATTATCAAGTGCCTTGCTGGTCATCCGATGGTAGCAGTGCTTTCCTCGACGTGGTTCACTGCTCGAGATGAAATATTTCATTTCGGTCCGTTAAGATCTCAGTGACGATCGGCTCAACTCCTCATTGAGCAGGTATAACCTCTGTTACAATATTCGTATTCATGGCGTTCATCGGCAACTACGCAGCCGGTGAGGATTTCGACCAATTCCGTACAGTGAGTCTATTGAAATCAGCGAGTTGCACGTCTCAGTCAGCAGATCTGGTCGACCCTAGTGCTACAGTTTGAGATTCTCTGGTCGGGAGAGTGGGACATCCCACATTGGACATCTCATCCGGCCCTTAGCTTGTAACCTATCTTTCTTGGCTTCTCGAGTTGCTCAAGATGACTATGGAGTGACTCGGCAGTTTCATCTGACTCGACTGTTCCCATGATGGCTGCATTCTCTCTGTCAGGTATCTAGTACTCTTTGTGGTGATAATTTTCATCGCTTTACTGAACTTTTTTGTTGCAATAGTTGTCGAAGCGTACCTGGCTGTTCGACGCACACTTTCTACAGCTGAATATGCTCAATCCTTCTTCCAAGACTATATGATGGTGGGGATGGCTAGTGCTTCAAGTCTAATGCTCCTATACTCCTTCCTAGGTAATGTCCACGCGATTCCTTTTCCGCTGGCGTCGCTATCCACATCGAATGGAGTTGGTTCACGCGCTGGCACCATTATTTGCTAAACGTTTTGTGGACATGGATGACCTTGACAAGACGGGCCTCTTCGATGATAGTGAGCATCACTGAGTGAATTTGACTGAACAACTCTATCGTTCATACTAGTGGTCGCAATCTTGACACAGAGTGCTACTTCCGTCGTCTTTGCTATCACTCGACTATTAATAAGTGAAGTGTACGGTCACGGTGAGAGGCCCCCAAAGATTCCGCCTCAAAGTCCTACGGGCTCAAGTCCTCAACTTGTAAAGAATTCAACTCTACTGACAGAAAGATAACTTAGTTACGTCAGAGCAAGTACGTTCATACGCCTTGTCTCAATGCAGCATGGGCCCGCTAGGTTCAACGTGCCATTGGAGGCCCACAAACGCCAAGTAAGACGGTCTCCTCGATCGCCACGTGAACTCGTGAACCAACCTCACATAGTTGTTTGTTTGGCAGGGTACTGAGTTTTTGTCGACACTACTGGAAGTATCCCTTTTTGCGAGCCAAGCGAAATCGAGAAGACCAACGGTTACCTCTGGTTGAGGAGTCAGCCATGCAGCTAGTGCGAGGATTCATGAACAGAAGAGCGCTGCTCTCACAGCAATGTTGACGAGTTATGGACAACATAGACTTCTCTCAGATAGTGTCCACACAACTGGACGAACTGGCGGGGCATGGGTTGAAGATGCGCGAACGAGTGGTTTATGGAGCAGAACGACTAGAGTGGAGGTATAACACTGAGCCTCGCATGAAGCTCATGTCATGGATAGAATTATTTCCCGAGAACATACTCCCCTCATCGTGTAGTGATGACGTTACCTAGGTATTCACGATCTTAGGCTCTTGGCAGTGGCGTCCCGAATCGACTGCCTGGCAGAAGGTTTGCGGCTACCAAGCATCAAGAGATCAGCGGCGAGCATGCACAGCTAAGGAAGATGTTCTATTTTGGTGACCCGCGAGGAGTTGAGTTTGTTCGGAAGCTTACCAGCGAAGTTTTATGATTATCATAATATGATAGAATGAATTAAGATATTTATCGAAAGTATTCCTTCAGTTCGTGGCCAGATCATGTGATACATGTAGCTGCCTCGGCGATTGGTGAAATCAGTTTTGCGCCTTCCCTAGTATGTCCATTATATATACCATGCATCTGTGACAGATAATCTGTCACAAGATTTTATACTCAGACGCAAGATTTTTGGTTTGATTCTACATCTGCATCGATCAATCAACCTCCGTATGCACTATAACGATGTTTGGCCTTTGATTCTGATGCAGGCGTGGACCCTAAGTTCGAGTCCCGGGCAAGGCTTTTTGCCCAAGTACGATCTAGCATCAGCACATGCTCGATTCATGAGTGAGAGTTTGAGTATGACCGCTAAAGTATTGAGCAGGAGATTGGAAGAGGCCCGGATTCGACGCTTGGGAACGCGTACAATTTTGTGATTGTGTTCAGTAGGAATATGCAGAATAGTGCTCGGAGAGATTGGGCAGCAGTACTGCCGTATCATAGAGGTGTCACATTTTATGGATGACGGAAGTCTCTATGAGCCATGATTGTTGTTGCGAATGTGACCCATTAATACTATCTCCCAAGTATGATGGTTGTGTTTGGATAGTGCGCGATCGATGGCGGTCGCTCTATGATGGCGCCCACGGGCAGTCGTTGGCACGGATTGGTGCTGTTCGCTTCTGTTACACTCGGAGTTTTGCGCTGCCAGTTTTGCGTTGTCGCTATGCGTGATCGCATGTTATAACGCGTAGTTACGCAACATTTCACGTATGATAAACTCGTCTAAGACGAGTTTATCAGTTTATCAGTTTATCGAGTTTCAAACTATAAGACGAGTCACTCGTCTTATCAGTACGTGTAGTGTAATATGCGCTTTACACACGCCATTACGCTTATTACATATTTATCCGCGCACCGCCTAGGTTTAATTGTGTGTAATGGCGTTCTATGCTTTCGTTAATACACGAAGCGGTTCAATTACACTCCACTGAATACGCGTGTTACCCTTATTTAGACTTGCGTAAAACTATTCTACACGTATTGGCGGCGCAACTGAATTCCATCTCCAATAGAGATTCTGTATTTCTTCCTGATTGACTCATTTATTTTCCCGGAGTGCAACTCTCGCGAGGGGCAGTGACAAGGTGGAATCGTTTGACGTAGCTCCACCTTGTGGCTGCGTGCGTTCACCGCTCTGTGGAGCATCACATCGCGCAGTCTGCTCACGTATGAATTATTGAAGACGGAACTCGACGGTCTTGATTTGTGTTAGGGTCCCCTTCATATATACTGTAAATGAACATTTCACCTCTCTTGACACGGGAGGAAGGACTGGGGTACATCCTCAACTTCAGCCCGTGTGTCGCAGAGACAGATTATCCGTGGGACACGGACCGTGTCACGCATTGCATGGATGAAGATTCAAATGATAATGAAAAACGTGAAATGTCTGAAATCAAACATAAGTGCAACTGCTGGATTGTACTATAACGCATCAAGACTCTCAGGGGAAGGCGCTCTCACGGTACATAACATCTCTTCTCGATTGACTCTTTCCCCCTCGAATACAACACCTGTAACGGAACCTACCTTGTAGATTCGTGCCGTCACCGCAAGTCGTAATGTAGAGATCCTTGTGAAGGACTAGGGGAACGCAAGATCCAGATGGGCTGCTGAGGTGCCTACAGTTCAAATGACTGCTGAACAGTTACCGAGAACGTTATGGCGTCAGCCATGGGTATACGAAAAAGAGCAAGAAAGCACGGTATAAGGTCAACTAGGAATACTTGTCAATAGGGCTGCGGTGACCGCAGTCCGCTCACGTATGCGTTCTCCAAGACGGAACTCGAGATTCTCGAGTTGCGACTATGGAAATTCATGTGCTGTGGATCTCCTTCATAAATACTGTGGATAAATCTTTCCCCTCATTTCGAGTCGACTCGCCTCCTGACACGGAAGAAAGAACCGGAATATATTCTGCAACTTAGCCCATGTGGCAATGAGACGAATGATCCGTGATTGCGTGAATGAGGAGGTTTAGTGACGTCTTCTCTACGGCCGCCACGCACCTCTGAATCGTAAGGATACGAATTCCCTACAGTGTAGGGCCTACACGTTTTATCCGTAGCTCGTATAGTAACCCCTGGATCATTTTTCGCTTGCTGAGGACAGCGTTACCCTTTAAGGCGGTATCAGTTATATTATATCAATCCTATGATGAGAGCCTTTGTGAGAGTGCGACCCAACTTGGGTCACCCAAGCTTAGTACGCGTGCGATTAACACGTCTGCATTCGTGCGCTATGTAGTTCAGCTGTTGCCTCTGATCCCAATCAGAGTTCTCGGAGATCTATCACGTCCATCTCTCTAAAGATGCACTTCCTCATCAACATCCTGGTCATCGCGTTCGTTGCCGCCGATAATGCCTGTACCGACGCCGACAAGAAGACTATTGACGGCAAACTCTTCACCGGTTTCCTCTATCACTGTGCCTCAGACGCACTCTTTAACCCGAAGGGTATCATCCCGAAATGCCTTAAGGAAGGCTGCGGCCTAACCGATGGATGCGCCCAGTGTTTCGGTCAGTATGGACAGTGTGGGCTGTCTTGTGCACTCCAGTGCTTGAAGGACCCTTCTGATCCCGCCTGCAAAACCTGTATGGATGACCATGGGTGCACCGCGGCACTCCTAAAGTGCACCGGCTTGAAAGAGAGATTGCTTCCTCCGAAGGGGAAGTCTGATAAGTGCAGTTAGACGGCTAGATTGTCGTCCCTGACATCTCACTTGGAATGGCTGATGATACCAATGGCCTGCTTATCGACATTATCTCATTTTCCCGTTCTCTCCTGACTGTCCTCTGAAGTTGTGCTAGGATAATTGGAGATGTCGACTCATTATTATTTACTACCATCATACTATCCGCTGGATGGTATCCAATGCGATTTGCATATTTGACCGAGGATGGATATCGATCAATTTGACCTATTTTTTACTTAGCAATCCGTTGATTCCTTTCGTTGTGTCGTTAATTCGAGGAGAGTTGATCGAACTGAACTTGGGAATAGCCCAGAGGTGCCCAATAATGCTGGTCTCGAGTCTCTCGATACCATCAAAACTGCAAATGATTTTGCGATGGCGCATTGAGGAGTCTCACCATGTTGAGCTTTCTTGTGATACGAACCCATAATAGCAACTCGTTGCTCGTGAGCGGAGTACTCCGTTATCTTGACCAGCTCGACAAGGACGGATTCATTCATCTGCGCCTTAGTGGGAAGTCAGATTGGAGAAGAAAGTCAACTGCCTTGACTAGGTTGTCTTACCAACCATCAGTCGTGATATTCGTCACAGGAGGGCTGTTCATCTATGAGCCACCACAATAAAAAGCATACCACCTATCTAGGCAAATTCCGAGTGGCTTGACTGACCGATTAATTGCATGTGAATCTTTGTGAGGACACTTCAAGCTATCATATTTCATTGAGTTCATCGGCCCCTGTCTTCACTGTGGCGAATTCTCTAACTATGAGATAGTGCGGGACTTGCTCGCGGCCTTTGTTCGATCCACCTCGTTTACCTTGAGAAGGAAAAGACTCTCTTATCAGATAATACACTCGTGGTCCTCTAATTTCGGATATCACCAAATTTTCCGATATCAACACCAGGCGGTGGTGTGTCCCTTCCAGAGCACTGTTTTGGTCACGCAAAAAAGAGAACAGAGAATTCAACACTTAATACTGGGGTGACGAAACGCGGGCGCAATGCAAAATTTTTCCTCATTTTTGATACTGAGCTTTGCGTGGCGCACGATCATGGGTCCTCGCTCCACTGAGTTGTTCGCTCAACTTATGAGGCTACGAAATGGGATTAGACATCCTTGGAATGATTATATGTTTCATCATGAAGACTGAGCATGACTTGAATTCCGTTTGGAGGCACCAACAGCATTGAGACATATCCGCTGCTGGTCAAGAGTAGGCTGATCTCGGTGAGGCCGGACAGCCATAGGCTGCGTTGGGGGAATTGAAAAGGAAGATTTCGCACGATACTTCATCGGTTGCGTCGGGGACAATCCTTGCGAGGCCGTGCTCGATCTCGTACTGCTACTCGGTGTCTTCCGCTTTTTTGACCCGGGACGTTCAGGAGAGGTCTCTAAGGGGCGGGTTCTACCTGGAAGACGCTTAGCTTGAGAGTACGTTACCATTCGAAGAACGAGAGTCAACGTCCTTACTGATGCACAACCTATCGATACGGCCATTAGCCTCTGCCGCATCGACTGTGTCGACCTCCAGGTCAACGAACTCGTCCATACTCTGTGTAGCTTCGAGGACCACAGAAGCAACGGTGTTATCCATGGGTTGGGTAGGCCCTATAGGTCGCCACTGGGAAGAGCTTGCTTCAGCCGGCGTCGCTTGAACCGTACTTCCTCTCCTGCGACGACGTGCCGCCGAACAGTGTGATGGCTCGTCCGTGCTTTCGGTAGAACCCGTGCTCCTTCTCGGCCTGCCTTGTGAGATTAATCCTGCCCAGTGAGTGGAATCCTCCTCCATCGGTTGCGTTGGCAGTATTGCTTTCAAAGATGAAGCCGGTACTCTAGCTCTGTGTGGGCCGGCGCCTCGGGACGGTTGGTGGGCTTTCGCCGCTGTCGTGATTTTTGTTACACTCCTCTGTGGTGTCGGCTGACTCCGCAGCGTTGAGACTGGTACCCGACCACCAACATCCGTAGTCGAGCTAACTCTATCTGAGCCTATTCCAGCATCTACAACCTTTTGGGAGATGCTCGACAGATGCTCCCTTTCAAAGGAACCGCGAGACCGGACTCGTGTTGGGAGTTTGTTGCTTTCCTTCACTGGTCTGTGGATGAAATCTGGTATACCTGTCTTCGCGACAGGACTCAAACTCTGGACTTGTGCCCGTCTATCGGTGGTACGCTGAATTCTCTGTGAGCCATTATCGTGCTGAGAGCCTCGGACAGTGGCATCACACGTGTCACCATCAGACCGTTTTCTCTTCTCGTTGCGCGATATGTGGGGAAGAGAAACTTTCACTGGACTGCTGCCATGTTCTGTATTCCCGGAGCAGGATGCTTTGGCTGCGAACGGAGTCACTCGAGACAAGAGGTTTTCATCCGCTGCTAACAACGCGTCAATATCCTCGATTGTGAGGTCATCGAACGAGTCGGGAGCCTCGCTTTGGACTGAATCACCCTTCAAAACTTCTCCATCTATACACTGCGAGTTACCTAAAGGTCGATCAAAGTGGCCAAGCATGACACTCCCTATGAGCTGCTGTGCTCTAGGTGGCTATGTAGGAACCTTACATGGATCACCCCGAACACCAAATGTTGGTGAATCCAGCTCATCGACCAGACCAGCTACGCAGGGCTCCTCGATGGGGTCCAAACCATCATCATAGGATATATGGAAGCTGTCAGTACCTGCCTACCAAGTTAGCAACTGTTATACTATCCCACGTAGGGCCCAGGATGAGCCACTTACTCACCGCTATCGCCAGTCAGAGAGACGTCACACCTAGGAAACGACGAGCTGAGTCCATCGTCATCAAGACAGTTCATGTCGCTCCAGACTGTCGGTCGTTGATTGCCGAATTCAAGGGGAATCCCGAGTTCATTCTCAGCAGGGTTCCACGATGAGGATCCATCCGATGATACCCCGCAGGGAGCCTCTTGTAGAGCACTCCATTGAGACGAGTTATCCCCATCATCCTCACTGTCGGCTATGTTCCTCGTAGGAGCCGAATCCCCGAGGTATTTAACCCCGGACAAGATGTTCGCCCAGAGGTCAGCGCTCTGGTGAACACTTGGCGCGCCTTCCCTGCTGACTTCAGCCCTCGAGTGATTGCCTATAGTTCTGTGGTTTTCTCGCCCTGAGTCTGACCCTTTGCATAACGTCGTCAAACTGAATTTACCTGTACGAACTGTCCCTCCAGTTGACGAACCCACGTCATCCCCAAGGGCCAACATAGGCGTCACCTTCAGCACCGAATCAGTTGCTGTAGATACTATCAACTTGGACGGTCCTCTGACCACCTCTCGTGGGTAAGTGCCACCATCGCGAGTCCCCGAGGAGCTCCCAGCAGTGCCCATCTTCGAAGCTACGGCATCGAGGCATTCCTGTATCGAGTTGGACCTGCGTGTTGAGTCGACGACTCCAAACAATGTGATAACAGCCTACCTCCATGAGCCCACGGTGCGACGGGGCTTGGACATGTGGTAGCACTTGAGACTGCAACAAGCTAACGGCAAGAAAACTAGACCCTCCGTAGCAATTTCTATGGAAGAGCGGAGTGCTCTCGTTGCATGACACATTCCTCGCCGCTGTAACGCAACCTACTAGGGGCTCGATGAATCGACCATCTAGTTCGAATGATGGTATGACGTAGCAAAGCCCATGGTCTAATTAATGAGAGGAGGCTCTGCCACGCTCTATGGGCTCGTAGTGGACGAGGAACTTCTCAATAGCACCGTACTTACCGTTATTCCATCCATCCTGACACATACACCACAACATCGCTAAGACCCTATCAAATGGGCGAATTGCACTGCAAAAACACACAATGGAATTTTCAACCGATGCGTCTACTGTACACTGGAAACCGGGGATAAGATAACCGATTAGGCCGCTCCGTGCTGGAGACTGTCATTGCTTACCTCTGTACGGACTAGTAGCTTGCCGTTAACTATGTTGATCTCTACCTGGGTGCATCCAAAGGCATAACATTTACGGTTGATCCTTCTGATGGGTACAGCAGAAGAGGTGCTGTTATAGAATTCCTCAACTCTGAGACACCACAGTAAACAGGCTATGACCTCCTTCACATCCCCATCACCTTATATCTATAGGGTCATCTCGATTCATGCTGTGATAGGGGAAAGCTGGCCCTCCTGTCAACAGCGGGTGTACTTGTAACTTACCCGAGGAGCCCAAGCCACTCGGAGACTTTCTGATATCATCAGCAGATTGTTAGTAGCCTCAAGCGTGCATCCACCTAGGGCTTGGGGTCCCTCTGCCGTCTCTAGGGCTCGCCCTACTCAACGGCCGAGATATCGATGCACCCTACACACGAGCCCCTCCTGCCTCGCCAAGGATACGATGTCGCGCTAACCATGAATGCCTTGAGCCGACGTATTTCGTCTCGAAGATCATCTATGAGGGCATCCTTGGTAACCAGCTGGGCCTTCAGCCTTTTGATCGACTCGCCGTGGGGACTCTTGACCAAACGAACACCGCCTTGATCTTAGCCACTCTAGTCACCTCCCCCATAGGTCCACTGGGGACCTTATTATTCCTAGCCTCCAGCTCCTGCTCGAGCTGTGCTATGTACTTGGTCTTTGAGTTTAGGGAAGCCTTCAAATCAGCTATCTGCCTCATAAACATGAATAATGCAACTCCAACCATATCGATGTTCTCACTGTGCGTGCGGACGCGTCGTCGACTTTGGAAAGGGAGTTCTGAAGACACCAACTATCTCTACCACATTCCAACAGTAGAGGTTACCTTGGAATCTGCCATGGGTGGAACCGTGGTACCAGGTCTCTGCATCTGAGACGAATGTTCCATCACCACGCCGTAGCAGAGCCGATCCATATCACCTCAGGTCGATTAGCCTTAGGCATATCCTGAGGCGGGCCAAGTTGGCCACTAGGTGCCCCTTGGGGTGGATTGCCCCATCCTGGACGGCTGACTAAGCCTGCGAAAAATTGAAATACCGATATTTTGAGAAGGAAGTTAGGTACTCGCTCTGGTGCTAGGATTCCCTACGACTTGAGCTGGCCCTTGACCATACAGCATTGAGTAGCCTGTGGGCCCCATCGGACCAAGGCCTTGTCCTGAGGTTGCAGCCTGAGCAGGCTGTGGTGGGTGGGGATAACGGTCGGCTACATTTCCTTGTTGTGGAAGGAGTATGGAAGCAACATTGGAAGAGGAGGCCTATTGAGCGGGAGTCGGGAGACCGGACCTCACTACTGGCGGGTCACCGTGAACTGGCCTGGCTGTCTTAGGTCGTCGCCCCCAAACATGCGGGGGAACTGCGGCATAGCACCTTGCTGACCGAACATTTGCAAATACCTGTTGGTAGCTACTGACACTGCAGGGTCCCTCTGTCATTAAAACAAAACAGTTCGGTGGTATAGAAACCACGAGTCACAAACATTCGTAAAACATATTCATGATAAGAGCACTCATCCCTCGTTCAACCTTCAAGCCTCTAAGCTCCTCTACTGCGGTTGTTCTGAGACCAAGCAACCACATATTTCGGCAGCCATTTCCCCTCTCCATCGTCCTCCTTCGTTCCGTAGTACATCATAGCAGTCTCATACCTAATAAGCTTTACTTTAGTCCCATCCACTCGCGATCCTCTCATCAACTCACTTGCAATGAAACTTTTCTCCACGTTTCATACTGGCGTACTCCGGATTGTCGTGGATGTACTTCAGGGCAGCAGTGACAGTACCACTCGTCTCCCACATCTCATTCGGGTCACCCACGACTGGCGCCGTACTCGAAGGCAGCACTGGCTGTTTAACAGGCTCTGACAACAAGTTTAGGAATCCTCATCAAGAGAACAATCGAAGCCCTCGAGTCTCGAGATGACCAATAACGAGACGAATAAGGCAGCTGACCAAGAACACCCTCCCTACTCTTCTCAGGAGACTTCCCACCACCAGCATCCGCAGAGCTGTACTGCTTGCTCACGTGCTTCTTGTGCTCCACATAAGCCGGGGTATCATCCCTTTGATGGCTCGATGAGGCCCCACTAGGGACCTATAGCAGATACTATATCACGCCACACATTCTTCAAAAGGTACCCTAGGTTGGAACTTCCCCTCAGGCTTCCCCTTGCTCTCTCTCTTATGCCTTTCAGTTTGCCAGTCCGGCCCAAAACGAGCGTCCCTCGCCGAGCGAATTTTCCTAAGACTCAGATGAAGACATAACAGTCCATCATCTCCACTTACGATCTCTGTATCCTGACAACCTCAGGGCCTTCCTTTTCACAGATGAAGTCCCAGAAAGGGTCGCTGGCCGGGATTAAGGCGGCTATCTCAGCGGGGATGCCGGCCATTATCGAACCAAGCATACACATCATAGCCTGAGAGAATGCGATTGAATAATATAACGATGAATGATCACAAGTACCTGTGCCCATGCCTCCTTGCTCTGCAGAGAAGTATATGCACCGCCTATATCCAGCACTAGGCCCCCCTTATCCATGAAACTAGCTCGGTAGCGGAACCTTCCCACCTGAAAACAACAGCCACAGTGTAATAACTGCTGACGACCGACCCCCACCTCCTCAACGACAGCATCCCCCCACCACAACATGAGGTTATCGACAAAGTCATCCCGACTCCACGATACCCCCGGGATGCACTCCCCCCCACACCACTGGCCGTTGGTCCTGTTATACTCTCCCACATTATACCACTGCAGTTCCAACATGGCGTCGTTCTCCCGCTTGAACCTACCACTGGAAGATGAACACACGCCTGATCGCAGTACAGGTTCTACAGACGAGCCATGAAGTCGTCATCATCTACGTTCTCCTCATCGTAGGCTCTACTATGCCTCCACGCCCCGCAGCCACTCGGCTTCTCTGAAAATCCACATGAGTCTTCTTCCCTCCGCACCGACCAACATCACCATTGGGTGCCTCTGGTGGCGGCATATTTTTATTCCACCCAACATACTCCCAGAAAATCTCAAACTGAGGAGCGTTCTGAGCCACCATACGAGCGTCGGGTATACCAGCCGCAATGGCAGCCAGGATGGGCATCACTGCTCGGCACATAGCAGGAGTTCCGATGCCTGCATGAAAACGATGCTGCCAATTGCAGCTGATGTCCTTACAAGCCACCGCCTTATGAGTATCATCAGGTAGATAGACCCCTCCCTTGTCCCCAGGATAGGAACGAGAATCCTTCTGTTTGCTCTTCCACCCAACTGTACTGCTCCGTGGCCTCCAACGTGTTCCCAACTTGTCCAACACACAGTCCGGCCAGATCTGCTGACAGTACCTGAAAGGCAATACATACACCTTCCCCTGCCGCTGGTGCCGATGTGATGCTACTACCATATTAGGTTGCCAGTGGTGATAGTGAGCCCATAATCCAACTCAGCCCGTATATAGTCTCCTCCTTGATATGCCCGCTGTACTTGCTCAAAAACCTTCTCATATCTGACCAGCCAATGAGGGCTATACAAGGGTAAGACCTAGAGTACTTCTGTTGGGCAGCAGAGCCCTCTAGCCTCTTCCATGGTGGAGGGCACGTCTCAATGTCCTTCCTAGCTGCCTCCACCTGGACGACGAGCACTTGACACACACAACACCCATGCAGAGCTCACATGCTGACGGCATCTGTCGGTCCACATAACCTGCTTATACTGCCTCACAGCCACCGAAGTCTTGGCTGTGGAGTCCTGGGTATACGATCGGTATCTTGAATAGTACAGTAGCATTAGGACTCCACACTGTCAGACTTAGCCTTTTTCCCCTTCTCCTCGGGCTGCCTCTTCACACAAGTAGCCGGTGGACGCTCCCGGACCTACATCCAGGATAATGGGAATCACGAGAGCCCATCACCGTACCAAGTTGAGATCTTCTAGCCAATCCCACCAGTCGCTGGCGACCGGACACACCATAGCCGCCTGAGAATGAATAGTGTCCGAGTGGACTTCTCCTTTCGTATCTTCCCCTCACATTGGGTGATATACCCAGAGCATAGCCTGCCCCTAACACAGCCATCGCCCTCACACTGTCAACACGTCCTTGAACCTTTACACCCCATGGACCGGTGTTGTGACTACTCAACAGGAATATACCCGTCCTGTCAGGCAACCACCCACGACCTGATGAAGCTAACACCATGAAGGAGATTCCCAACACATACCCGATTCGGTCTTCCTCCCAATTTCCGGACGCCAGCCCTCCTCGAATTTGTCCCTCTCAATCTTGTACCACACGTTGCAGTAGGCGACCAGATCGTCCTCATCAACTTTACGCCTAGCAGCGCCTTGTATTTCAAACGCCATGTACCTAAGCATGCCGTCAAGGACAACAACCAACAAGACCCAAAAGAACGGTCGGGTGGGTACCGAAGGAACGACTAGCCCAGGTCTTCAACACGGATGATGGAGTTGTGATAGAGGCCTTACTTCCCCTGACTATTCTCGGCATCCCTCCTAGCCTTCTCAATCACGTCGATAAGGGCAGTATTCGCCTTCTCGCTGTAGGACATCGACACCGCCAAAACAACACCGAAAACTGCATCGCGTTCATCAACACACACAGTGTAAGATAGTAATTTCGTGGCGCGCGGTAGTTATGGCCAACATTGTGTGCTCCACGAGTGCTGCAATACTTCGATGAACGGAACCTGGCAAGCCCTATCCAATAGACCCCCGAACAGAACCCTCACTGTACTGGAAATACGGAGAAACACACCACAGTCGGCATGCCACGTACACAACGCCGACCAACCCTAACCGCCGCGCACGCCACACAGGTTGCCTGTCACCACAAACTTGGGTAGCCACACCTGCCGACCATCACCAGGCTTCGACCCAAGGTACAGATCTGGTGTCTCATATCTAGTCGTAGAAAAGACCCTCAGTGAAGGCACGAGATACAGTCCTACTGGCAATAGAACTTTTCCCCCCGTTTCATGCGGGCCACATCTCGCTGGTCATGGAAGTAGTCAATAGCCGCAAACACAACCTCCTTGCAGGGGCGGATGTCCCCATGTTCGGACGTAGTCGTTGGAGATGAGCTCCTCGCTGAGGCCGGTGCCTCTACAAAGTCATGTGCAAGAGCCGCCGTGGGGTCGCTCATACTCTTATCGAAGCCGGCCTTCTTTGGTTTACTCTCATTGCTAGGGCTCCCATGAGTTCCAACGAGTTGTCGAGATCTCGGGAGCTGCATCATAGCCGATGAAGAAGTACGATGAGGTAACCTACAGAAGGTCTGAATTCAGACGTACTGCCGTAGAGCTTGAAGAAACGCTGTCTCTGCCAAGCCTCGCCGAAGCGCCTATCCCGGGCATCCCTGATTGCCCTGAGGACAAGAAGACTGGCAGCAACTTCAGAGGAGCTCTGGCCGGCCTACTCCCGCTGGGCTCTCACAGCCTCTGGCCCCTTAATGTCGACGACCAGGTCCCAGAAGGGGTCGCAAGCTGGTAGAAGAGCTGCTATTTCCGATGGTATACCACACATTATCGAACTAAGCATACACATCATAGCCTGATAACGAACATGCTATGGAGGACCCCTGCCCTAGAGGGCAGTCAGCCCACCTGAGCCCAGACTTCCTTCGTCTGCACACAGGTATAGTAACCTCCCAAGTCTAGGTATACTCCACCCTTATCCATAAACTCTGGACGGTACCGGAACCTTCCGACCTGTGGGCCAACACTATTATACGACGCCACTGGATGCCACAACCCACCTCCTCTATAAGGGCAAAGGGCCACCACAGCATGAGCTGGTCCACGAAGTCATCTCGACTCCAAGACACCCCAGGGTTGCAGTTGCCACCCGTCCAATGCCCAGCGGTACGGTTGTACTCTCCTACACTGCACCACAGCTGCTCTAGCAAGGCATCGTTTTCCTGCATAAACCTGATAGCGTCACGCGCCACAATATTCGAGCCACAGGAGATAGCCAGAGTATACAGTGTAGCCATGAACGTGTCGTCCTCGTTGTTCTCTTGATCATACGCTCTCGAATTTCGCCATCTCCCAGTGCCATCGGATTTGCCTGACAACCACTGACCGCCCCAACCCCTATAGCAAACAACCTGGAGGGGCCTCCGGTGGCGGCATATGCTTATTCCAGCCAACATACTCCCAAAAGATGTCGAACTCCGGAGCACAGCTAGCTACCATCTTGGCATCGGGTATACCGGCTGCCATCGCAGCCAATATGGGCATCACAGCTCGGCACAGCATCGGTGATCCAATACCTACCAGAGCCCCTTACCCCATCACATAGACGATATACGCCGTCCCACAGGCCACCGCATTGTGGCCTTCGTCAGCAACATAGACCCCTCCCTTCTCCCCTTGAGGCTTATGGTCATGGGTTTTCCCGCGAGCCACTGCATTAGACCGAGGCCTCCACCTCGTCCCCAGCTTATCGATCACAGCATCCGGCCATATCTGCATACAGTACCTGCTCCCACAGTGCACTGCTAGCCACTCTACTCCACGAAGAGCACTACCACACGACGTTGCCATTAGTGATAGTCAGCCCATGGTCCAGCTCAGCCCGAATGTAGTACTCACCCCTATACGATGCACTTATTCTACCATATGCAGCTCGATATCTACAACGGAGTGTCTCTTGAGTCTTCAGCCGGCCACTATCTACCTGACCATTGCCTCCTCCCCTTCCATATGGGCCCAATTAGGCCTGCATGTCTCCAAGTTGCGACGGGCCAACTCCACCTGCGGCAACTACCAAGTTCGACAACCCAGCAATTGCCACTGCACTCACCGCCGATGCATTCCTATCTGAGCGCATCGGCTCCATGTAGTTCTTCACTGCTTGGGATGTCTTAGCGTCCTTGTCATCGTACTTCGCCTTGTACCTGAGATCCCCGCCAGCGACACAACGTGAGACCTCACGTCGCCATAAACCCACTTGATACTGCCACCTTTCTCCTCCACTACCTGGACCACGCGCGTGGCCGGTGGTCGGTCCCTGACCTGAGCTCCCATGAGCAGTCCCCGGTGCCCATCCACCGCCCACCAAGCCCAGCTTCTCGAGCCAGTCCCACCACTCCGCTGCTGCTGGGCAGACCATAGCAATCTGAATAACAAACTGATGAGCTTGTTAGTCCCATGGGCCTGCCTCGGGCGGGATGTTGAGGGAGAAGCCCGCAGCAATGACGGCCATGGCCCGAACGCTCTCCATGCGCCCATGGACCTTGACACCCCACACCCCGCAGTAGTGTCCACTCAACAGCTGTATACCCGACCTATCTGGCTGCCAACCACGCCCTGAGACATACCACACTTCTTCCTCTTCAGAGTATCCCCTCCCTGTTAGAATATATGTTTCTTTTCCTCAGCATAGGAGTCTAACTACATTATTAGAATATACACACGACTTGAGACTATGAAAATTCCCTATTTATCATCAACACGTGTAGTTGACCATGTGCATATTTTCATCAACACTGCTCCTCCTACCGCCACTGTCCTTGTGGGGGCCTATCTCCGGCTTCCAGGCATCCTCAAATTTATCAATCTCCTTATCATACCACTTGTTGCAGTACTCGAGGAGCTCCTCCAACGTAACCTTGCGAATCCCTGAATTCTGTATATCGAACGAGATATACCTAAGCAGTCGTTCCCTCCACCCGCGAAAAGACGAAGTAGCACAATGTTCACCTCCCCAGACTTCCAGCACACTTCTCATGAGCCTTCTTCAGCGCATGCTCCAAGGCTTCATTAGCCCTCCCATTGTATGTCATAACAATGCACAACGAAGCCTCAAGAAAATACTACGCGAAAATACTAAGAAGTACCGACGCGGTGAATTTCCCAGACGCGAAACCACCACAGCAATAGGACTGGGAAGCAGTAAACCTGAAACACTCTCAAGGCAACAGACCGTTGATGGAAGGAAACACATCTTGTCTAATTGTATCTTGATCAACGACGACAAATCACAACTGTCAACTTGCTACTCTCTCCTCAGCGTCGTAAGGTCACCAGTAACCACGAATTTGGGAAGCCACAGCAGCTCCTTCGAGCCCTCCTTATAGCCGAGGAAAAGGTTCTTCGTCTGCCGTCTGAAGGGCGTCAGAAGGGACCTCGTTCACCCAGAGGATGCCTCCAATCTTACTTGCAATGGAATCGCTCTCCCCGTCTCATCCGGGCAACTCCCTCTTCAGCGTGGTCGTAGTCTATAGCAGCTGTCACAACGCCACTATACTCCCTCACATCTCGCCCTTCACTGGCTGAAGGTGCTGTGGAATCCGTACAGATACTAGAAGGGTAAGCAGCTGCCTCCGGAGACCGTGACGTGGCCACCACCACCGGGGGCCGCATAGGCGTACCAGGCTCTGAACATGATCAACCCTATCACTATACGAGACTGAGCTACTCTCTGTAGTATCCTTGGACTTCTTCTTAGAAGACTTCATCTCCTCCACGATGGTCGACGCCCTTCCCGGCCCCTCCTGACCACGCTGGGGACCCCCTGGAGCCTCGTTCTCCAATACTCCTCCACGTGGCCGACTAGATTCCGAGGTGCCTTCCGATGACGGTAACTATCAAGCAAGCCAACAGCCTCAGTAGCCGACTCAGCTAGCCTCGACGCCCATCCTCACTGATGGCTGGAACATAGTGCAGTCCCCATGTAACTTCCTAAACCGTTGCTCTTGCCAAGATACGTTAAATCGTCGATTACGGGCCTCTCGGATTTTCCTAAGTGACTCAGACGCTGTCAGTGAAAACGATAAGAGGCGAGAGCGTACGCGCGTTGGAGTCGAACAACCTCTGGGCCTTCCTTATCCACGATGAAGTCCCAGAAGGGATCACTGGCCGGCAGCAACGCAGCGATCTCTCCTGGTATACCGCACATTATAGAGCTCAGCATGCACATCATCGACTGAGAAAAGGGAAGACCTCAATGATTTGATCCACAGCCAGGAACTACCTGAGCCCAAATCTCCTTGGACTGAACTGAGGTCCATGCGCCTCCTATGTCCAACACCAGCCCTCCCTTATCCATAAAATTTGGTCGGTACCGGAACTTGCCAACCTACTCTACTTCCATGTCGGAGATCCTCATCAGCCTGGCCACACTCCCACCTCCTCAACGACAGCATCCCCCCACCACAACATGAGGTTATCGACAAAGTCATCCCGACTCCACGATACCCCCGGGATGCACTCCCCCCCACACCACATGCCATTAGTCCTGTGATATTCCCCAGCGTTGTACCACTGCAGCTCCAACAAGGCATCGTTCTCTTGCTTGAACCTACCCTCGCTACTGCCCCCATCAAGGCCAGCCCCCAAGCCTCACAGCTGGGCCATGAAAGTGTCGTCTCTATTATTCTCATCATCATAGGCTCGAGAGTCCCTCCACTTCCCACTGTCACCAGGCTTACCTATACGAAGCCTACATGGACGACATCCCCCTGCTGTTGCCAACATCACCATTGGGTGCCTCTGGTGGCGGCATATTTTTATTCCACCCAACATACTCCCAAAATATATCAAACTGGGGAGCGTTCTGAGCCACCATACGGGCATTGGGTATACCAGCCGCAATGGCAGCCAGGATCGGCATCACTGCTCGGCACAGCGCCGGAGAGCCGATACCTACCACAGTATGACAACTACGAAGTTGAATACCTTGCCCCACCGCTGCTGCTTACACGCCACCGCCTTATGAGTCTCATCAGCTATGTAAACTCCTCCTTTATCCCCTTGATATCGAGAGTCGTGGTAATTCCTCCGAGCCACTGCGCAGAACCTAGGCCGCCACCTCGTACCCAGCCTGTCCAGAACGGCATCCGGCCAAATTTGCGTGCAGTACCTAAACAACGAGCTTGACAAAGACCACATCCAGCAGGCACGAAGCCGACAGAGATGAGCAACTCCCAGTACGGCACCAACCAGAGCACATTCCCTGTGGTGATATGGAGACCAAAGTCTAGCTCGGCTCGGATGTAGGACTCCCCTCGATAAGACTGGCGGATCTTCTCGAACATCACTTCGTACCTTCCAAAGGACATCTAACTGTCTGGACCGAACGAGAGAAACATACTGCACATTTTCGATATCAATTTCACGGCAGAACGTCCAATGCCTATCTATACAGCCTGGCGACAGCGTCAATGGATGATGGAGAGGTAGGTAGTAACGTAGGAAGAGTAGTATACCCAGCCGGTCCCATGGACTCACTGTTGCTGTGCTTCTTGGCCCTCAACGTCTTTCCAATCAGGTCGTCGTATTTCCATGTCCTTCCTAGCATACTCCACCTGCGTCCAGAGCCGCCTCCCTCGGTGGAACCTCCATCACCCCCACCTGAGCCCGACATCGCTCCGTCCACAAGGCCTGGGTATAGTTCTTCACAGCTATCGACGTGATAGCTGTATCGTCCTGGTAATACCCTCGGTACCTCGAGATTAGATGTTGGACTCCAGGGACATGCCCTGCCACCCTACTTGGAATTTTTCCCTTTCTCGATAGGCTCTCTCTTGACTCGAGTAGCAGGAGGTCTATCGCGGATCTGAGTTTACCACAGGTCCAGCCCCGAAGGCCACCCAGCCAACTGACCAGGCCTAGCTTTTCGAGCCAGTCCCACCACATACTTGCAGCCGGACATACCATGGCGACCTAGAGAGAGGAATATGGCGGAGCGCGATGACCTACTGAGCATACCTGGGCCGGTATCTGCAACGCGAAGCCTGCCCCGATGACGCCCATGGCCCTCACGCTCTCCACTCTGCCTTGTATCTTGATACCATAGCTACCACTGTTGGTACTGCTAAGGAGCATTATGCCCGACCGATCCGGCTGCCAGCTACCATACCCTGGGCTAGGACTCCAGCAAAACAAGCGAGTGAGCAGAGCGCGGCGACCCACCCCCCGTATCAGTGGGAGTGCCTATCTCCGGTCTCCAGCCATCCTCGAACTTATCCCTTTCTTTATTATACCACATATTGCAGTATTCTACCAAGTCGTCATCAGACACGTTACGCCTACTAGCATTCTGTATGTCGAACGACAAGTACCTGGTGGGGCACACTCGGCGATCCAATACCATCGCAAGCAGCAGTAGCAGCAGTACCGCCCTTGGCTGTGGGCATTTTTCTGCTGAGCTCTCTTTAAGGCATCCGTCAGAGCCTCATTTGCCTTCTCATTATATGCCATTGAAAAGACACAATCAGGTCGGCGCCAACACACTGAATGTCCAAGTCCAGCCAATGGTCGCCCGGTACTCCGACTATTGACTATCGTTCACCGCGAAGCCCCTCGCTATCGCCATGGACAACACAACGTTCATGAGAGCAGCACCTTACACTTGGAATTGAAGCGGGATTTATCTACTGTTGTTGTATAGAAATCCCTCCCGATACGGCACGGAGAATCTTCCCCGTGCGCAAGATTCCATCCTGCGCATGCGTGCAGTTGATGATGTTCCCCCACCCCACCTTTGACCGAAATCCAAAATCTTCAAGAGTCGTTATAGAAACTAATGATGCACTTATGGTACATCACACGCAAACTGTGGTTCGGAAACTACTGATGGAGGTCGCAAAAAAATGAACGCGATGGCCACCGCCAGGTCGATGGAGTGCCAACTACGGGACGAATAGGTGCTTCCCAGCGACACCCAGCTCCTTGGCGGCTTGCATGATGCCGCCATCTAAATTCAATAGGTACTTGAATGACGTCTGCAATGCACAAACAGCAAGACGGCTGTCGTTACCTACAGGGGGAGGGGGTTTGAGACTAACTCAGTAGACGTATTTGGCTACCTTTCCGACAACACACAACAGCAGTGTTCGGACGATGGTCCTCAAGCAAGGCCTTCACTTTATCCACGAACTCCTGAGAGTCCTCATAAGGGACATTGACGCTGCCTCTGAGATGGACCATGTCGAACTGTGGTTTGGGTCGAACGTCGATGACCAGACAGGCTGCTGATGGGCTCTCAAGCATGAGGTGCCGTAACTGACGACACAACATGGCTATCTCCTCGGCCCTCGTGAAGAAGATGCTCACCTGTTTAGGGCCGATACTGTTGACAGCTGGCAGCAACTGCACCCCATCGCCATCATCATGTAGGCTACTAGCATCACTACGGTCCTGTGCCGCGGCAGACTCCTCCGTCCACCCACACACCGGGCAGTCTGGTCGCCGCTTCAACGCTACTGTCCTCGTAGAGAGGCCTCCGTCAAGCATATCCACCAACAACAGGCGTCCGGATAGGCTGGCCTCCTCTAGCTGGGAACCGTCCATTAGGGCAAGCTTGAGGGCCTCTGAGGCCATCACACAGCCGATCATGCCAGGTAAAGGAGGGAATACTCCGAGAGTGTCGCATCCCCCTCTGCCCCCTCCCCCATCAGAAGGCTCCGGAAACACACACCGCATGCAAGGCCCCGCCTCTCCACTGCAATAGACAGTCACCTGGCCAGACCATTCCATAGCCGCTCCCGACACGAAGGGTCGTCTCGCAGTAGCACAGGCTGAGGAGAGCAGCCAGCGTGTCGCAGGACAGTCTGTGCAGTCCAAGATGATATCATGCTTGCTCACTAGGTCACGAACATTGGCTTTACTGAGCATACCAGAAGCCACCTCAACCGAGACCCCTTTCATAGCTACACGACGACAAGCTACCCGGGCAGAGGCGGCCTTTCTACGTCCCACGTCCTTCACTGAATACAGCTGATGCTGTCGCTGTAGATTGGAAGCCTCCACCAGGTCTCCATCAATGAGAGTAATGCGGCAACCAGGCAACAAGCATGCTGCTATGTAAGTCGCGCAGGTGTTAGCCAAACCACCACAGCCAACGACGAGGAAGGACCTACCGCACAGAATAAGAATATCCGCTAAGAATATCCTAACTCTAAGGACACTTCATGATTACTTCTTATGCAAGGGGCGTTTGGAGAGCTGCGGCAGAGACATCATCCGACACCCCCGTTCAATTTCATCGCGAGTCATATCGCTCCGCTGTACAAACATACTTGCATTGCGCCAGAAGGCTTGTCGACGTTTACGAATGTACCAAAACGCCGACCCACAGAGGATGCCGAAACAGCCGAAACCCACTAGGGTGCTGCGGCGGGCATCAACTAAAATCCGAGGCAGATGAATTCGGCCGAGGCTGGGGAGGTATGAAGACAGCGATGGCAAGCCAGACGGCCATGGGAAGTATGCCACTGTAGGCGGCCAGGATGGTAGCCAGGAAGGAACCGAGGCCGTCGAAGAGGACACGGCCGTGGACATAGAAAACACGGAAACTAACCTCGAGATTCGTATTGCCCCAACACGACTCCAATGGTGTTAGTAGTGTACATGAGGGACGCTACTGCTCATGGACGTGTAACGCTCTGGCGCTAGGGCGTCTTCGAGGTCAATAGGCAGCACAGGTGGGGCCATGGGCTGATGAAAAACGGCCCTCAAATACGCAATCCTCAAATACAATGCTACTTTCCTCTCGAGACACTTTTCACCTCCTGCTACCCCTATGCGGCTTTTGATGCCTCCCCTGCTGCTCAGCTTGCCTCTCCGTGGTAGCACAGGCGAGCTTCTCCTAGGAAGCCGTGGGGCGGCCCTCAGGGGCTCAGTATTGACACCAACATCCACCGTCCGATTGCTACAGGGCACCAACAGACTACCGGAGACCAGGCGGCCTGAACAGACTTCATCGATACAGTATTGGGAGGTCCATCACCTCTGGAGCCAGCCAGCCCGTCGAACAGGGCCTCCGTGAAGTCCCGATCAAAAGGCCATGGCCTTCCACCCCGACGTTGCCGCAGTCCCAGCCATCGCCACAGTTCAAAGAACAATACACCCCTCTCCGGGTCGTGGGTGTGACGGTCAAGGGACATCACTGCCGCCTCGACCGAGCCGTACCTTATGAAGGGATGTAACACCGAGCCCAATGCTCTTGGCCTACTCCCGGGCCGCCCACTGCTGCATATAGGACACTTCTGGCCCCCAAACCTCCAGGACCGCCGAGGGGAACGCCGATGATGTCGCCAGATTTGAGGTAGCGGTGTCCTAGAACGGGGCTCCGACCTGCAACTGGATTGCCCTCAACCCCTACACGCTGCGCCGGCCTGCTTGTAGCGTCGTCACGAGTAGCTCGTAAGCGTCCAGCCTTCTTCCGAACCCGAACCACTTCCACAGTGGCCTCTCCCTTTCTAGAGCTGCTACCCCGACTCTCTACACTGCTCATTCTAGGACTGCCGACCTCCATCAGTCGAGGGGTCCGCTGTGGCTCCGTCCAGCCCTGGCTGGCCCTAGATGCCCGGACAACTTCGCTCTCCAAGGTCCGAGGGCTAGCGACCAGGCCAATACTACCCGGCCGGGTGCTACCAGCACAGCTCACGTCCGTCAACAGACCGACACCCCACAGCTGAGGGTCCGACGACTGTACAGGACGCATTGTCGCCTGGTGGTCTCTATAGCGCTGGTCATAGTGCCGTAGGAGATCCTCATTCAAACGTCTAAGCTCATGTACTTCCTCAAGGAAAGCATCGATTCCACCATCCATACTACTACTGCTGCCGGACCATGTTCCATACAGTGCCTTACTGAGATATTCCCCCTGTGATGATGCCGCCAAAGTCGGACTCTTAGCAGCACAGCGTACCTCCGCTACACCCATCGGCTTAGTCTGGTCGCCGCCCTGTCGCCTCGGTCCGCCCTGTCGCCTACTACTACCATTAGCCCGAGTCTTCGGACGGCTCTCAGCCCCACCCTGGTCTTGTCCCTGCAGGCCCATCCTGTCTTCTCCCACGTCGAGTTGCCTGAGAGAGACCCTCGAGCTACCAATGCCCTGCACGACGAGGTCCATCGACGGGTCCGGCCCCCTCCTGCTCAGCACAGACCGTCGCATCCGTAGTGGGGATCTGCTCCTCCCCCATCGGTGCCCATCAACCCTGGCCCGATGCTGCGACCGCTCGCCCCACTGAAGGGACATCTATATAGACTACCAAGACCAGTCAACGGTACTCGGACGCAAGGCCATGACCGGGGTACGGAAAGGAGTCCTAACTGAAGCCATGCAGCACAATCTGGAGTGAAGATATTGGGCGATGCGCACACGCAGTCACCCCATCCAGTGTCGATGGACCTGCTAGAGTCTTCGCCCATGAAGCGACACCGACTCCCTGCTGTATGGCCCTCGCAGAGCTCCAGAGTCAAGTGCTGTGCAGCCTAACAGGGGAATGCCCAGAACTAGGCTAACCGCCAGAATTCGATAGTCTGGGCCTATTCGTAGCGCATATGGTCTACAGTGAGCCCCTGCTAGGACTGTCGTCCTTCGTCACCACTACTACGTCAGGGTTCTGGCTCAGTCCCATAGCATGTACCTGCCCAACGACCACTGACGAGTAATGGTCACCATTCGGGGATCGAGATCTTGAGTCGACTACTGCTGGCAACACCCAGCGGCGACCTCCTATCCTGCCTCGAGTCCCCTCCCATTCCGCCGTCCCCCCGTGTCGGGCCTCTCCTCAGCCATGTTAGACCCCTGACTGTAGTGGTCCGTCGGGTGTACCACGATGGTCCCCACTACTACTACCATAACAATGCCAACTTCTGAACAACCTATCAGCCACTGCCATCTACCGCCTAACTGAATGCTCAACCACAAATACAACATTTGAATAGGAAACTTCGACAACGGTGCGTATCACTACGAATCCACTACCTATTACTAACGTACTACACATTAGCGTTATGGGATCAAATCTGCTACACCAACAGGTGAATGGCACTTGCCTCAAAGTACCCTCCTAGCCGCCTTGGCTGCCTTCTGCCTCGCCCTGCGTTCCTTCTGGCTCTGCTTTCCCTTCCTGGAAGAGACACCAACAGTAGTCGCCGTCGACCTCTCTGGACTCCCTTCAGACTCCCCTCCAGCCTTTGACGCATGCTGGTGCTTCTCCTTCTCTTGGGCGGCGACTCGTTGTTGAATCTGGACTTGGTTGTAGAGCAGTTGTCGTATCTGCTGCTCAGCCTCCCTCCTCTGTATGTTCAAGGGCTTCCATCAGCCTCTCAGTCTGTTCAGGGTCGCTCGAGACAGCAGCCGTCTTAGTTGATGCCTCTTTCGTCGTGTCCTTGTCCACCTCAACCGTGACTTCGGCCTGTTTGTCGGCAACTTCTGGTGACGCACTTCTAGTCACCGGCGTCTTTTGCTCAGTAGTAAGATCCACAGCAGAGTCCTCCGTCTCAAGTGTAGCTACCTCTGTGGCGAAAGCCACATGAGCCTCCTCACCCTTGGGTGTAGTCACCTCAGTGGAGGGCGCCACGGGGACTTCTTTCGTAGTTACTTCTACATTAGTACTTCTAATGGCTACTAATTTACTAGCCTCGAAAGCGTCCTCGTCCTTGAGTGTAACTGCCTCAGTGGTAGGGGCAACAGGAGCATCCTCGACCTTTGATGTAGCTACCTCATTGGTGGGGGCCACAGGAGACCCCTCCAGCTCCTCTCCCATGTGGAGTGTAACAGTAGTAGAATGAGCAGCCTCCAGGGTCTCAGCAATCACAGGTTCCTCCCGTTCCCCCTCGCTAAGAGCCACCAGATCGATAGGTGTGGGCCTAGGCTCAGGCGTGAAGGCTGCTGTAGTAGCTGGAGTCGGGGTCGGGCTGCTCTCAGCTGGCTGCTTCATAGACGGTAACGTGGCAACACTGACCTGTGAGACAACTCCTACAGGCTCCTCAGAACCTCCAGTAACCTCCTTATAAACCTCAGCGGCCGCCGTAATGACTCGACGGGAATCAGGCTCTTGCGACGGCTCGCTGATTCGAACTGGTGGTGGGGTCGGAGTCCTGGGCGACCCGAAACAGGAAGAGCAAGAATTTCCAATGGGAAGATACCGAGTCCCCCGTGGGCAACAGGGACCTACGATGAAGCATTCATGCAGTCAAGAGTGCTGCTGTATGCTCCTCAAAACTCACTGAAAACCTTCGAAAATTGCATGTAACACGGCGTTGGAGACGTGGTACGGCCTGTCCCACTAGATGGAACTCAACAAGAGAATATCGAGAAATGACACGGCACTCACGAGCCTATGAGCATCTTAGCTGCTGTCGAAGACTCTACCATGATAAATGCGATCTAAGTCGTAAGTAAGCTGATCAGGAAAACTCTATAAAGGGTCCAACAGGAAGAAAGAAAAAAAGCAGATGTGAAAAATGACGTCCAATACTCGTCAATATCGCTCGTGTCACTGACTCGGACGCTACTGCAATTCCTATTAGCGTTCGTTTAACAACATACATCCTGTAAACCGCGACAACCTGGACTTGATGTCGTCAGGAGTCCTGAGGGCTCATGTCTATGCACCCTCTTCACAACCCTCTCTGCGCCCTCTCGAACACTCCATGATGACAATAGATATGTGTTACATGTAGTAGGGAGGTTACTCATCTGAACATTGACGCTGTGCCACACACCACCCGATGCAAACAACGCTTCCTCGATTCTCGTAGAGCCAATAATGACGGAGCTCATGCTGATGATGCTGGCATGGCGGAGGAAGGATGAGGGAGAGGGAATGCCGTGGGGCAATCACCATGTCAACAAACACAGGGATATCGACACCACTACACTGTAGTGACTACAGTGTGTTCGACTTTGATAGTCCGAAATGAGAAAATGTTGCAATTTTGCTAATTCGACGATTAGGAATCTGAAACCTCGAACATTTCGAGGTCTATGAGTAAGCAATATATGAATATGTATAATCATTATCGATGACGAACCGTTACAGAGTTAGGGCGAGCCACGCATATTAGTCCTCGGTAGTAGAGTGATCGGAAGCCTTCTTAGCTGGACTCGATCACCACAGTGCAGGATCCACAGCTGGGATTTCCTCCCAAAAATTACTAACGATAGATTAGCTCGATATACTACGATGACACCTCTCCACCCGTCGACCAGCCTTGACAGTGAGGATCCCATAACGCCAATCACAATGCGGAAACGATGGAAACTTGGAAACAATGAGAGCGACGATCCTTCATTGGACGCCGACCCACTCGAGAAAAGTGTATGGGGGCCACAGGGGGCCAAATGAGGAACAGACTTCTCAATCCAAATCAGCCACCCCCTTGGTTGTACCTGACCACACTAGACCTTACCAACCCCTGACCAGTAAAACCCCACGTACTAGCCTTGGCCCCTTCCGAGGACATAGCCGCACTCGTGCTCATCTTCAAAAGGCCAACTCCCTTATCAGAGAACATTTGTTCATCGTTTATAGCATCCAACAACTCCTCGAGGCTCAGACATGCCACAGGACGCTGCTGAAGGTCCGGTCGTGGGAATAGAACCTGCGCCCACACCCACTCCACAATTCAGATCAACCAAGACACGAACGACCACGCATTGAACGTACGCCCATGGTAAAAGATACTCTTACGATTGACCGAGATGATTCATTTGACATAAGGACGACCAAGGTAAAGAATCCGCCTCGAATATCTCACAGCAGAATACTTCCGTTACTATGCGAGCATCCGTAGACGATACGTGAAGAATTTACAGAGGAAGATGTCATATCTCCCGCAGCCCTGATTATTACATATACTATATCACACTTCTTACACCTCTCAGACTGGATAAGCGGGGAATCGGCAGCCGCTGCCATATATCTGAGCACAGCAGAGCGGAGAAGTTGAACTCATACACTAGCCGGAAGAACTTCCTTACACAAACTGTAGGTCTTTCCTCTTATCGAATTTGCCGCTATCAATAGCGTCCGATATAGGCTTCATAAGCTTAGCAGCATCCTTCATAGCTGAGACATCACGTCTGTACTACCCAGGCTAAAGGTGATAGTAGTATGATTACTCTTAGTAATAACAACAACTACTCCACTCTTGTCATCACTTGCTTGCAACAACCTCACCGTGAGGCCCTCCTCATTAGTACCTACACGGTGTTCAAATTATATACAAAAATCTGAGAGTTGTGTCGATCACACGTGAGCAACAGGGGTTTTCGATGAGGCTGAGTCTCATGAAACCTGTACCACAACTACTCACCTTCAAGACGATCACTGAGGCCGTCGATGAGCTCTATAGGAGTAGAGGCTCCAAGAGCATCGATGCCCTCCGGTCCAGCCTTGATCATCTTCACAATCTCCAACTGCTGCGTCCGCTCCAGCCGAGTACGCTCCTTAGCGAAGGCCTTGTCCTTAGTCATGTACCTAGGCAGCAGTCCATCACAGATCACCACTGCAATGACCGCGACCACTCACGTGGCAACAGCACTGTGTAGGACCGCCTTGTTCACCACAATTTCAGCGTATCGAGCTACAGCCGCGGCCTCAGCTGAATCGTTGGCCTCCTGCAGAGCCCCACCTAGCTCAGCCTGGTCGGCCTGATAGAACAACTCCAGACTAGCAATAAGTCCGTTATCACACTACATCAACAGGATGAGGATGCTTCTGCCAGAACTCCTTGAGGGTTTTGCGGAACCTCGCCAACTTCTCCGTATTCACAGCCTCGAGGATCTTCAAACACATGTCCACTGTGAGTGCCTCGGGCATCTCAAATCCTATAAAACGAGATGAATTACCCCTCAACCATCATCATCAGCCATGAACTACTACCTGGAATGATGGGCATCTTCCCTTTAGTCGCCGAGGCGAACATAGCGTCGATACCCTTCTCAAATTGCTGGATATGCTCATCACTTTCGTACCGCTTCTGCGCTGCCTCAACCTCCTCAGCTGTAACGCCATATCTAGACCAGTCAATGGCGCCTCCACCGGATGATGAGGCGTCTCTACTACTTCTTCAGAACTTGCTTCTGGGTTTCCTCGAGCTTCTGCTGAATACCCTGCTGAAGTATCATCTCGGTGAGCTGATCGTCCGTCATTTGATTCGACAGTCCCTTCTGGGCCAAGGCGGTTCTCACACGTTCTGAGACGATTACGGTATCCACCAGAAGGATGGAATGACCAACTCACGAGTCATCTGGGCCATCTCCATGAGAACACCGTGCATGTCGACAAGCAGATCATCAGTGATGAGCTTCAGCTTCTCGAGATCCAGAGAAGCCAACCTCTCCACCTCGCCTGACCAATAACGATGACCAGCAAAACTGCCACGAATAATCCAACACGTTGTACGAAACCATGTCGCCCATACACAGTAAAACGGATAACCCCTTCTAGAGGTAACAGCAATAGTGTGCTATGGCTTACTTTTGCGCACTCGCTGTCGACGGTTATAAAGGTAGTAGCCAGCTCCAACTGCTAATGTACAGGCGGTGGCCCCAGCGACGACCTAATGAAGAATCACGATCCCCCCACGAGGAGACAACCCCATCACTCACCTTAGCGGTTTTGGACATGCCGTGGGACTTGGGCAGTGCCGTTGCGTCAAAAGCTTCTGAGAACATTGTGAGAGAAGAACCACAAATACTACTGTGAAAAGTAACACTGTAGAGGACCATAAGACAAGCCCCTTCTAGTAACGACAGAGCAACTACCTGAGCGAAGCTCATGCTTCTAGTACAGCCACATCCTCTTTCCAATTTGGAGATCCCGGTCGATCGCCTCAACAACAGACCCGACTCGACAGACATCATCAATGCAGCTATCGTACAGATGCCGTGAGCACTAATGACACTACGTCACTATTAGAGAGGACTTAGATGTTCATACGCTCTCTCCATACGGCGTACTTAATCATGTGTTCGCTCATACGAAGAGGACTGTGATAGAGCTCACACAACCGAGAAGAGCTAGCGGACAATACCCTGGTTGTTTCGCGATCCAGGAGGGCTGCCATTGATGGGAGAAGATAAATTATGGCCCGAGCTCGTGGTGCTTGGATATGCGATTTTCGATTAGCGCACGCCCATGCAATCGATGACATGATGCGGCGCGATTACATAGCGTCCACTCTGTCGTTCTTCTTCTTGTATGCTACTCTCGTTCGCATCAGCACTTCCTGCACCATTGCCTCCTCGCTCAGTGAGGAGCGTCGCGACTCCGTCCTTATCGAAGCGGGGCGTTGCGGGGAGAGAAGGCGTATGTTTTCTCAGCGGGAAATCCTTTTCATCACTGAGCCTCCTCTCTTAGGTTGAGGTAGCCTTGAGGGAATGGTCGGGGAAATATCACCGGCGACAATGGGAGATATCTGAGATCGCTGATCATATAGAGGCACTGACGAGACAAGTAAATGCACTGCGAAAGGAAGTTAATGAACAAGACGTTAATTTGGCCTTTGTGAATACACAATTGGTTAAACAGGTGGTTTAGGAAAGGCCCTTGTCCAGTGCAGCTCACTCGCATCTCTTCAGAAAAATGAGGAGCTCCCAGCGATAAAGCTGCGATATGAAAACGCGATGAAACTCAAACGCGAGCTCGACCGTGCTGTCATAGAACAGCGAACAGCCACTCGGGCGCTCACTAGGAAAAGAGCAACTCTCGCGCAGGACGTCGACAGGAAACGAAACGAACTCTCGTAAGGACCCTAAGATGACTAAGTCCTGGATTCATCTCACTGACTCAGGATTGTCCGGTCGAGGCGAGATTCGATAGCGAGGAAAGTTCGCGAGCTAGATGAACGAAGAGAGCGTGTTGAGAAACAGAAGGCGTATCGAGAGAAACAGCTGGAGAGAGGACTTCAAAAGCTGAGGAAATCTCAGACGGAAATTATCATTGCCGAAAGGGACATACTTACCATGAAAGAAAGTAACCCCATGATTTCACTGTCGATGATTGGCTAATCCATGGTTAGGCTTCGACGTCTCTGTTTACTCTACACAAGGTGCTGGTCTGTCCGTCTCCTCTCGAGGAACGCCACATGCATCAGCTTCTCATGCGAGACTAGCGATGCCGTCCTCTGCTACTACTACTAGGTAGATCAGGCTCACTGCGCTCCAAGTTATCGCCAATGCTACTCTCTGGGACATACTGATATTACTGTGTTGGACGGTCCATCTGGAAAGCTATTTTTTCAGGTCCGATGAGTTCCCAGTACCTAATACCACGCCTCGTTACCGATCGGACGCGGTAAGCTTGCTTTGTTTCGATGTTGTGTGAAGAGGTGTGGGTTCCTTGGGTGTAGGCACCGAAGAGTGCCAGATTGAGGAAACCTCCCCCAGGGATAATAGCGCTGATGAAAACTGCGGCTTCTGCCACGCTTCCGGTGAAGAATGTCGAGAAACCATCAAAGTGATGCCATTTATCAGTCTATGTGATGTACATGAGCTATCCTCTGTCGTTGCAGTGGAATACCCGTATTGATTGTGTCATCAGTGCGATCGCTTCGGAATTGAATCGGTGCTTATACTGTGAGCACTTGGGAAAATTAGATCAGTCGACTTCACGAAAAAATCAGCAGGGAGATAGTCGTTGAGTAGTCAGAGTCTTCGCCAGAGCGAACCTGGTGCCGTAGGGTATGACTGGTATATGACCAGCGACAGATTCACTTAGGCACCCTCTCTTCGGTCGAATACCCTAGTCTTGAATATTATCTCGACCACAGGATATCATCTGTCCTCAATGTGTGGGAAGTATGGTAAGCCCGTGTGACGTTAATGTAGACTGTTTTCTCCACGTTCGAGGGTAATGAACAGCTCACTTACTGAGCCTCTGAGGACACTGAAGGTGTTGGCGAATGAATGCTCGGCTGAGATAAAGGAGCTTGCTAGGATGAAAGAACTACTCTGGTCGATTGAGTAAGAGGAATCGCCATCAGACTTGACTGGGAACACACTATGCTTCATAGCAGCAAACTAACTATCCATCGCCAACCTCGGGTGGTTCGTTTGCTGCTCTCCAAGAGCAGGTCATCTATACTCGTTCATTGATAGAAAGTTTAAAGAGAATGCATCCTATGGTCAGGTATCCGAAATCCATGGTTGATATGGGACCTGTCCGGCAAGATTCTCTCCACACGTTTGAGGTGGTGTTCGCATTGGCGATGTTCTTGAGCACTTCCCCCAATAGGAACTCCGCGCCTACCACACTGCCTCGAAAGTCCATCCCCCAGCATCGAGTCAACTCGAGATATCTCACCCGAATGATGGCCAGCGGCTTAGCAATAGCTCCTTCATTTTCGTGGACAAAGTCGAGGCACCGAGTCAACGGGAAAAGCCGAAGAGTGAATCTATGAAAACTCTTTCCATATTCCCAGGGTTTAATGAAACACTCAAGGGCGGCGCGACTGAAGTAGCGAAAGCGGAGGAAAGATCAGCGAGCGCTGCTGAGGAGACGGCCAGTGAAGAATGGCCGGTTGCGATTCAGCCTGCCACTGGAGTGCCGAGGTCCTCGGTTGTCCGAGATGATACCAGCATTCCACTGAGTGCGATCTTGAAGCGGACGGTGGGAGCTGAGTCGTCCTCGGAGGACGAGCAGGATACAACTCTTGCCGCTACTAGAAGACTCAGTATTCGTTCTGCCAGCTCGAAGGGCTCCTGCTTGGACAAGCTCATCGGCAGTGTGGCCAACAGCAAGCCTATAGTAATCACTGAAGGCGATGATGAATTCGACATATGACTCTCATACACCAGGCATGTGTGGCGATAGTCTTGTATACTTTAATTCATGTGTAGTGTTGCTTGAAGGCGTTACTGGTAGCCAGTAACAGACGATGAGCTTCCTATAAGCATGTTTCGTTTATCGGCTCGACGATGCTTCCTTCACACTAGGCCTGTGGGACAGCCCCACATCAAGTTGCCGACTGCCAGCGAATTGCAGACTGTCCGGACAGACTTGACCACTAAAGGGTGATTCAGTCATCATGTGGCTTAGAAGTGATGAACTCACTGTGGCGCCTTTGTTCAATATGTTCACGCTTCTCGCCCGACTTTCACCAAAACTGGTAGAGATATGACCGAGTCGGGCTGAAGCCATTCCTCAATATCTGATGTTGACATCGTGGATATCACTATTCCACTAACTCCTCACTAATCTCGCCTGGCATTAGTCAAGCGCGGATGGGGTCTTCTGTATACGATGGGATTTAATGAGCTCATCTTTTCTGTGCTCAGCTATGCAACATTTGGTCAACTTCTTTGCCCACAGGAAGCTATTACCCTGGGCGATAAGTTCCCGGCTATATTCCGGGGAGAGTTCGATACTGGGGTGTGAGACGAGCATCTGACCGTGTCCAGCATGATTGAACTCGTGGTCGTTTCAGATTTCCAGACGAATGGCATTGGCGCGAGGGCATCTCGAAGGAGTCCGCTCCTCGGGAGATCGTGAATGCCTGGAAGTCAGACGACTTGGTGGCAAGCATTGTCTTGAGCAAGGAGCTTGGGTCACTCGTCAGAGCAATAACGGGTTGGGAGTCCGTTAGAGTAGCCCAAGACGACTTGTGGTACGTTTGCACATCGTTCGATGTAGGACAGTAGTGTGTCAGGTGGAAAGCCCCTTCCACAGCCAACAGCGCCACCAAGGGCCACATTGACGCGGAATACTTCAACTTTTTTGCAGACAATTCTTTGCTAACTCTGTGGATCGCACTCGACCCCGTCGGGCAGGATAACTCGCCGTTACAATACATCGAGGGGAGTCACCAGTGGCCGGTTGGGAATGACACTGGGGATGTTTTCAACAGGGGAAGTGAGGTTTCCGGATCGATCCTCACCGGTGACGAAGATGTGTTCGCCAGTTGTCCATACAAGTAGCTTCAACACACTAACGGTGTCATAGTGCGTGTTCAGATATGATTGTTTAGTCCGCAGTGTGTCTGTGCCTAGAGGCGGCTGCTCTTTCCACCTTGGCAACACTTGGCACGGTAGTCCGCCTAATAAGGATGCCAAGATGCATCGACGATCCCTGGCCATTCACTACATACCTGGTAACAACTCCTTCGACCTCAATGTCAAGACCGGTTACATTTATGGCAAGTACAGGATGTCTGACCATGATAGCACGCTTTATGATTGCTTCTTCCCCCAAGTTGGGTAGTTGCAGACTTGATGCCAACTTGAGTGGTTAGTGAGTACTTTGCACCCAGTCTGTTCTCTTTTGTTCAGCCCTGTTATATGTCATGATGATTGTCACATTTAACCACATACTTAATTTGCTACATTCCTCACGCTGTGTTTGGATGTCTCCTGACCGTTGTTCGGTGAATAAAGGTGCTCAATGGAGGAGACAGCTATCACAACTAACTCAGCTAAACACAACAAGCTAGTAGATCCTCATGTACTATCACCATACCATCGGTTGTTGGAGTTCGATCTGGGTGTCATTTAAGGGAGGGTGGCTGGGTGTTGGTTAGTGAGAGTAACTCACGACTTGCTGTTCAGTTTTTTGTCCTATCTGTTTTGACATTATGGCATCTGACGACAAGACAGGGAATTGCTGTTGCCGATGCAAACCATGGGTCTTCTTTATTTTGTCAGCGGTGTCTGTTATCATCGCTGTTATATGTTTTGTTGTAGCCATAGTCGCCATGGTGCCGTTCTATAATGCCTTTATTGATGGCATCAACTATGGTCGCTTTATCGATAACACATACCAAACCACTGACTGCGAGAATATGGTTGCTGGTGATGCTACTTGTGGCGGTAAGGCTTACGATGCTTGGCTTATGAGCTCTGATGAGCTGTACAATACTTGTATGAGTGATCAAGAGCCGTCGTCGAGTGCTGTTGCACTTGACTCTGCGTGGTGTGATGCCAGCTCTGACGACTGTTCCAAGGACATGTGCCAGAAGGGTATGCAGTATGATTACTATGCGTACAATTTGACTAATCCTGAGGAGGTTTTGAAGGGTGCCAAGCCTATTGTGCAAGAGCTTACTCCTGTACACACGGCCATGAGCATCACTAAGAACGAGTCCTCGGTTGATACTGACCTTTGGGATAAGGAAGGTATAGCCCATTGGGAGGAGAAGGACGAGTATGTCTTCTTCAAGGACGATGAGACCGACCTTATGAACCGGAAGGTTACCGTTGGCAACTTCGCCCTTTTAAGTAACCTTGAGGTTGCTGACATGTTTTTGAACCCGATCGAGATGATCGAAACTGTTGGTGGTATCATGGCTTACCATGTTATGTCCAACAACTTCGTTGATGGGTATGGTAACTTGAGTGCTACTACCAGAGAGGCTATTGAGAAGGAATATAAGACTCCGGTCAGTGCTATCAAGGACCAGTACTTCGAAGGTGGTCTCGCTAAGGCTCTTGGTGCTGCAAACGGGGACTCTGGTGAGTTGTCGTTGCAGCCCTTTGCAGACCTGTTCGGAACGAGGTCTGATATGGTGTTGCCTACTGTCATGGGAAGTGATTATTTCGGTTTCGCCTTTGGCTGCCCTGCTAAGCAAGATCGGTCTACCGGTAGTTGCCATCTTGATTCGAGTAATGAGGATGACGAGTCTCTTGCAGAGAGCATTGACTCTACTTTTTCTACTGGTGCCAAGAAAGCTCTGTGGAACCTCATTTACGGTACCGAAATTTCGGACACTAAATCGGTGTTGACTGCTCTGTTGCAGTTGAAGATGATGGTCAAGCCGAATGAGTTGAAAGCCTTTCTGACGCAAATGAGATATGCTGGTTCGTATGCTCTCTACAATCTGCCTTGGCTGAGGCACTCCCTCTTGCCCGTCACTGATCCTTCTTCCGATAAGTACGATTCGGACTACGACTACTATCCCAGATTTGTCAAGTTGACGGTGGGCGAGCTGTTGGGATTCCAAGATCAGTCTAAGGTTGACAAAGTCACTGGTATGCCTCTGACCATGGCACTCTCGGCTACTACCAACCCTGTTACCGAACAGTATCGTGCTAGTTTTGTGGAGGACTGGAAAGGATTGTACTACTTCAAGATGTCTAACGGCTTGGAGTACAACTGTGCATTCGACCCGGATTGTATGGCTCAGGATGAGTTCAAGGCAAACGGTACATGCACTCCTGATGATAAGTGTCACCCGAACTATGCTGCGGGTTTCGATGTTAAGTATGTGCCCGGTACTCTAAATGGTCATGGTACAAACGACTACCATAAGGTTGGTGCTATTGACAAGATGTTCGTCAGTCCGGTGTTCTCAACGGCTCAGATGAAGCTCAGCAAGAAGGATCAAGACTATAATGGAGCTAACATTGATATCTGGGATCTGGCTGACCTGGCCTTCAGGAACGAGAACTGTGATGGGTCCGGCGATGACAGTCGCGGTATTGACTGTGATTCACCTTATTTGACTCTGAACTTGGGGACTTTCAGTTCACCAAAGCCGAATCTAGTGAGGACGCCTATCTACGCCTCGCTGCCTCATTTCTATCAAGTGGATGGCTCGTCTTCGGTTAAAAACTGGTATCCTGGTGATCGTGTTGACACTAAGAGTTGCTCGGGATCTGAGGAGTGTGACGATCCCGAGAGGGACTTCAATTGTCAAATGTGGACTGAACCTATCACTGGTGCTCTCTTGAAGGGAGCATTGAAGCTACAGATGAACGTTATGATGCCCCCTGCTGCGAATACCGAGTCTGGGAAACTGACCGACGAGGTTCTTATTCCGGCAGTGTGGGTTGATGAGCATCAGCTGGCCTACCCATATCAGATTGACTCTATCAAGCAACTGCAAGCTGCGCCCGGTCTATTCGAACTGGTTATGTGGTTGGGCATCGCTTTTGGTATCGTTTTCGTGTTATGTGCTGTTGCATTCTTCTATTTCGGTTGGAGACGCCGCAGTGCACTCAGAGCTGTTGTCCTGCAGAAGAAGGTTTCTGGAGTGACCGAGGCACTTTGATGGTTTTTGCTCGTCGATGTTGGAGTTCTGTCTTGAATACATTGCCACGTTATTGTTTGCTAAGAGCAGTCTTGAAATATTATGTGCTACACTATTTGTCTATGATTCGATCGCACAATACTGTTACTAATGTGTGGACTATTCAGTCAGCCCTTGACATAAGACTCTGGGCGATTGTTTAGATCTGCATGGCTACTGGTTTGACGAGTACTCAGTTATGACGGTGTAAGTAATGCTACTTACGCCTTTATGAGTACCAAGTTTGTTCCTTGTGACTCTAATATACACCGAGTTGAGTCACCTAGTTGTGGAGGGATAATATGAGGTTGGAGTTCACAGTGAACTTTCTACTGTCCTTCGTATATAAACTGAGTCTATCTGCTAATAGTGAGTTTTGATAGTAACACCCTCAAACTTCTACGCCTTTTGAACATTCAGTGCGTTTTTGATTAACGATTTGATGTGTATGCGCGGATTTTATCCGGATGCGTGGAGTTGGAGATATAGCTTTGGAAAGAAAAGATCGTATTCGCCTCTCGGACTTTCAGTTTCGCGGTAAAAACTACAAATATGTTTCAGATCCGCACGAGGTTGGATTTCGCGCTGATAGAAATTTTGATGCCGAATTTTGAGTCGTCAGTTTCGCCATAAGACTTCCATGGTCTTCGAATGATCAATGAGAGAGAAACACGGTACGGTTTCTTGGCGGAGAAATTCCATGAGAGAGAAACACGGTACGGTTTCTTGGCGGAGAAATTCCCCAGCTGGGGATCGTACCACCATCCCCGATAAGAGGGAAAGTGTGCGACCTAGCGGAGTACCCGTGAGGCGAGCGCTAAACAACCTGTTGTGTTGATGTAAGTGAGTGCTGCAATGATAGAACTGGCAGACTCCAAGGACTGCTGTAGGGATGTGGAGCACCCCAGCAGTATGATTTTTTTTCTTACCCTTGATACTGGGGGACTAGAGACGAGGCAGTTGACTCTGTGACTAATGCTCGGATAGCTTATTCACATCAGTTCGCTGACTCATCCTCTGGTCAGTATTGCCCAACCCAGACCTCGGCTTCCGGGCTTCAGGTGTGAGGTTTGGTCAATACCTCTCCCATCCCCAGCGTGTATGGGATTTCTTTGCAAAGTCAAGCTCCATGGGTGAGGGAAAATACGCAAGTGTTTGAGACTCTCATTCTGAGATCGCAGTGCAACTATATCAGGTATATTAGTCCTAATCTAGGTTGTTAGGGGTTGAAGTTAGAGAGGGCACCCTTACTCAGCTGTGTTGTCTTACGTACTCTTATGGGACAAAGCGGCACAATCTAATTTCCCCTTGTGTATCATCTTTTAAACACTTTTCGGAAGATATTCCTGTTTGGTTCTTTGGTGGTTCTTTTGTTAACGAGAAGTGGAGAGGGTTTACGGTGATGAAACCTGTCATTGCTACTTTTGACAGTTTGGTGTTGCATTTGAACTAACTGGGGGCTGTCTCAGTAGGAGAGGCCGGGAAGAATCAATAATGGAGATAACTTTTCCACATCACTTTTGTTGAGAAGATTCGAATGTATTTGTGAGTAGTAAGGCGGTGACGCGAACGATGAAGTCGCGAACAGCACCAGGAAATTACGTACACTTTCCCTACTTGGACGATCATCGCTGCATGCAGTCGGTTCTTGTAGTTGGTAACCCTTCGTTGCTATGGTGTCTAAAAAGGCTTCTAAGAAGTTCAATAAGGCGCAGTCGAAGGTGTCGGCTAAGGCGAAGCAAAAGGCTAAGTTGACAGAGAAGATCAAGCGCAGAGATGAGATCAAGGAAAGCAAACGGAAAGGTTATAAGGCTTTGGTGCTTGGCAACTGCGAATGGCGTTCTTTCTCTCAGCTAAGCTCACTGAGGCAGAGCTGGAGGGGGCAGGGGAAGAGGAGGACATGGATGCGGAACTCAATGCGCAGCTGGCCGATATTGGTAGTCTCGTACGGGGTTGCCTCTCGACTGTCGCTGAGACGAATGTGCGTAGGGTCAGACGATGAGGCGGTGTTCTGTGTACCCGATGGCATGGATGGGGAGGAGGAACTCGTGGAGGCTCTCAATGAGGGGGAAGAGGAGAAGACGTCGTCGACGGGGGAAGGTAATAGTGCTGTTGTGGCTGCCAGGGGGGAGGCGATGCTTAGGGGCGGAAGGGGATGAAGCCGATACGCATATGAAGGAATTGGAGGCTCTTAAGGAGACCGATCCAGAGTTCTATAAGTGGGCATTTGCCCGGGTGCCTCGAGCTGGTCTTTGATGGAGTTTACAGGTTCCTTCAAGAGACGGATCAAGACCTGTTAGAGTTCGGCCAAGGAGAGGAGGTCCAGCAGGGCCCTGACGCGAAGACGAAGAAGCCGAAGCCGGAGGCTGATACCGGGGTAGTAGGCATGTTGCTAAGGGAACACAACGTCTTGTTTTATGACTACTACATTTTCCGTAGGTGCTCACGATGGAATTGTTGAATCAGCTGACTGAGGCGGCTGAAGGGAAGAAGGACGGCAATAAGTCCTTGAAGGCCCTCCGAGCAGTCCTCTCGGCCTACCGCGTGGCCAGCCGTATGAGCAGAGGAGAGGCAAAGGAAGGCGGCGAGTCTGAGGAAGGTAGTACTGTAGTATCGGAGGGATCGGGACTCGACTACCCACGTTCAGCTGAGGGATCTGCCACTGGTGTGCGAATAGAGGATGCCGCGGTGTTCAATGCTGTGTTGGAATGGACCCTCAAGAAGGTGGGTAAACTAGGAGGTCCTACTGTGACTGGGTTGGTGACAGGCCCCTGAGCTGTTGGATTATCACGACAAGCAAGTAGCTAAGGCTAAGGGAAAGGAGGCGGCCTCTGGTGGCGGCAAGACGTATATGTTGGGACGTATGTTCTGGAGCGAAAGTCTCAGCCTGTTGCAGCAACTGACCGATCTCGACACTCAGGAATTTGTAATACTGTGGCTATCGCGGGATGGTGGGGCTTATCAGGCAGCGACTAGGTCCTGTGGCAACTCTCTGATGCTAGTGCTCTGAAATACCTCATGCCCTTGAAGAAGCTGAAGCCGCTTGTTATCAATGAGCTATGCAGGAAGTGGGCTAAGGGAGGTAGGCCACTCGCGGCTGGTGGGTTTCATCTAACTTGGTGATTTGTAGCCGCCCAAGGGACCAAGCTGGCGGCCTTTTCGGCGCTGTATAACTTGGTTGGGCACATTCTGAAGAATGCTGCTTCCTCTAAGAAGGGCACTGAGGCTGCTGGACGGGAGGTTGAGGGCATCATGAGACGGATGTATAGAGCGTAATAGGTGCATGGGCTTTGGGGCGGCTCGAGCGTACTGATATGATGGGAGTGTGCATGCGACGGCTGAGGGGTTCGATGCCTTCAGGTATGTCGTATCGTTACAGAGGGTACCTGCCCTTACACACAGGCAACTGTCGGCTTGTCGGTTCATGGAGAACTGTATTGCGGAAATGCTCACTCTCGAGCCACAGGCTGCCTATCGTATAGCGTTCACTAGTAAGCACTCCTAGGTCCTCATGGAGGGACCGATAGCGGTTGGAATAGGTATCCGTCAACTTGGCGTCATACTGAGGTCAGCCATGAAAGCTCAGAGTAAAGGCATCAAGTCGATTACCCCGGGTCAAGGTAGGTGATGGACCTTGTCCATCCCTTGTAGTCGTGTATTAGTCGGTGGGTCTAAGGCGAGCAAGGCGGCAGCAGGCGGCTCGGCTGGTGTTGATTCGGTCCGTCAGTTGTATAGTGTTTGCTATGTGAGAAGCTCTGCAGTCTGGGTTGCTGCTATGGAGCGACTGCCAGAGCAGTTGAAGGACTTGGTAGTAGCGCGGGTGTGGTAAGGGGTAGAGCGTGGTCGACGTAGTTACACCCCCTGATGGTGATACTGCTGTGTGCGGCCAAGTCGAAGGAAGGCCATACGGTGTACCTGCCTTTCGTACTGCATATGCTGGAGCTTGCCAACTGCCTAGCAGAGAAGGCTAACGTCTTTGCTCCACTCACTTCTCTATTGGTACGCCACTAAAAGTATACGGGAGAATTGGGAAAATGAAGCTCTACGGTTCAGTTACGAGGGTTATCGAATCTGGCGGCTAAGGAGAAGCAACAAACTAGTACTAGACGATCAGCAGCTACCTCTACGGACTTGAAGCCAACTCAGGTGGGTGCTTCGCTCCGCTGGATATGTTTATTATTATAGGATACCATCTTAGGTTGACCTCGTCGTGAGGGTGTCTGAGAGGCAACTCGACAACCGTCCAACTAGCCAGGCTTTGCGGAAGTAATGCGTTTCATCTCGAGTTCATGTCGATCTCTATCCCATTTCTTTGCTCCGATGTATTCCAACGATAATTAGTAGTTTACATGTGATCTTAGATACCTATTATTCGTCCTCACACACCACCTCGCATTATTGGCCCGTAGCCCTTCTTATCCGGAAATAACAACACCGCTGATGACGCATCTGAGGAGGCTACAGAAATCTAATTTGGCCGTTAAACATGAAGTAAGGGGGTCCTTGGTGTTTGCTGTAGGCGTGAGTATGCTGGAGGATTACAGCACTTATAGTCTCGTTGGCGATCCCCCCACTTAGCCGTATGCTTATGGTTCGCATGGTCCCTGCTGCCCAACACAGAGTGGTTGTTTCAGTTGAAGCCGTTGATCTCACTTTCGGAGGAGACCTCGGCACAAGTCACACGCATGAGGAGTTCGTTGAAGTCGCCACCAGAGCAGTTCATGATGTAGGACTATCATTGTTTCTCTCTAGAGCAGTGTCGATGCCTCTCTCAGCTACAACTACAGTGACACTGCTATGGGTAAGGCCTATGTACAGCAGCAGAAGCAAAGGGAAGAGGAGGAGAAGAGCAAAATAGAGGCTATGATGAAGGGCGACCAAGAGATCGAACAGAGGCTCAAGCGCCAGAGGGTAATAGGGGGGTCTGCTGAGGAAGTACCTCTAGAGGTGTGGATTAGGTCGAGGAAACTGGAGAGGCAGAGGAGGGCCCAGAGAGGAGTAAGCGGTCGTTGAAGCGGCAGAGGCAGAAGGAGAAGAAGAGACGTGAGCACCTACTGCGGTCGAGGATAATTTCGTGGCGCGTGACGTTGTGTTCAGAGGCGTGGCTGGCGGCACAGACAGCGGCGGCTGAGGCAATCGGGGAGGCAGCCCAGCAGGATAGTGTCCACGAGATGACATTCTCGGACTCCGAGGGGGAGGAGTAATGGCAGCCCCTACGTCCACTACAACGTTATTAATACTCTACCAACGTCGGAACGTTTCTTCTTCTATGAAAAGTTGAGTTCAAGTGTTTTCGATGCAGAGTTGGCGATAATTGAGTTCCACGATGGAGGAGGTAGAATATTATGCAAGAGGAGTAGGGTGGACTGCCTACGTCACAGCGCCTTTATATATTCCTTCGTTCATGAATAACGCTTGGTGAGGAGAGGGACCCTAGTCAGGAGTTGCTGCTTGGTCTGGCTTGTTGACATGTCATCGTTCCGTCCTCATGGGCCCTTCGGTCCGCTCGTCCCGGCAGTCACATCCAGCGAGTGGTTGAAGAGGAAACCTTTGGGGTATAAGGATCCTGCTGAGAAGGATTCTTCCGGGAAAGATGTAATAATAAACTCCCTCTCACTTGAGTCATCTCTTGTACGTCTTGATTGTATTATGGGGTGGAGGCCGCTACAGGGGTCCCGTGGCTGTGGGTATGGGGTTAACGGTGGTGGTCTTCAGGCAGAGCTGTGTGCTGATGAATCGGAGTTGCCTGAGTGGGCTAAGGTGTCCAAGGAGGAGTACTTCAGATATGAGAACATGTTCTGTGGATGTACGTGAGGAGTGGTATGATATGGATTGTCTATACTATAGCTTTTAGATTGTGGTTCCTTCTACGACCAAAGGCAGAGAGGACAGTACTCGGTCTGCTCTAGATGTGGGGCTAAGCGGGACAGTGAGTGTTGGGAGGTCGCCGCCGGGGGCCATGGCCCGCCGTGTCAGGATTCGCCACTGGACCTCTGATGGAGTCCCATGCCGTGTTGGACTATGGCGAGATGAAGGTGTGGATGAAGAACATCATTGACGAGGAGGAAGGGAAGGAGAAGAAGGACGACAAGAAAATGGCTTTAGTAAGTACCCAGTAAGTAGAGGTGCCAGTCATTGATCAACACTCCCAGGTGGATGAGGAATGCCCCAAGTGCAAGAACCCACGGATGGCGTTCTGGACTCAACAGCTACGAAGTGCTGATGAAGGCCAAACCGTCTTTTACGAGTGCCAGAAGTGTGGCTACCGCTGCAACGTCAACAACTGATCATCTCCGACTACCCCCAGTGTTCTTGCTCTTACGCCAACGTATACTGCCTCTACTACCGCTGTATATAGGGTTGTGTTTGTAACTGGCGGACATTGCTATGCGATGACGAGAGTGGTAAGAGACTTCAGCCCATGGTTGCTCTATGGTCATCTGTGTGTCGGTGTCGTCCCAGCGAGGAGGCCTGCGGTGGGCGCTCCCTCAGCGTCGGTTTAGGTTCGGGATAGTGAGCCAGTGGCGGGGGTTGAGTAACGCTACTGCAGTCGAGAGGCTGAGGATGATACGGAACATGGGGGTTTTCGCCCATGTGGATGCTGGCAAGACTAGTATTACGGAGAGGATGCTATTACATGCAGGGGAGATAGGCCGGCCAGGGAGCGTCGATCAGGGCACGGCTCAGATGGACTACCTTCGTCAGGAGGTTGAGAGGGGCATATCAATAAGGGCCGCGGCGACGACGTTCAAGTGGGCAGACTACACCGTCAATTTGGTAGACACCCCTGGTCATGTGGAGTTTGGCGCGGAGGTCCAGAGGGCTGTTAGGGTCCTCGATGGTGCTGTAGTAGTACTAGATGGTATGGCGGGGGTGCAGGCCCAGACTCGTACAATATGGCGACAGACTGAGCATCTACCGAGGCTTATCTTTGTCAATAAGTTGGACATTGAAGGAGCTTCTTGGGCGACAGTCATGCGGAGCCTCGAGACAGCCCTACCACAGTCCATGAGCAAACCTATAAGGATCCAGTATCCACTACTACACCCTTCAGGGGGCATTCGGGGTACTGTGGATCTGCTCACTCGGCAGGGGTATGAGTACCATGGGGAATATGGTGAGGTGCTGAGAGAGGTGGCAGTCGAGGCCGGGGAGGACTTGGATGGCGTGGAAGAGGCCCGGACTGACCTTATAGAGACTTTGGCCATTCTGGATGAGAAGTTTGCCGACAGCTACTTTGATGAGAAGGAGGTGTCGCCTGCATTGATGAGTGCAGCCATACGCAGGCAGTCCATCGTGCGGTGTATAGTTCCTGTCCTCTTCGGCTCAGCTATGACCAACATAGGCATTCAGGTAGTAGTCGCCTCCTAGCTGACCTGCAGACTGGTCCTTAGCATCTGATGAACTCCATACCGCTGTATCTGAGTAACCCCATAGAGGCTGCTCGCGATCACCAGCACTACCTGCCCGACCCTCTGTTGGGGAGTACTATGATAGAGGCCTTCAAGGTGATCCCCCCTTCATTGGACCCAGAGGAGGAGAAGCGTGGCAACGTGGTCTATTGTCGGTACGCATCACCAAGGTCGGTCTAAGGCATGATGCTCTGGTCTGTAGGGTCCTTTCTGGGGCTGTGGTAGCTGGTACGAAGTTGCGCAATAGGACGAGGGAAGGAGGAGAGGAGTACGAGGCATGCACTGGAGTCTACAGAGTGAAGGCCTCCGAGTTGCACCCGAGGGAGGTCCTGCTAGGTAGTACACTGGGCGGCTAACCCCGCACAGATTCGGGTGGGCCCTTCAGCTGGGGACATCGGGGTGGTCACGGGCCTAGAGAACATCCGTAGTGGGGATATCCTAACCGGTGTGGAGGGGGAAGAGGATACGAGTGAGGCCATCATTGCTCTGAGGAAGGAGGATGCTAGAGCCAGCGAGGTGATGCAGTGGGGGGAGGGGAGGGAGGGGAGGGCGAGTGTCGTTGTCAGTTACCAGGGGTATGCTTCGCCACGTTTACGAGTGATACCAGGGACAATGATGAGAGGCTCAAGACGGCACTACAGAGTATGATGCTGGAGGACCCGAGTCTTGAGTAGGCGGATGGGCTTTTGTGAGAGAGGATGGTCTTTCTTTTCAGCTTCAAAGTGGACCCTAACACGGGACAGTTCCTTGTATGGGGCATGGGCGACTTCCATTTGGATCTTCTGCGTGACCGTATAGAGACTGAATACCACATACCCGCAAGGATGGGGGACTTGCGAGTCTGTCTTGCTATTGTCAGGACCCATCGTCTACTCCCTCCCTCAGATAACGTACAGGGAGTACCTTTCGGAGGCCTTCGCCCTCACCAGCTCCTCCCCTGCTGCCCACGATCTCGACCTGACTATGAAGTTTATGATGTCGATCGGGCCGACCAGGGATCTTCCAGTATTACAGGACGGCGAGGAGGCGGGGGAGAAGGCCTACGTCAATGAGGTACTCATAGTGGACGGGGTAGATGCAGAGACTGCCTTGCCGGAAGGGCTGAAGGAGGAGTTGAGGGAACTACTGTCTGACGCTCTCACCATTGGCCCTATGAAGAAGTCCAAGATGGCCGCCACTCAAGTGAGGGACTTCTGCCTCTCCTTGTATGGCGACGATCGTTGGTATCAGGTGACGCTGTCTGACGTGGTGTGGTGTCCCGAAAGTGGCGATGCTGCAGTACTGAAGGATGAGGTCATCAGGATGTTCAACTACCTTATGAAAATGGTGCGTCTAAAGCCTTCAGCATTCTCTGGTTGTTTACTGTCTCTCTACTCCACAGGCCAAAAAGGAGAAGTCGGTGAAGGTACTGGAGCCGGTAGTTCAAGTGACGGTCAGTGGACCGGAGGCAGCGCGGGGGACAGTAGGGAGGGGGAGGTGATCCTGGATGGCGGGGTCGATAGCGCACTTGTGCTCAGCTGAGTGGAGCCGTCCGGAGTGATTTGATACGTAACAGACGAGCATCCGTGGACCCTGTGGAGTCCCATGACGACTTCACGTGTGAATTGGTAGCCTACGTGCCGCAGTCGAAGATGAAGGGATACGCAGCCCATGTCAGGGCCACAACAGGGGGGCGGACAACCCTACAGGTATGTAATAGTCGGCCTTTAGGGACCGATGCTCCGTCCTAGGCCCTCCCTATAGGCTATACAGAGATCGATCTCGATACACTGAACGACGAGCTCTATGACGATTTCTAAGGAGAGGGTATAGGATAATTGGTACACCGCATGAAGTTTCGAATAGGCTTGTTTCTGGTGGACAACAGTGTAGTTGAGCTCAGGCATCCTCTAGGGTAGTGTGGTCTCAGTCACTTGATGGGTATCCCTTCGCGAGGGGCAAGGTTGTGGTCATGGAGAGTGGGGACCATTTCGAAGAGTCCTCGAGGAGTGTACCGGCAGATGTGTGACTGGGCCCCTCTTGTGCGCCAACGGAGACGCCTTTCAACGGGGGGTTCCACGAAGACGAGTGGATGGCTGAAGGCAACGCGGAACATAGGAGTGTTCGCTCACGTTGATGCGGGCAAGACAACTACTACTGAGCGAATGTTGGTGCATGCTGGGGAGATCAGGGCTCCAGGGTCGGTCGATGAGGGCACGACTCAAATGGACTATATGAAGCAGGAGCAGCTACGGGGTATCACCATAAGGGCCGCGGCGACGACCTTCGCTTGGAAAGGGTATATAGTCAATCTAGTGGACACCCCTGGTCACGTGGACTTCACAGCTGAGGTCCAGAGGGCTGTTAGGGTCCTCGATGGTGCTGTAGTAGTAATAGATGGTACGGCGGGGGTGCAGGCCCAGACTCGTACAATATGGCGACAGACTGAGCATTTACCGAGGCTTATCTTTGTCAATAAGTTGGACCGTGAAGGCTGCACATATAAGATGAATATGGGCAGTTTGAATACAAGGCTGCCGCCCAGCAAGGCCCGGCCATTGGCAATACAGTACCCTTTGTGGAAGCCACGTGGAGCCCTACGTGCAGTCGTGGATCTCCTCACCACTAAGGCCTACTCGTTCGAAGGGAAGCATGGTACGTCGGTGGTAGAGGGTACTATTAGTGATGATGAGCTAACGGAAGTGATGGAGGCTAGGAATGAGCTCCTTGAGACCCTTGCAATATTGGATGAGGACTTCGGCACAGCATATTTGGATCGATCGGAGGAGGACCCCGCGATAGTTGCGGATGCAGTCAGGCGTCAGTGCTTGCAGAGGACCATATCGCCGGTGGTCTTCGGGTCGGCTCTCGGGAATCAGGGCATACAGGTAGGGAAATTGGAGCAGTGAGGACCTCAACTATTCCCTCTAGCAATTGCTTGACGCTGTGGCTCTGTACTTGCCCAATCCTATTGATGCCCATGTAGCGAGGCCAGAGCACGTCCCCGATCCGAAGGAGACCGGGGTCCTAGTGGAGTCTTTCAAAGTTCTGCCACCAATGGGGAGGGAGGAGAAGGATAACAGCAATATAGTCTACTGCAGGTGGTCATCCTCGTCTGGTGAGTGACCGGATTGGCTGTCTCACGTTAGGGTCCTCTCTGGCGTCCTCAAAGGCCGGGCTGCAGTGACGAATCAAACGCGGAAGGCTAGAGGGAAGGGGAAGCTTGTTGAGAACATCCGGGAGGTATTCCATCCAAAGGCGTCTGAAATCGAGCCTTGTAAGGAGCTCAGAGGTAGTCATAGTCCCCGACTCGGCGGTTGAGTTAGAGATGCCTTCCGTCAGGTGGAGAGGTTGGGGTCGTGATTGGATTGAACAACGTGCGTAGTGGGGATATCCTCACTAGCGGCAGTGCCGAACAGCTGAAGAAGTTGTCGCTCGTGATAGCCAATCGCATGAAGGATGCCGCTGCCCATGCAGTAAGGCGATATGCATCTCCCCTCCCACTACTCCTCTCTTATTGCCAGCCAAGCTGTGTGTGCTTTGCTCCCTTCACCACCCCGACCCTACAGCAGGACCAGGAGTTGATCAAGGCACTGGATCGAATGATGCTTGAGGACCCCAGCATTGAGTGAGTGGCCTCCTCAGTCGCCGCTACCTGTGGACCCAACAGAGCTCTGCCTGCTTATGGCTCTCTCCGCACCCATCTCAGATTCCGAAAAGACAAGTCTGAGCAGATTCTAGTGTGGGGTATGGGAGATCTCCATCTAGAGCTGTGTCGAGATAGGATCCGGGACGAGTTCAACATACCGGTGGAGATGGGCAAGCTGCATGTATCGGAGGCTACGTTTGACACTCCTCAACAACAGGTCTGGTCAGGTCACTTACCGTGAGCATGTGGCTGGCGAGGTGCGGATGAGCTTCCATGACGAAACCGGAGGAAGCGGCGTCCACTTGGATGTGTCCCTCGGGCCTGCTCGTGCTCTACCTAATGTGTATGGGGGCGAGATAGCTGGAGAGGAAGCCTATGCTAATGAAGTGGTCTTCTCGAAGGAGATTGACGGTGGGTCGATGAAGGTCCACAATGTCCTCCGAGAGAAGATAGAGCAGTGGCTGCAGGACAGCTTCCAGTCCGGTCCTAGACTCTATGCCGAGTTTGCTGCCACACGGGTGATCGCCGTCTACTGTCTATTAGCCAGGCGTGGTTGCTGATAGTCAGCTATGGTTCAGGTGACGATTCATCGAATTGAAGCTAATAACCCCACTGGACTCCGTATGCATCTGGCGAAGCTCTTTACAGACCTGTCGAGGCAGGTGCGCTACCCCAATGCTGATGTTTGTGGGGGGTGTCGATTCGACCAATGTAGACCAGATCAGTAGTCATGGGTTGCCTTCTCAGGCTCTAAGTGATGGTCATATAATTGTTCTAGAGCCAGTAGTGTCCCTGACCATATCAGGCCCGCCAAGCGTCAGAGGAACGGTAGGGATCATCCAAGGCGTCTGTAAGCAGGATGGGCTACTGTCAGTTGAGTGGCCCAGTGTACGCGGAGATAGTCCGGCATCGGCGAGGGTTTGTGGCCAGCTCTGACTTGAAGGATGAGTACACCTTCGAAATGCAGGCATTCCTCCCGCAGTCCCACATGAGCGGGTACGCGTCCCAAATACGGAGGATGACCAGCGGCCAGGCGGACATCCATGTAAGGATCCCTCCTCAGTAGCACAAGTAAAACAAGTTCAGTCTAAGCTGCGAAAACAAGGATCGACTTCGATAGGGAGTCTCTCGGTCGATGTGTCGTATGGAGGTGGTTAAATTATTGGTTGAATAAGAAGCCTTCCACTAACACAGGCTCAAACACCAGAAAGTCGAACCTTTTTCATTCTTACTTTCTTAGCAAAAAGTTAGTCTAGTCGTAGCCGCTCTGTCCCCGATTGTGCCTTTGGTCCGATGGCCTGGCTTTCAGTTACTTCCAGCGGGCCTTGCAGAGGCCCAGGAGGATACCTTACCAGTGTATCAGACAACACTACACGGTCTGGAGGAGGACGTCCACGTCTATGATGATGATCATAGTGCACGAGTTGACTACTCCAATGTGGAGGACTTGCTTGAGAATTGACTGTTTCTGTGAGGTGTTCGTTCCCTGCGTTGAACCGTAACAGAAACAGATTATCCCTCGCCCTTTGACCAGGCCTTCCACCATGCCATGTAAGCGCCATACTACGACCGAGCCGTCGCCTTTGCCTGTCGTCATCGTGGACAGCCATACGGAGGGCCTGCCTGCTGTTCACATGGCGGTAAGAAGGGGATGGATACCCGGCGATCAACAACTTCAGGTGAGTGCTGTGGTGACTTTCCTGTAATTAATGCTGCTTGTAAGGTGCTCCATGTGGATGCCCATCCCGATTTGGCGGCGTCCAAGGCAATCGAGTCAGAAGATATTTTCGGAGATCAGCTCGACCTCTACACGAAGCTCGAGAATGGTAGAGAATACCTCTCCATGCCCTAGTAGTGATGACTGTTCAGACGTCTACGGGATATCAGCGTGGCTCCTCCCTGCCGTCCTACAAGGACACATTGGTGAAGTTGTTTGGTGTCGACCAACCTGGGCGGACCAGCTACCTGATGGCCATCATAGAGGCCTTTGGGTGGGCTTCCAAGATGGACGAATGCGAGTCAGTGATTGAGGAGTCACCTTACGACATAATCTTCCTATCAGGTGTGGACTGGGCTGCCGTACTGGTCCGCTGAGGACGAGGCTGTCGACCCTTCCTCGGGTGTCGAGCCAGAGAGTCCATCCTGCTCGTTCGAGTTACTGGTCTCCACAGCGCCGGATCTACGCCAGCATAAAGCAGCTGCAACCACTGCTCCCTGGATACTCGATATCGACCTGGACTATTTCTCATGCCTCAATCCTGTAAGGTAGAGGAGTTGTTTTCATAATGGCGCGTCAATCTGCTCAAAGGGTGAATTTCACGACGGATGAATGCTGCCTCCGGCCCCGGCAGAAACCACTGAATCGCATCGTGAATATCGCCGCTCCGAGTGATGCTCTTCACCACTCTCTGTCAGTGGCAGACTGCCACTGAGAACTGTGTCAGGTCCCTATTGAGTGCCCAACCCTGCCTGCTCACAAGTCGACACGGGAAGAAATCGTTCATGCCATCGCGGAGATCGAGGATGTGCTCAGTTCCTCTTACAAGTACCGTCCAGGATTGGTCATTATCGCCCGTAGTGATGAAGATGGTTTCACTCCTCCTCAAGAGGTGACTTCCTCCATGCCTCTACATACGAGTATGACCTCTACGATGGATCTTAGGTTGATGGTATACAACAGCGCGTCCTCGATATGTTGCATCGACTTTATGGTGATTGCCGAGTGCTTCCAATCACCTGCATCGAAGACTTCTATCAACTCTCCACTCTTGGTTTCTCGTGACTCGTTTTATCTCGAGTTTGCTATTTCGACGATCTATCGTAACTGCTGGACGATCCAGTCCGGCCGGTGAGTGTCAGCAAACGTGGAGCCCAGCCGCGTGCCCCAGGCGGACCAAACAGATTCCCAACCGAGGCCCTTGCAAAATTCATAGTGCACGGTGGTGCACACCGTGAACCTCGCTGTGCCTTCTCGTCTGGTGCATCGCCAATGGCCTTTAAGCGTTGGTCAAGTTGAGTGGTAGTTATAGTGAGCACATGCTATGCTCGACGACAGCAATGAAACGTACGACGAGACGACCACTCCAGTCATCTTCACATCTGTCACTCATCAGAGGCTCAGTGAAAGTGATGGCTCCTGTTTGGCTGTACTAACCTCAATATCAAGGTATAATCCATCAAAATGGTCTCCATCATCACTACAGGAAATGTGGCAATGCGAAACAGTCATTGCTCTATCCCTTCGTATATTGGTCAACGCAGGAATTCGACGGAGATTGCAAAGAAACGACCAAATCATCATCAGGCATACAACAGAACACAACGACGATATCAGGAAATCTTTTTTCTACTGCGATTGGGACCTGAGTTCCTTTAAAACTTCAGCGTCGATGGCGAGTCTCGTAAAATCGGCCTCAGTGAGATTTCTGCCTTCTTTTATCTCACACTCAACGAAGGCATTCACCATAGACCGCTGCAGCTCCGTCCAGTCACGGAGCTCTTCAGGAGGAGATGTGTAGAAGTCCAGCCCACACATGGTATGGTTATCTAAGCAGGAACAACCCTCCTGGTCTACGGCCTCCTGAAGGCTTCGATAATAGTGCTTGGCAGCTTGCAGACCGTCGAGAGACGTAACAGGACCATGACCAGGAACCAGTTTCCATGACGAATCAATACGCTCCTCAAGCCAGGCTAGAGCATCCAAGGACTTCTGTGCTGACTCTCGGGTCATGATAGGGGCTATACCAACAAATAGAATGTCACCAGTGAAGACAACTTTGGCCTCGGGTACAATGACAATGCAGTCCAAGCAACTATGAGTAGGGGGACCGAAGCACTTCAGTTGGATATGGTCGCGGACCAGACCAAGATCGCCATCAAAGGTAGCGACCTCCATAGAGAGATGGTCCAGCTTATCGGAATCGAACTGAGCATAGTAGTGGCCAAGCTCGAGTCCGACAACTAGACGCTGCAAAGGCTTAGGCATGACGCTCAAGAGAGGCTGAAGATACTGGCCAAACCATCTGTAGAGATAGTAGGCAGCAGCATGCTGTTTTGCATCATCCTTGCTTGAAGCTAGGATACCTTCCACAACTGGGCGCATGTCCTCGTGCATAATGGCCGTAGTGATATTTTCATGAGCTATAATGCCACCAATATGATCAATATGAGAGCTAGTGAGGAGGAGAGTGTCAGCAGGGCCAAGCTCGGAAGAGGCACTCATTGCTTCTGCTAAGCTCTTATCTATGAGAGCGTCAACTTGATAAACATGACCATAGGCCTCGAAGCGACCGGCATTACTCCAGCCCTTACCACCATCTGGCTGAATATAGGCTTCGACAGAGACGTCGGGAGAGCTGAACAACTTAACCATACCACAACCATAGGGCACGTCAGGATGAGCAAGCGCTTGTTGCCCATGTGGACGAGGATTCGAACTGCAGTTGTGGACCAAATACGATGCCGGTACTGCATTGGCAGAGCTTTTGAGTTCATACCCGAGCCAGAGGGCGAGAACGCCGATCCAGGCAGCGGTCACCAGAAATGATACCTTGAGAAAGCTGACGCAGCGCGACATCGAGGAGCAGATGTGACAGGAATGATTGTACTCAGCTTCCAGCGGGAGACTAGCACAAACCATTTTGTGACCAGTATGGGTGGATTTGTTTCAACTATTGCGTGTGGCGTCCTGGCGCGATACGTCACGACTTTCGGAGACGGTACCGTGCATGCTAGAAAGTGCTATCTAGTGGTTAATGTAGTAGGGTAATAATGGCCTGCTAATATTCGGTGATCAGATTCAACGCTACTTCAAGAAACCACCACGGTATCATTGTCCTGAAGAAGGTGAACCATATTAGCCGCCTCCTCCGTGGGATACGGATTGATCCAATGAACGGACAACAGCAAAGTAACGATTAAATGAAGGCGATACTGGCCTAGAGTCTCAATCTCTGTAAAGGACTAGCTAATGGGCATATCGCCTCCTATCTCGTGCATGCACACCTATGCACATACACTGTATAGTTGTTCGACCACCCGAGTGAACGAAACTGTGGTGTTCTTGCTCAAACATGAGCTGTGTTGGAGCTGGATCGATTTTAAACCACTCGCGCTCCCTGGATGACCATTGATGATCATATAGATGACTATCCACTGTACACAAGACCGTTGCATGATTGAGAAATGAGAGATGAAAGCGTAAAATATCGGAAATAGCTGTCGCCCACCTCTAGCGAGTCTTTAAAGCCTCCGAACGCATCCTGAGGGCCTCGGCTTGAGCCAAGAGACGGATCTTGGTATCAACCGTGATTTCGGAGCTTCCCTCTGCTGCGCAGTAGACATAACCATTGATCATCATTCGCTCCGGAGACACCCAATTTGTGAACTCTTCAGGAAGCTCTTCGAACAGTTTAGCACCACAAGATTCTCGCGATGCTGTACAGTTGCATCCACGCATTTGGTCACGGAAAAATGTCCAGTACCTTCGAAGGGCTCTCAACCCTTCGAGAGAAGTAACAGGACCATGACCAGGGACAAGCTTCCAAGAATCGTCCACCTCTTGCTCTAACCAATCGAGAGCATCCAGCCATCTTTCAACAGGGCCAGCCCACATTATAGGTGTAACCCCAACGAAGAGTAGGTCGCCAGTGAAAACGACCTTAGCCTTGGGTACCAGGACCATACAATCATGTTTGCTGTGGATTGGCCCGAAGCACTTCAACTGTACATCGTCATTCAGAGCGTATTCATCCGTCTTGAACGTTTTGGTGCCAAGGGGGAACTCTTCTGGCATTGTAGGATCGAATTTGGCAAGGTAGTGACCGTTCTTTAGCATTCCGAGAATTCCTAAGACTTTGGTAGGAAGCCATTTCACGTAAGGGAGCAAGTACTTGCCCAGTCGTTCATAGGCATGATATGCAATGATAAGCTTGTTAAACGATGCTGGCACCACTTTTAAGGTAGCATTGATAACAGGTATCATCTCCTCCCGTACAACAGCCATCGCGGTCTGCGGAACAGCCGAGATACCACCAAAATGATCGATATCAGGATGGGTTAGAACGAATGTGTCAATAGCAGCTTCCATGTCAGCTGACGAGTCAACCATGTTCTTAGTAAGAGTTATATCTTGTAGTGCATCAATCATGATGAGTTTCCGTCCTCTTCGGATGAACCCTCCGTTGCTCCAACAGGTACCACCATCAGGCTGCACGTATGCGCGCACTTCCAACTCATCGGAGTCGAAGAGGCCAACCGAACCACATCGGAAAGGCACCTCGGGATGAGCAAGTTCCTGTTGTACTGTTGTGGCTTCATTGACGTTACAGTCCGACGTCTTGTAAGAATCAGGAATAGAATTGGCCAGGCCCTTCTTAAGATCACCTATGTAGACTGCCACGACGAGGATCAGTCCACTCAGAGCTACAGCGGATATCTTACAGGCCTTACCGGTAAAACTCATAGAGGAAAAATACAACTTATGGAGTAATGATGGTGGCCTATAACCTCATCCGCCAAGCGTTTAAGTGAGCCGCAATGACAATACTACTTGACCCAAGGAAGATTATTAATAGCGATAAAAGTTACCGAAAACAAGAGCTAGAGCGTGAGGATACCGTAGTACTCAACTTCTGCAGCAAAGATCGAAAATAAATCTTGTGATATTGCTGTGATAGTCGGCGACCTTGTGCTAAGATTGCTACAGAACGATTCTATAAATAATGCTTCGATCGATGCCCCGCTACTATAATCAACACAAAACGTAAGATGGATGGAAATCGATTCCACATTATCTCGACTGATCTTCATCATTCAAGTTGTGGTCAATGCACACTGCTATAGTGACAAGGTTATACACGTACAGCAGACAGACGCATGACGGAATACTGGTTATGGTGACGATAACCAGACACATCATCATCAATACACAGGAGAGAACAGAATTAACAGAATAAATATCTTAACTCGATCGTTTCATACTTACCACAACTAAGCGAGGGAGAAATCTTATTAGATCACCAGCAGTCTCAATGGCTGCGGTTAGTGATAGAGGAACATAAGGAAGGAACAGCATAAACTTTGATAATGGTGATAGTGGTAGCCCGCCTTGAAATTAGGTGGCTCCTATACAAGCAGCGATAGAGAGAGACATCCCTAACGGTGCATGCTGACAGAAATTGTAGGATAAGGATAAAGAGGAATTGATTCCTCTCTGAAGGTGGTGAACTGCACCATACGAGCCGGAGGGCTGATGGGGAATAGGGCTAGATGGCAGCGTAACCGGAGAGCACTCCGGAGGAGACGTAGTAGTAATAGAGGGGAAGTAGTCCGCACTTCTTCGGACTGGAGTCCGGTCTACGGACTAGAAACCGATACCTAGACGGACGACAAGTAGACTACGATGACGACATATACACCCTCTAGCTGCTAATAGCCGATACACTAAATAACGAGGACCTTCGACGTTGATCAGATGATGATGGTTGGGCATCTAACTCAGGCTCTCTCTCAACTGAGATCGAGGGAGTTACTACACACACCTCGCCATCATCCTCTGAACATGCATAGACATCAGCATCGCTCAGGTGCGGTTGATGAGCTCTCCACTGCTTAGTCGTCTTCATTTGAGGCTGGGCATAGGCAGCAATAAGGTCGACACGTGACTGTATGTTGGCCATAAGTCGAATGGTCCACTCCGAATTGGGGTCCAGAGCGGCGAAAAGGGGGAGGGCGACGTTCTCATAGAAGGCCAACTGGGTGATCGCATACCCAGGCGATGTGAGGCTTCTAGACGGCACACTGGAAGGAGGAGTCACGCCGATTTCACGGCTTAGATCATGCTCCCTCCAAAACTCGAACGAACAACGAATAGACCATATTTGGCACAACCTCGCTTCCTTGGTAGGATTGGAGATGTCTGCCGCATGTAGTAGAACGCTGAGTCGAGTAGTGAGGTCTTCAATGGCGTAGTTCTGAGCCTTTTCGACCATCGTGCTATGATATTCCATACACGTACAAAGGATCATCTCCCTCATCATAGAGAGCCTATGGGGACCCAGAAGATCATCGAGCCCAGCTACAGTGAGCATCCTCGCCGTTTCACGTACGTGCATGCTCTCGAGTGGGTGTGGGTCATCGGGATCGCCCATACCCAACGCCTTGGAAAGGGAATTGGACCACCCAGGGTGACCTACGTCGTGAGCGAAAGCTGCAAGTATTGCAGCCAGCTCGTCCAATGCATCAATCCCACGTGGTCTTTCATACACCCCTATCATCTGGTAGAGGGTAATGGCCGTATCAGCTGAGTGTATTTTGGTATGGTAACCATAGCTCTGCCTATACCCCTCTTGGACCATCCCAAGGAACTTACTCACCGAGTCGAAGACAGTCAGCCTGAAATGGGGGAATCTTTGCCGTGAGCTACCTCCGTCCTCACCTGTTCTGATACTCAGTGTCTTGCAGTATACGGTGGGCCAGGAAGAGTCCAACTATCCTGACAAGTTCTGTGGGGTCCGGTAAGGAATCAGTGAATCGGAAGATATCCCAGTATGGGTCAACTAGGGCCTTCTCCTCGAGTTCTGTTGCGTACCTACGACGCCAAAAAATCATCACGACTATACAAGCCTGACGAGCCACAGGGAAATTCAGGAATTCGGGATCGCCTAAGGCTCCCATTTTGGTGGCGGGAGTCAGACAACTCTAGGCATAAAGCGAGCGAAAATGTCTTTGCCATTTAAAAGGATACTACCGTCGCCAAATATCGATGGGTTCTGTATACCCGCTAGTTGCCGCCTTTATTGGTTTACGTGGCAATGACATTATGAGTTATGATACAATAAAGGAGTACACAATGAAGCATGGAATTATTGATTGACAAACGATGATACACGTGAAAAAACGCTCGGTTTACGAGCGATTTATCACACTATTAATCGTTGGACTCAACTCCTCCCATAACCAGATCGATAGCATTGTCAGAATGTGCTCTGCAATAGTTCCCCCACATACTGCATATGACTGACAATATACCCCAAATCTTCCGCGTGCGTGTCAGCAACCTGGGGTCTCGAGAAAGACTGAATTTGTGCGTTCCGCGGCAGATATCAAATACGCCCAGCCGCTGGCTGGTTTTTAACGGCATCTAAGGAGTTCAGCGGAGCGATGAAACAAATCTTGGATCGCCGTTTTGGGTTCAAGGTAATATGTCGACCTAAACATATCCTTACATTCATCATTACGGACTTCGTCGAAGGGCGTTGATTCTTCTCGCCAACAGGCATTGGGTTATAATATGTTCGCTATGGAATAAATAGAGAACATACAGATGTACTCCAGAATAGAATAGTCAGAGCAGCAACCCAAGGTCATACCACTCCATCCTCGACAGGGATCAAAATGGTGATTAATCCTTGAGGTCGACGACCTGACCTATAGTTCTCACACTACAGGTGTGCTGATCGTCGGCCATGATGAATGAGAACACAGTTCCACAAGAGTGTGGATGCAAAGTACAGTCTTAGTATATTATTACATGCCATGCTCTACACTGCAACAGTTTCACTCTTAGGCGAGTATATACACGGATCTTTACAGTGAGAAATGGCGTGGATACAGGCGTTATTGGGGAGATTACGGAGCTAACACAGCCTGATGGGCTCTGGATTGGCCTGCCGACAACAATACGTCAGCATCTAAGCGCGAGGTTCGATGAGTCCTCCAGTCTCATCGTCGTCCGAGCTCATGTCCTAGGTCCATGCTGGCACATCCTTATCTGCGGCGGTGAGATAATGGCGCGAACGGCAGATGAGGGAGTTGTCGCCAGTCTCACACTCCAAGCTGGCAAGACTCATCACGTTGCAGAAAAGTCTCTGACTATTTCACTTTAGAATTACCATCTATCGCCGCACGCAGCCATCTACTGGTCTGCTGTCTTCCCTCACTCCGTCGACTTCAGCTGAGGCGATGCCGCCTATGATGATGGTCGTACTCGCGCTAGTCTACATCTACCACAGAGGTGTCTGTTCCAATCCTAGTATTGCTGCTCTTCTTCCTGGTGTAAGTCACTAGCTCCCGGGTTCACTTCCCAGCAACAGTGTTTTGATTCAGGCCGCTCTTGCTCTGTGACCTTCTGATGATGCCTGGTTCACAGGTGTCCTCTATCAGGTGGCAGGTGAGTGCCATTCCTCCCAGTCCGTTGCGGCTATTTCCGGTCTTCAGGTGCTGTGTTCATCCTAAGCGTCGTGGGCCAGGCGACTGGCCGTCGCCGAGAGCTCCACCACATGAGGGAGCAGCCAACCAATGGGGAGCCAACCAACGATCATCAAATAGGCTATCTACTAGAGCACCGTATTCCACCTTACTTGACGTCCTTGCTTCTTATCGATAGAGGGTTGAGCAGTCAGTTTTCCTCGATGGGAGGGGATGCCTTTATTCCTAGAGTAGCTACGGCCACTCACACAGTTGGGTACTGCTCTTTACCAATGTCAGGGGGACACGTTATGGTCCCTGTAGTAGTACAATTGCACCTTATGATCTTCTACAGAGTCCTCGGTACTCGGTAAGTCCTCGATTATCACTCCATTCAGTAGAGAGGTCTCGGGTAGTCCTGCCAAGCACACTGTGCAGTTGCAAGACGTTAACAGCACGCCCCGGTATGGTGTACTCGCGCGTCGCTTGTTGCTACCAGGAGTGATGCCGCGGGATCGTCTGGTTGGGACGGTGTGACCACTCTTCCGGAATTCGATGAGGATGCCACAACCAGTCCGATTGAGAGACCATTCCCAGATTCAGGTGGGTGGCATGGGAAGCGTTGGCCTCTCCCGGCCAAGTACCGGGCTACTACGGCGTGAGAATTTCGCAGCCACACCCGAGACGAGTCCAGAGTCAGAATATCTGACTCGGAACTCCCGACTCGGGCGTTCGGGTCGCGGGTCTAGAGGTTTGAGTTTCAATGCCTGGTGCAGTTCTCTCACCTCTCGCTGTTCTTCTAAACCTTTCCGAGATAGATATGCGTTCTATAGGCTATATTTTTGACCAGATGAAGCAAACTTCATCCACCGATAAGAGAGGGCTAATGAGAGGATTCTCCTCATCGGAAGTAGTTCCTGGACTATGCTCCTCAGAAGCAGCTGCTGTGATGTCCTGAAAGTAGTTGCCCGCTTTGTGGCACAGAGTCTATGCCATGGTTGCATTCGTTGGGCCTCGGAGTACTGAGCCGAAGATGACAGGGTCCTCGATTACGACAGGGGTGTGTTCGGTACTCGTGTTCGAGTACTCCACATGCAATATGTGAAATGCTGGGTTTTCATCTGATTCGGGCACTCAAATCGATTACCTATGCAGTCGCATGTATCCAATATACTGTATAACCTTCTCTCTTCTGCATGGGGGTGTGATGAGTCTACGGCTCCCGTAGTACGGGAGCGAAACTTTCACTAATAGATTCACTGAAGTGAGCTCGACGCCCTGAGCCTCAAGCTCATTCATCCGAAATACCACCGAGTTTTAAAAGGTTGGGCTCTCGGAGGCGATGATATTGTATTGACTAAAAACACCAGCGAAGACAGATCTGGAAAATTGGAATTCGTCCTCATATGATGATGTGAAAGAAATATCAAGAACCATGTACACAACAATAGGAATTCACTCATTCCGATATGGTAGGTTCGCAAGCCTGCATTGCAAGCATCAACAAAATTATCGCAAGAATCACCTGTCTATTAGTGGACAATGGAGAAAGCCAGACGCCCACATCAACGATTCCTACCGCACAGTATGACTATACCGTTGCTGGTACTAAAAATTCGCTTGTATGCTCTACGATGTGTAGAGAGAATCCTTCTGAAGGACTCCGTTATGCTATACGATAGCGGGCGTAGTAGTAGAAGAGCTGTGTTTCATCTGACATGAAAATTCAGTTACAAGCTTGGGAGAGCGATATATTCTGCTGTGCAGATCGAGTTATCATAGCCATAAAACTGATCACTCACATTTGAGCCTCAAAAATCCCGTCTTCTCATATACATGAATGGCGACAGGAAGGTTCTTATCCACCATCAGATACATAGCGACCAGGTTTGGCCTAGTTCTGCCGAGCTAAAAATGGTCAATCCTCGCATTGGGTTGACTCTAGATTCGCTGCGAAGCGAAGCGACCTTCCCACATATTCGAAGGTCTTATTGATGAGTTCCTGTCCTATCTTCTTCCCTTGCCAATCTTTAGCCACTCTGAGCTGAAATTCAAAAGTCGCTTGATCTTCACGTAGCTCGCCATAGGATAGAAACCATCCTACTTCGTCTATGTAACCGATGATTTTATCCTTCTTCTCTCTGCTTGGCTCCGGCCTGTAAAACTTTTACAGTAAAAGTGAGTCCAAGAATACTTCTATCCAAGACAACGACTTTGTCGCATATTTCCCGTTGCTGTAGCATCTCAAGCGTCATCCTTACATCAGATCAAGAATTGCCTGGAGAATGTCTCCTTTGAGGCCAACCGCAGGAATATGCATTTCAACTACGCCGACGACAGCCTGAAGAACATAGGAACCGTCACTTTCAGTCATCGGCATACCACAGACTGCGACTGATACCTCTATATGATTTCTGATAGAACAGCTTCTAGGACGTCGACGATAGGCTCACCTTTCGACTGATGGAAGTGTCTACTGCGACGAAGCAGGGGTTCCTCCTGCAGAAATCGGTGCCACGCGAATCAACCCGAGACATAATATCGCCAGCTTGATATTCGCGGTAGATGATGTTATCGTTGAGCGAGCGCGAGTGGTATCCTTCGGACCAGGAACGCGCGTCGGTTAGGCGGCCTGCTACCAAGAAGACGAGAAGCACTGGCAGATACGTGGGTAGTCTCATTCGAGGGCGAGAGAGTCTCAACCTGGAGCAACATCCATTAACCTTAGAACTTATCGTACCATTAAGTAAGACCAGAGTCTAATGCAATTTCATCACCCGATAATATTTTTTCGTAATCGCTACTCTGCTCCACTATTGCGGAGTGAGCGAAGCGAGCAGAGTGTATACTACTGTAAACTACAGTCTGTAGCCTATGTAGTCCATGAAGGAGACAGCTTCGCAGTCACATGTGTATGCGTGCACCTCATCGGTGGTTTCCCTTGCCTCTCTCTTCCCCTCTCCTCTTCTTGTGTCGAGTTCAGAGACACATCACGTCGTAGGATAAGCACATGGTGCCCAGACCCAGGAGACCCTACCAGCGACTTCACCTACACCAGCTACAGTGCGAGAAGGGCGTTACAATGTCGCTGCCCCTAATATACCAGCGACCACAAGTATGAGGAAGCTGAGAGATTGTGGCTCATAGAGAAACTACAATTGGTATATGGCGTCACGGAGCGCGAGGCTTTCCAAAAGCTCATTGCTTTAACTTTTCAACCTGGTAAAGCAAATGCTAATATTGATCTTCATGCCGCTGGAATTCGTGAGCTTGTTGCCATCTCTCTGCCCAAACTTGATAGTATGGCATCAGAGATTGTTGCATGCAAGTTCTTGAGGCGCGTAGTCTATGTAGTCTATGAAGGAGACAGCTTCGCAGTCACGCACATGTGTATGCGTGCACCTCATTAGCTATACGGTGGTTTGTAGATGGATGACAAGTCTCAATAATGGCGTATCATAAACTATTCCGCTTCGCTGGTCGCCGTTTCGGATATTCCAAGATACTCCTAAGATACGCCCATCACATCCTCTATCTGTGAACCTAAGTATATCCTAGTGACTATTATCATTGGAAGTATGTTCACTTCCTTGCTGCTCAGCCTAGTTCCGTTATCTGTGGAGACCCAATGTCCCATTTTAGGCTGGTTCATTCATTATTTTGCACTCAATCTGTAACTACTATGACATCACCAATCAACGAGTTGCGTCCAGAGAGTGAGCGGGATATTCTCACATCTTTGGGGGCTGGGCCGAGAACCTCTCTGACGACGCAAGTTCGACTCATGGAGACCGCTATCTACGAGAACAGTACTGCCTCGTATGTCCCCCATGTTTCTACACTTGGTGAAAGTATAAAGAATGTTCTGTGTGACAACGACGACTTCAAGGCTGACATTCCCACTGTTGGCAGTGGTGAAGATCTATGCGCTCTTTGGAGACCATCATTTGCTTGGCTCATGGACGAGATGATCTACCCTTACCCCTTCGGTGACGAACACACTACGAGATGGTTCGACCCGCTCATCGATTGGTGTATCATTAACGCCGCCGCCAACATTCCACAAGGCACTGTTTTCGTTGGACGGCAAACACTCAAGCAGCAGTTGGCCACAAGTGTGACAGCATCCAAGAGAGCATCACATGCTCAGCTGGCACTCACTTGTACTGCTCAAACTGCCTCGTCTACTGATGGTATCACATTACCTAGTCACGGCTCCCTCGCATCCAGATCAAATGCCCAAGGAGCACTTTCACCGCCTACTGCTACTTCAACGCCATCCTTGCAGAGTCATGAGAGTTCTATGAACATTCCTTATGATAGCCTGAAGAAGAAGATCAAGGCTGTCGTTGGTGAGCCGCCAGCTAAGGAACTTGTCTTCGACGGTACCTCATCAGAGAACTATCTACAGTGGCGTGTTGCCATCCTGGAGAAGTTAAATGAGTTCGACGACGTTCCCAACCGCGTCCAAGCTGAAGCTGTCTTGGCCTGCGTGGCTGGTCCTACCAAGGCATCCTTAAAGCGGGATGCCCCCCGTGATATCAGGGGTGCGCGTGGTGCCATGGCCATCATTGATCTCTTGGACAAGCGATTCAGAACCAGCCTTGCGCTCAAGTCTTTCGAGACCAAGTTTGAAGGCCTACATCAAGAACCAGGGGAGTCACTGTTGAGCTATGCAACACGGTTTCAAAACCTGTTGCATGTCAAGGTCTGCTCTTCACCTGACGAACAGCTCAAGGACTCTACCATCATTCGCCACTTCACTCGTGGCTTACGCGATGCTGGGGCAATATTATCGGCGACACTTATCGACCCATTAAAGACGATGGACTTTCACACATTCAAGGACTCCCTCCTTGCCGTCCGCGATGATATGCCCTCAGCTCTCACTGCAATCAGTAACGCTGCATCTACTGGTGGTAATCGCCCCAAGCCCCAGACGACAAAGTCCGGCAAGCACTCTGAGGATGCGGACGTGGTGGCGATCTGCCTCTCTGCTGCGACCGATCTGGGACTCAACAAGGACGCCTGCTTAAGATGCGGCAACAGTGGTCACCTTGCAGCGACATGTCCTACTCCATCCGATGCTATTGTACGTCTTGCTGATCGCTGCCGGCGCTGTGGTTGTATCAAAAAAGATGGTCACAAATGTAACTATAAACGGTTCGTCTGTGGTCGTTGTCGACGTCGGAATCACCTCGCTGGGGTTTGTTTGAAGACCCTGTCGGCTCCTAATTCCCCTACCCCTACAGCCACCGACACTCTCACGATTGTCAAAACAGCTGCTGTGAATGTAAGTGCCATTCAAGTGGACTGCCGTAGCTCAGCCACTTCACTCCTTCACGGCGTACCCGCTGACCCGACCATTAATCTGCGATTCGGCAAAGATCCTCTCATCGAGTACTGTGAGGTGCCAGGACTGGTCGACACTGGTGCCAACCTTTCCCTAATGGATTATGGTGTGTTTCATTTCCTCAACAACAACAACCTTATCTCTGCAGGAGGCCTGCAGCAGCTATCGGCACCAGTACACGTCACTTTTGGTAATCATTCTACCACCGACACATCCCAGGTGCTCACCACAACATGCTCCATCGCAAGTGATAACACTCTTACGGAGAAGATGACATTTCTACTGGTTCCGCACTGCAACCCTACAGTCATCATCGGCCGCAACATGTTCTCTGCTCTGGGAATCCGGCTCAAGTCTGACAAGGTGCGTATTCTACCATATCTTGGATGCTGCACCACCTCCACCCAGACCCAAGTATCATCGGCCCAGTCCTCCGAGCTCACTAGTTCTCCAGCCAGCGTGCCTGGGCACGGGGCTATACCTTGTCTCTCGGTGTGTTCTCGGGCGGTAGCGTGCGCGACGACTCCTCTCATCGAGCGTGTTGTGGAAGACGGTCAACCCCGCTTAGTCGCCCACTTACCCGCCATCGAGAACGCCAATGTTTATCCTTACCGAGCTGCTAAAAGACGTCGCCCGCCCACCGATGATGCCATCATACACAGTAAGCTTTTAGAAATGTCTGCTCTCGGTAAGGCCTCTCTGGCCTCTGACAAGGATGTCACTGTCGTTTGTCAACCGGTACTGATCGACAAGTGGGACCAAGCGGATGGTACTTCCAAGCAACGTACATTTCCTCTCAGCGATGCTGAGCTCAAGAGGTATCGCCTTACTATCGACTGTCGCCCACTCAACAACCTTCGGCTACTAGTGGATGCTGACGGTACCTTTCTGTTCATGCCGGTCGACGGTGCTCAAGGCACCAGTTGCAAGGGTAACGAGGAGCACGTCTACAAGCAGTATCAGCGCGGTGCCACTGTGCTTCTGCGTGATATTCCGGGTGAACACATGGGTTATTGGAGTAAAGTTGATCTCGAGGATGCCTATGGTACTCTCCGCGTTTCAACTGCTCTCTCACGGTTGTTCGGCACTGTCAGCATTGACTCTAATGGCCAACAACATGTATGGACGTTAAGAAGCCTCGCTCAAGGCTGGCGATGGGCTCCCCTATTATTTCAACTGGCAATGACCACTATCATTGATGAAGATATTAACCCGGCCCTTGCCAAAGCCGGATTGAAGGCCTCAGTCATACATGTTCAAGACGATATCTTGATCGCCAGTTGTGACATTGACACCGGTAACCGGGCGTTTATTATCGTCACTGATATTCTAGAGCAACGTGCTGGTTTCATCGTCAACCGCGTCAAGTCCCAACCTCCTGGGAAGATCGCTGGCTTCTGTGGTCTCCAACTTTGTGCGAAGACCTACCGGCCTACGCCAAGCCGCAGGGAGTTCACTGAAGCCACCTACACTCTGGCTCTGAATGACTTCATCAACTGTAATCCCATCAGAGGCAAAAGAGGTAAGAAGAAAGCTGCTACCACGGGCAATCAACTAAGGGACCGTCGTCTACAGTGGCTCAGAAGCTGGTGTGGTGTCTTCAACTATCTCAATGGCCATCTCTCCCCGGAGGCTCAACATGCTCTCAATCAGCTATACTCCGTTACCAAGATCTATCAAAACGATGATTCTTCTACTGAGGACTTTGATGCCACAATCGACACTGTCTCATCAGCCTTCCGTGTATTGGCTGACTTCTACCTCAGTGGAGTGATACCGTGTGCAATTGGAAATGATGGCATTGCTACTCTGGTGGTCACTGACGCCAACGCTGACGCCTATGGCGGCATCATACTCAGGATTATAAAAGTCGGTGCTGGTGCTGAAGAGTTCGCCGCGGCCACGAAAACTGTGCTCAAGCATGTTCCTGATCTCGGAGTGCACTTGGATGAGGACACCAATCTTCTGGCTGTGGTTCCCATCAAGACCTGCGGAGCACGTTGGTCTCGGGTGGAATCATCAAGGAGCTCTACATGGCGAGAACGAGCCGCACTCCTCAACGTGGTTCAATCTTGTCAAGCTCTACTTTTCGGTAAATGCATCGCCATCATCGACAACATCAATGCCCAACGAGTATGGAACGAGCTTGAGGCCGAATTCAGTGTGGGCAGTTACCTCAGCAAATGGCAGATAGTCCAGCGGCATATCCACTCGTTCGCCTGGGCCCCTCGTGAGACTCTGCCTGCCATCGCCGATGCCATCGCAAGGAGCATTTCACCCAATACTCATGGCGTCAATGTCCATATCTCCAGTGCCCAGGTTGCCGCCACTGATGGCCTGCATTTCAAGCCCGACTACCTTCCTGGCTACCAACTAAGAGCAGTCTTCATGGAGTGGCGTAGTACATCGTGCACCAAGGAGTTCACCACGTTCGATGACGACTTCGACTGTTTGCAGTGGCTAGCCAAGGCTCAAGCTGAATGTCCCCAACTTCAACAACTTCGGCAAGTCAACCCCGGGAAGTATCAACTCAATGATGCCGGTCTACTACACGTCAACGGCCGCTATATGGTACCCAAATGCTACGGACAAGATATGATACGGAGAGTTCACGAGTCGTATGCCCATTGTGGTGTCGCTCAGTGTATATCTCTCATCTCTTCCGTCTTCTATCTAGTTGGCCTAGCTATGGCTGTGGCGAAAGTTCTCAGTCGGTGTCGTTGCTTCTTCATCAGAGCTGCTCGCCTTCATCGGCCCCCCTCGGGTACTCTAAAGAGGAGGAGGGAAGTGATGGAGCTCATCTATGTTGACATTGTTGGACCTCTACCTCTCGGACATCTTGGACAGTCGAAGTTTCGTTATATTCTGACGTGGATGTGTGCTGCCTCCCACTTCATTGGTGCCATCCCTCTTAGCTATGCCACCTCCGAGGCCGTTGCCAATGCATTGGAGCGTAATGTCATCGACGTCTTCGGCCGAGTGAAGGAGATTGCGGCAGACAACGGCAGCCAATTCCGTTCAGCCTCCTTTGCCGCATGGTGTGGGTCCCTATCTATACGATGCTGGCATATACCCGTATTTGCGCCTTGGCGCAATGCTCTACTTGAACGCCAACACAAGTCTATTAAAGCTAGTCTGAAGGTCCTCATCGACTCCGTCGAGCATCGCTGGCCTCAGTATCTCAGCAAGGCTGTCTCCCGTTGCAATAACCGAGATCTTGGTTCTGGTATTACCCCGTCGATGCCCATGTTCGGTGATGATCGCACGGCACTCCGCAGATTCTGTCCTCCGAATCCAGCCACCATGGCCTCTTCTCTCAACGATGCTGTTCGTGCCATCGCCGACATTCGCAACAAAAGGTTGGTAACTCTATTTGGTGATGCCGACATCAGTGTCTCCCCTGTCCCCGACAACCATCTCTCTCGGCGCCACAATGAGTTCAAGATCGGTGATGTTGTGCTGCGATGGACTCCAGCAGCAACTGGTCTCCAACCAAATTGGAAAGGACCGCACACTGTTGTTGCTACCCCCGGTCACTTTACTGTGCTCCTGAGTGACGGAAGTCTGCAAGATACTCGCAATGTGCGTCGTTATTTTGGGAAGGGAGGAGTTGTAGATGGATGACAAGTCTCAATAATGGCGTATCATAAACTATTCCGCTTCGCTGGTCGCCGTTTCGGATATTCCAAGATACTCCTAAGATACGCCCATCACATCCTCTATCTGTGAACCTAAGTATATCCTAGTGACTATTATCATTGGAAGTATGTTCACTTCCTTGCTGCTCAGCCTAGTTCCGTTATCTGTGGAGACCCAATGTCCCATTTTAGGCTGGTTCATTCATTATTTTGCACTCAATCTGTAACTACTATGACATCACCAATCAACGAGTTGCGTCCAGAGAGTGAGCGGGATATTCTCACAGGTTCCCCTTACCTCTCTCTTTCCCTCTCCTCCTCTGATGTCGAGTTCAGAGACACATCACGTCATAGAACAACCACAACTACAACAAATGAACGTGCAAATAGGCCATCATGCAGCGCGACTCACGCATTTACGCACTAAATTTACAACAAATGAACGTGCAAATGAGCCATCATGCAGCGCGACTCACGCGTTCACGTACTACAACAAATGAGCGTGCAAATGAGCCATAATGCATCGCGACTCACGCATTCACTCAGCGTGAGTGCGTGATGCATAAAAATTTTTCCAGGGATGCAGTTTATTGCCAGAATGCAAGTTGCGTTTGAACTTTGAACCGCGCATAGCTTGTCCCCGAGTTCGCCGCATATCCTATGCAGGTCCGCGCGGTATCCTCTATCGTTGTCAGTTGATCCCCCTTCTCCTGACTCGGTAAAGGGCTCCATCTATACTGGAAGGCGCTGATGCTTCCAACCTTCGGCCTTATGCTTCCCCGGTGGTTCGTGCGATGAGGTGAACAAAACGTTCAGATCATCATGGCAGTCCCATGCCAGCAATTCTCTCATTGTCTTCTCTATTTCACAACTTTTCGCACCGGTCTTCATGATTGTTGAAGCTCAGTATACCCCATAGTTCAACAATTGTCGTACATTCCACGTGCTTATGCTGAGTTTGTTGCGCGTCACACGTGCTAACGCACTGGCCTTTTTTCTCTCTGTCGCTCATGGGGCCTGCGTTCTTCCCGTCAGTTCCAGAACCAAGACTTTCTATAGCTCGTTTGTGAGCATTATGTCATCGAGCTCAATCGTGAGGGACCAAAGCAATGCGTGAAGCCTCACAGCCGGCGCGTCCTATGCTAGTTTCATCCTCTTGAAGTACACCGCGGCCAGCGCCACGTGATTGTAGGTTTCATGCCGCTGAACGCGGCATAGACCATAAGAAAATAATGCCCAAGTCAAAAAAATACAAGCTGTGCTGCACAACACTGAGTCTGTGAGTTCACTTGCGTACAAATATAGGTGATGTTTTCACGAGGGACTTCCTCTCGTCAGTTCAGTCTCGGCTGTGACCTTATTTGTTCATAAAGTACAAATAATGTTCAATATATAATTGGTGGCCGCAACCATCCGACTTGGTACGTCTGTGAGGCCCTCCTTCAACGTTTGAGTAGATCAGGGTTTGGACATGCGGTTCACAAAACTGATCTGGCGCGTTCTGCTTCTGGGTTAGTAGAGACTCGTAGTTCTCATCCTTGACACTCATATGAGCACACGCATTGTCATAAAAGAATCACAGACAGACGTATATGACTTTCCGAAGTCAGCCTACAAGACTTGCCTTCTCGTATGTCTCCTGCGGTAAAACTTGCCGCGACATTTGGTATATCGATCAGAACTCTTGTTGACGTCCCCGGAGGCCATATTTCTATTTGCCGATCCCCACGATGGTCAGTCTGATACACCGTGGCTTGGCACCATAGAGTGGGAGGAACCGCAGCAAGTCGTTCCTAGCGGCCTTTCTCTTCATCACCTACGCGCTCGCGAGTGGAAACCAGATCTCTACGGTAGCGTCATAACACGGTGAGCACCCAAAGGTGTGTTCCATCGATGAATTCATCAGAATCAAGGCCAGTGCGATACCGCCATACGACGCGTGTGACCTCTGTTCTTCCAGCTCTTTCAGTGCATGAACCGTCCAATTTAAATCCACCAGGCGTGCTCTTAACCTCACATGGTCACTTCTACCGACATTCAGAAGCTAAATGTCGACTAGCCGTGACTCGCTTTATACGATCGACCGCATGACGAGACACACATATACCGCCCTATAATTTATAGGG